GTACCAAATTAATACGCTATCTGAGAGAGAGAGAGAGAGAGAGAGAGGTTCGCAAAAAAAAAGAGATACTCGCAAAAGAGAGAACACGGCCACGAGCACCAAAATTTTTTGTTTTTCCTTTGATTCAAATTTTGAGACCAACAAAAAACAGACACGTCATCTTTTATAAAGGGAACATATCTTTCGTTTAATAGAAAAGGAAATAAATTTCTCAAATTTGAATGAAATCTATAATAATTAAAGCTCAATACAAAAGAGAGCATCAAGATTTATGTGTTGCCATAATCTTCTAAGTCAAATCAAATGAATTTAATATGGTATATAATTTGTTAGCATTTAAATATGAAGATATGATACAGCCAATATTAAGTAAATATATGGGTAAATTAGTATTTTTCATCTTTATATGATTATGTATAACATTTTGTATAAATATTAAGCCTCTTGGTTAGAGATAAGATAATATGTAGAAACCATTTCCATATACCTCTAAATCTTACATAAGTTCCAAAATATATAAAAAAGAAAAATGGTTGCATCTTTTGATCGAAAAAAATCATTGGTTCTTTCAATGGTTTTACTTTTTCTTTTTGTGTCATCATCATATGCAAAGTTTAGTATGATGGTTACAAAAACCGAGATCAACACCATATGCACCAAACAAGATATGAATTCTTCGTTTTGTTTTGAGATTCTTAAAGCAACTCCTGAAATTGCTAGATTAGATTATTCAGATCTCATAAAATATTTGATCACTTATCAAGCTCGGTATATTTCAAATACGGTGAAGCTTTTTAAGTTATCTGGAGGCTACTCGAAAGATATTAATTCTACATATCACGTGTGTGTAGAAGTATATGAAGATGCTCTCAGTGGACGTGATAATTCCCTCCGATATTTGGCTGCCAAAGACTATCCCAACTTAAGCACCCTGGTCGGAGCTACGATGGATGATGCCTTCACATGTATTGATGAGGATTTGTCAACAATGAAGCCAATACCACAACTTTTTATGACGAGAAGTTATGCTATTAAAAACTTTTCTGACATTATCTTGGTGGTTCTGCAGTGTTTTCTAAAATATGATTATTACCTATGTTCTTAACTCATTCAAAAAAAATTGTGGAAGTAACCCTTTTTAATATATAAATAAGTAATAAAGACATTAAAAAAAATTATCGATGTTTTAATTGGTCTTCTAGCTAAACATAATAAAATTTAATATGATTTATGTTATTTTAAGGGTTTTGTGTAAAAAAACCACCCAAGTATTTTTTTCCCAACTTAACCCTTCATATAAAATAAATGCAAGTCAATACCACAATTTTAAAATTCACCCGCAGTATAACCTACGGACGTGTATAGATTTTTCAAACCGTATAAGTCGGTTAATAAAACTACGTTGGAAGGTAGTATTGAACCCATGACCTGCAGCACATACCAAAAGCACCCATGACAAATTGTGCTGCTGCCGTTAATATAGTTAATATAAACTTGTAACTATATACTAATTAAATCGTAACATAAAAGATATATTAACACTGATTTTCCTCAACTATGTCCGGTTTGTGTGCCCACTGCGTCTTCTCTCCCTACACGCCACCATCTCCACCTCCTCCTCCTAGCTTCGTTCTTCAATTCCCAATTCTCATTCCCTAATGTTTGGTTTTTTATTTTTTCTTCTAACTTCTTATTTTCACGAATTACTTCACCACCTCCCGATCCTTTTTTACTCCTCGGATCTTTCGATTTATCTTAATTTTTTCTTCAAGCAGGAAAGTGTTTTTCTTTGGCCTGACGAAGAGCCGATGCCGGAAATCAATCTTATGAGAGTTGATCAATGTATTTCCGATGTCAAATTGGATGGTAAACCTTGATTCGGCACTGCGCAACATAGATCATGATGTACTTATGTTAGTTTTATTTATTTTTCTTAACATTCTAAAGGCCTTTGAATGTGTTATAGAGCTAGTCACATTTACATGTTCATAAACAGACACAATCCAATAAGAGTTAAACTTTGAGAGTGTAGCACTCTCCATTATTTTTTGGACGGCTGAGATCTTTTATATATTGTAAATTGTTAAAAGATTCGTAGTGCAGTTAAAATAGTTTACATTTATGGCTGATAAGGTCTTTTGCATATGAAGACACAATAGGCATGGAAGGGAACTTGAGATGCACATGGATAATCATGTAGCATTCGTAGAAAATAAAATCTAGCACTTGGACAATCCTGCATCATTCATAAAAAATAAAATATCGTTACTGCACATAACCATAACATCATACTAATCATATACTAAGCTTAATGAAAACGTTACCTTTTGTATGTTTATGAGTGCTCCTTGCTGGCCTCTCAAGGACGAACACTATAGATAAATTCATAGCAGAGAATTCATATATCTTACATTTGCATTGTGTTCAACACTTTCCACTGTAAATCTAATAGCAAAGAAACTAAATCAAAAAATGAAATATAGAACAGGGTTAAAAAAACGGACACGTAGTCAATTCTAAGGGGTCTTTAAAAACCTCTGAAAGGTGGTCTTAAATGGTAACATATATCTTTTCGTTTGATAAAAAGTAACAATATTTCTCAAATTTGAATGAAATCTATAATTATTATTAAAGTTCAATACAAAATAAAGAAAGAAAGCATCTGATATATGTGTTGTCATAATTTTTTTAAAGTCAAATCAATTTAATTTAATATGGTATATAATTTATTAGCATTTAAATATGAAAATATGATACAGCCTATTATTAATGTTATATAGTAAATATATGGGTAAATTAGTCCTTTTATCTTCCATATAATTAGGTATAACACCTTGTATAAATACTAAGCCTCTTGGTTAGTGATAAGATAGAACATAAAAATCCTTTCATACACCTCTAAATCTTACATAAGTTCTAAAATATATACAACAAGAAAAATGGTTGCATCTTTCGACCAAAAAAAATCATTGGTTCTTTTGATGGTTTTACTTTTTCTTTTTGTATCATCATCATATGCAAAGTTTAGTATGATGGTTACAAAAAGCGAGATCGACACCATATGCACCGAAGAAAATATGAATTCTTCGTTTTGTTTTGATTTTTTTAAAACAACTCCTGAAGTAGCCAGATTAGATTATTCAAATCTCATAAAATATGTGATCAATTATCAAACTCGGTACATTTCAGATACGGTGAAGCTTTTCAAGCTATCTGGAGGCTATTCGAAAGATATTAATTCTACATATCACGTGTGCGTAGAAGTATATGAATTGGCTATCAATAAACACGATGCTTCCCTCCGATATTTGGCTGCCAAAGACTATCAGAGCTTAAACATCGTGGTCAGTGGAACGATGACCGATGTCCGTACATGTATTGATGAGGATTTGTCAATAATGAAGCCAGTACCACAACTCTTTATGACTAGAAGTGATGCCATTAAAGACTTGTCTCTCGTTATCTTGGTGGTTCTAGAATGTTTTATAAGAAAAGATCCTGAACTATGTCCTTAACCCATTCTATAATAATATTGTGGAAGTATCCTTTTTAATATATAAATAAGTAATAAAGACATTAAAAAAGAATTATCGATTTGAATTGGTCTTCTAGCTAAACATAATAAAATTTAATATGATTTATGTTGTTTTAAAGGTTTTGTGTAAAAATATATATATTTTTTTTTTTGCAACTTAACTTTTCATATCAAATAAATGCAAGTCAACTTTAGAATCTTAAAAGTTTGTATATAGGTTAATAAAACTACGTCGTTTAAACATTTAAAAAAAAACAAATAAACGTTGGAGGGTAGTATTGAACACATGACCTGCAGTACATACCAAAAGCATTCATAACCAATTTTGCTGCTGCGTTTTCATAATCAATGTAAACTTGTAATTATATACTAATTAAATCGTAACATAAAAGATATATTAACACTGATTTTCCTCAACTATGTCCGCTTTGTGTGCCCACTGCGTCTTCTCTCCCTACACGCCACCATCTCCACCTCCTCCTCCTAGCTTCGTTCTTCAGTTAAACTTTGAGAGTGTAGGAGGAGGTGGAGAGTGAAGCACTTTCAATTATTTTTTGGACGGCTGAGATCTTATATATATGTATATACTGTATATTTTTGTTTTTTGAAAATAAGATCTTATATATATTAAGGAAAGATACACAAAATTCTCCTAAAACTAAGGAAAATTGTCGACAGTCGCAATATGGAAGAGTTGTCATTGCCTTATTCGTATCTTATCTCACTTATAAAAACATCGATCAATCGGCCATACAGTTGCCTATCATTCCATCGAAGTGAATTAAACTATTTATAAGATATCTGTCACTAAAATAATACGAAAAAATACAAGTTTTTGTCACGTCCGAGGAACAACATGCCCTTTGAGAGTATTGGCGTGATCTTATGTAAAAGTTTAATATTAACTTGATCTTCGCGACTATCTCTAACAAGTATTTAATACTAAAGCTCTTAAAATATGCTAGAGGTCGTGCGAATATCTTCCTCATATCGGAATTTGAATTCATTTATGATCAATAAACAAAACAATTGCAGATTGATAAGATTTAGAACAAATCATTAATGACTAGCTTAGGGACATGAGATAGCTGTCATGTACACTTAGACAACAAAATTATAATATCGGAGCCGCAACTTGACAAACAAACTCTCCTCGAACATAGATCTCTAATAGTCTAATATAGATCATGCAAGTATATTAAAATTTGATGCGCATAATCTTAATATGATATTATTGCCAATCAATATATGAGATGTAGCTGACATAACTATATCTACATTACATACTAAGTGATGTCTTATGCACTAAACCCTAAGCTTAACTATAGCATCCGATAAAGTTGTCATTCAAACCAGAACTATTGTATATACTAAAAATATTACAAGAAAGAGGGAAAACATATTCGAATTTGGCGCCAAAACACTAACTAGTCAAAAAAGTAACCACCGAACTTTTTATATGGACGAAGGCACTCCTTTTGTTGATTACGAATTTGCCCTATTGACTATAAGGTTAGGTTAGGTTAGGTTGCAAACTAAATGTATAATCAAAGTTAACGTCCTTACTAGAAAAAGGAATTTCCAAAATGCTTTGTTTGCAACGAGAATATGTATGAGTTGTCTCTTGCTACGTCAGCGAATGCTTCTCGGGATGTTTCGGTCCATATAACGTTTTTGTTCCTACGAGTTACACAAAGGCTGTTTAATTTTTCTTGTGGGCTGTGTTCTTTCTTATTTGTTTTTCTTTTAAGCTTTAAGCTCCACATTTATTGTTATTAAAAAAAGACAAATTATTCTTAAAGAAAGTCACATAAGACATTTTTTATATCATAAAATAAGAAATTTTCTAGGAGAATTAAGGGGCAAACCAAATCCTCGTGGACCCGATTCTTTTGGTTGATTCTGTTGTCTAATCCATCGTCATGAGCATCTTATATGACGTGGCTCCCACCGGTGACTTATTACCGGCCGTTCCAGTTTCCGGCGGAGAATCGTACACAGTTTTCCCGCTTAAACCGACGTGGAAAGACAGAACAAAAGACAAATAAATCGTAAACAAAAATTATGAAAAGAGCCAAAATATTTTCTTTTGGACGCACGGAAAAGCTCTAAAGATCTTCCGCATACAAGTTTTGATTATTTTTTGACATATTTTCAATATTTTCAATAGAACAGTTCATAATCAGCTGTGGGGGGTTATATCAATATAGTTAAATACAGATTTAAATATAGAATGCTGAAAACAAAAACCACGAAGTCGAGCGCGTAAGATGCACGCGCGGGCGACTTCTCTCTCAAACCTATTTTTCTTGTTTCTCCCTCACATCTGCAACTCCTCCGCCTCTCCGACGTGTTTTTCCGGCGTCGGAGAGGGCCTCACCTTTTTTTTTTAGCTTTGGTCTTTCCTCTCCGTCAGATGTCTCCGTCAATGGTTTGTGGTGGCTCACCGTATCTGTGCCTTCTCGTTCTCCAGGCGGTGGTAAATCAGATCTCAATCTTCTCGTAGTGGCTAGGAGAGACGCGGCGGCTGAACGTTGCTTCGAGTTGTGGCCCGAGGACACCTCGTTTTGATGGCTTCAGAAGGTTGCCCTTGGTGGTCGTCTCTCTAAGCGAGTTAGTATTGAGTCGTTTGGTTTGTGGTTGTGGTTTCGTGGAGATTGTGGAGGGGCTCCGGACTTCCCTCACGGTGGTTAGCTCCGGCGAATCTGTTTATGAGATGGTTCCGTGTCATCGAATTTCAGATTCTTGCCTCTTTGCTAGGTTTTGGTTTGGTGTCTGCTACTCGCCGGAAGTCTCAGATTGGGGAGTTGGGTAAAGTATTGTGTGGTGTTTGGCTCGATTTCTTCTTCCTCGCCATGGAAGGAGCTGGTCTAGTTCTTCGTCGACGGACCTAGAATCGTGTACGTCTCTTTCTCGAGGCGCGGTATGGTGGTTTCGTGAGGCAACAGGTCTGAGGTTGTCATGATGTTTCTCAGTGACAGCGGAGTCTTTCTCGGGTCAATGAGTGGCTGAACGTCTTTTGGATTTTAAAGCTTTGCTGGGTGATTGCGTTCTCGGTGGCGTAAGGTTTTAGTTGTCGTCTAAGTTTGTTGCTTTCTTGTAGCAGCTTTAGCGGAGTAGTTTGGGGTAGTAGTGGCTGCCGGTGGTGGTCTTGTTCCTCCCCATTCTTTCTTCTCTGGTCAATTCACATTTTGTTTACTTTGCCTTTCTAAAGGGTTTTGTTGGGATCCTCACTTGTTGCTTACTTGACTTTCTTTGGCTTTGGATGAAGTCTAGTTTGTCATCGCGTTTTCCCTAGGTTCTGGAGGAGTTAGTAAGACTAATGGGTCTTTTGGTGCTGTTTTGTATTGCAATATTTTGGCTCTGTGCTAGCCGACTACGGGGAATGTACTTGGTAGAGGGAGCTAGTGCCAATCGCAATACATTGGTTTGTGTGGTTCCAATCTGAGATCGCTCATGGATTAGTTCGAAGCGCCACTCTCACATGATGAAGGGGGAGTCTGTGATCGAGGGCATTCAGACTTGCGCCGTTGACAGCTCAGTCCTTGGACCTCCTGTGAAAGGCTTCCATTACTAGGGGTCTTCGTCTTTGTCGTCTTTTCAATCTCTATCGTCAGTTTTTTTCTTCAGTAGCTTATTTTGGAGGATCTTCATAATCATGTATCACTTCATCTGACACCGTTTGCTTCACTGCATAGGTTGAGTCGATGGACTGATTGAAATTTGCTTCCATGTTTTTTTTTTTTTTTTGCCATGGGACTAATTCTATAGGTTTAAAATCCATGATTGTAAAACTAAACATTTTCATTTTAATGAATATTTACACTTTTAGCAACAAAAAAAAAGATTTAAATACTCACCCAAATAGTCATTAATGATAAGTATACACATTAATAGCTAGTAATAAATGTAGCAGAAAGAATCATCATCTTGTGTCTGTCTATTGAGAGAGCTTAACCGAATAGTTTCGCTTGCAGTTGCAGCTTTGGTTACTGCACCGCACGTCCAAGGATGTATGTAATGAAACTGTAATATTATTATTATTATGACAGCGAACAATGTCGTCGACGACGTGGCAAGATCAAAGACCGTGTATGTATGTTGTAATGTAAATTGATTCCATAGATCGTTAAAGACATGTAAATATTTGCACGTGACATGGTTCTCTGAAGAGAAAGTGGCCCATACGTGGGGGGCATATTCGTATTTAATGCGAATGATCTTCTTTAGATCCTCCTTATGTAATACACTTGTTTCTTTTCGATAATCTTTTTTTCTATAGTAGTAGCATCTATTCTAATGTATGAATCTTACTAAGTTTTGGATTCTTGTAAGTTGTAACTTGTATAGATAGCCTCTTTATCGTAATTTATAAGAAAGTTGTAGAAACATAAATCACGCATATGGACAATCATATATTATCAATATATAAAGTTGATTTGTGATTATATTCCTTCCATTTTTAAGGAGTTGTTATAATCGTATCTAATTTAAAATTTGGTATTATAGCGTAGAAGGTTCGGTAATATAATTGTGGTAGGCCGAGGAAAATCACCTCACCAACGTGAATATCACGCGCGAATTTAATTTTTTTTTTTTTTTTCTGGAGCACCAATTAAATGTCAGCACGTGATTAACCCCTAGCTAAAATTCAGAAAAAGAAAAAGACAAATATGTCCCTCACGACACGCTTAAAGTGACACTCTCATTGCCAGCTTTTAAATATAAAAACTGGGTCCGTCCGTCCTTGGAAGATCTTTTCTCTTAAATTAAAAAGTGCGCCTCTCGTAGATTCTCAATGCTAAAATGACTTTTATACCCTTATCAAGCTACAGAAGACGGACCAAATACGAGGTTATTACCGGAACTGAATTTATAAGGGAAAGTACGGAATTTGTTGAAAGGAAAGAAGCGCGTAGCTCTCACGTGAAAAAAGAAGTTCTCATCTTAGCTACGAAGCGAGTATCATTTGACGTAGGACCTTTAAGATTAAGACACGTGGCTTGTTAGATCGATTGTTGTCGGGAAGAGGGATCATAGTAGAGTGGAATGCACGCAAAGTAGAACAAAAGTAGGAAGAGGGAACCACTTAGGTCTTTAAAAAAAAAGACAGGTGGCGTCCTAGCTGGACAGTTGAACTACCAGAGTTCAGGATCTACTTACACGTGGATTAATGGTTGGTTTCCCTCATGATGGGGGCCTGGGGGGGAAGAGGATTTCCAACTAATTTCGTGAATATTTAATAGCTAATTTAACCATTTTCTTCATCAGATTTAGTGTGATTTCAGATTATTAACGTATGTAATTAGATTATATAATTTTTGAAGGAAGTATCAAAAGATAATTTAGATATTATAATTTTTTTGGTTGGGTTATAAACTTTTTAAGAGGAGTGAAATATGATGAAGGTTAAGATTAAGAAAAAAATATAGAGGCAGCATTATAAGTCCAACTGAAGAAGACTTTTATAGGAGGATTAGTAACATGCGTGAGACGTGGGGGTTGATCCATGTGACTTTTCTATAAAAATGGAGGAGGAGATATAATTTAACAACATATATTTATCCATTTATATATAAATATATATATATATATATATAAGGGGAGTCCAGTGTATGGGAAAAGGATTATGCGAAAGTGTGCTTTCTCTATCAAAATTTTCCAGGGGAGCAAATAAAATAGAAACGGCAAGAGAGAAACGCTGGTTAATTAAGAACATCTTGTTGAGAACTCTTTAAGAGAAGAAGAAGCAGAGAGAGAGAGAGGTTGGGAAACGACGGCGTGTTGTATTGAACCAAAGAGATTGAGAGAAAGAGAGAGATATGGCGATGAAGGGTTATTTGGATGAGTATGAAAAGCTTGTTATTAGGATGAACACTCCAAGGTTTGTTCTTCTCTCTTCTTCTCTCTTCTCTCTTCTTTATTTTTATTTGAAGATTAGAACAGAGCTACAAAAAACCCAGAAATTTGGTTCCTATTTTTTTATTTTTATGGTCGTCGTTTTTATTTTCCCGGTGAGAACATTCTCCCGGAAAGTATTGTTTTCTATCAGTCCGGGAAAAATATACTTATTTTCGAATTTTCACACCGAAGTTTTCAAAATTTTGAAATTTCCTTTTTTCTATATATTTTTTTTGTTATCTTTTTTTGTATTTTCCAAAATTTATATATTAAATATGTAAAAGTTTGTTCTTTTGTGTCTTCTTCCTAGAAGATTTTCCGAATTTTCTTATCTTGGCTTTATTTTTTCATCAACTTGAATTTTGTTTTTCTTCGGACTTATCTTCTCTAAACTTTAATTCATCTAATAAATCATAATTAGTTTTATTTTTAGTTATTTTTGTCGGAAAAGAGAGAAAGAAAAAAAACTAAAACTAGTTCCTACATGATTATTATTGACAGGGTCGTTATCGACAATGGTGTTTGTTCTTCAGCGACAATCGTCAAGGTTAGCTTCAATTCCATTTAATAGCTTCAATTCTACCATTTTTTTTAATTATTTTTTTAATTTCTAAAGATTTATAAATTTAACAAAATCAACTCTTTCTATCAGGTTGACAGCGCAAGAAGAAATGGGATATTATTAGAAGCTGTGCAAATTCTCACCGATTTGAATCTCTCCATTAAAAAAGCTTACATTTCTTCTGATGGAAGATGGAACATGGATGGTAATAATCTTCAAACATCATTATATTATCATCACAATTTTTTTTTTTTTCCTAATTCGTTCTTTTCTATTTACTGCAGTCTTCCATGTGACTGACTTAAACGGAAACAAATTGAATGACCAGAGCGTCTTGAGATACATTGAACAGGTAATTTCCTTTTTCTCTTGATTAAACAGTGTCTTAAATTCTTCAAGAACATGTATTCTAAAAATATATTATCTTTTGTGTATTTTCTGATGGTCACAGTCGATTGAGAAGGTTTACTACGGAGAAAACATTGAAGTAAACGGTTTAACAGCCTTAGAGTTAACCGGAACAGACCGTATCGGTTTGCTCTCTGAGATGTTTGCGGTTCTCTCTGATCTCAACTGTGACGTGGTTGACGCTAAGCTGTGGACACACAACGGCAGAGTTGCTTCTGTGATCTATCTCAGAGATTGCAGCTCTGGGTTGCCGATTCTTGATTCTCAAAGGGTATCCAAGATCGAAGGACGGTTGAAGAACGTTTTGAATGGCGACAACGATGTTAATTCCGCCGCAAAGACTTGTGTCTCTGTTGATTCGATGATGCACATAGAGCGTAGGCTTCATCAGCTTATGTTTGAAGACAGAGACTACGAGAAGAGATCCAAGACACAAGAGAGATCTCCCATGGTTGTTGTGACGGTTCAGAATTGGGCTGAGAAGGGTTACTCTGTCGTTAATGTTCATTGTCGGGACCGGACCAAGCTTCTATTCGATGTGGTTTGTACGCTAACCGATATGGAATATGCCGTGTTCCATGCGACTATCAACACGGCTGACGACCAAGCTCACTTGGTATGTTTCTTGAAAAGATCTTGAATGTTCGTTTGAATTGATATTTTTTTTTAATGTGATTTTTAGCTAAAGGATCTTTCCTTTAAAACTCTTCAGGAATTCTACATCCGGCATAAAGATGGATCACCAATTAGTTCAGAAGCAGAGAGACAACGAGTGATTCAATGCTTAGAAGCTGCGGTCGAAAGAAGAGCATTAGAGGTATAGGACTGCCCTGAACCTTCATTGAATTTTCTATTGTTTAATCAGAAAAATCTAAACATTTCATTGGTTTTAATTGTGTGTAGGGTGTGAGATTAGAGCTGAGACATCCTGACAAACAAGGTTTACTAGCCGAAGTAACGCGGACATTCAGAGAAAACGGTCTGAATGTTACAAGAACAGAGATATCAACGAGCAGCGACATGGCTACTAACATATTCTATGTAACCGATGCAAATGGAGACGAACCTGACTCAAAGTTGATTGAATCAGTTAGGGAGAAAATAGGTTTGGAGTGTTTAAGAGTGAAGGAAATGCCAACGGTGAATCATAAGAAGGGAGATGGAGAAGAGCAACAACAGACCAAAGCAGTGTTGGTTTCACTTGGGAGTTTGGTTTGGAGAAATCTCTTCAACTTTGGTCTTATCAAATCATGTTCTTAAAATCTTTCAAGTACTGAGTCATCTTTTGCGAGAGATGAACCATTTAATCGGTGTAGCTTGGTAGGTCGGATTTTAAGTTAGGCAATGGGTTTGGTCATGTTCTTTTTGTAAATAGAGAAAAGAAGAGAGGGGTGATTAGAAAATTCTTAAATTGCTTACTTTTATTTGTGGGAGTTTAGATTTTAGAACAGGTTGTAAAAAAAGTTTATAAGATTTAATTGTTATTGTTTTTTCTTTATTGTTTTAGGTTGGAGTTATATTATTATTAGTGGTTGACTTGTATTTTCTTAGTGGAGTATTATATTGTTTTACAGGTTGGGTTCCAATTATTTTAAGATGTGGCCATGGTTTTCCAACACATGCATGTCCCATGACTTTGTGGGCGGAACCATTTTCATAAATTCTATCTTACCAACGAACCACGCCATATTTTTGTATGACAATGGATGTTAATAAGCAAAGTCCAACACCTTTATTAGAAAACTGATTTAAAAAATTTCAAGTTTTCTCTCTCTCTTTTTACCTAATAAACGATCTCTTTAAATTAATTTATAATACAAGTCTTCGTTGTGTTGCTAAGTCTTCGTTAGATGTTTCTGTCCTAAAGTGGCAACTTTATCTGGATCTTACAGAAGATTTGTAAGAAATTGCGTCGGTAATTCACCAAAAGAAAAGAGTCGTACAACGTTCTAGAATTTGAATATGGGAACTTTCCATCATAATGTTCCAACAAGAACAAGGACAATAAAAGTAGGTAAGCCACATAAAGCTTTATGGTGGGTGATGTGATTCATGGATGGAGTGTTTGGAAATTTGACACATTGGTCTCTCTCTTTTGTTCCCACGTTGCTCAGTTTCTTATTTAATTTTGTTGAAATTTTATTTCGCAAGAGTTGGTTGTACTGTTCATAGAAATCAACAGCTCGACAACTTCAATCCAATGATCCATCTGTGTACTGATTTGATGTACACAATGGTTAATACTATATTTTACGTCCTTCTCATGTATTAGGGTATAAGTTGTTAATTAGTTTGTGCATCAATATTACCGACAGCTTTTTTTAAGCAAGTACGTCAACTATTTTATAACGAATTTGTTTTCATCTCTCAAAAATATCACTTTCCACAGAAAAATTTACAGCCAATGGAAGATGTAGCTTGTGTCAAGTATGTAAAAATACAGTTTTCACAAAATAGCCCCTTCAAAATTTTAATTTACTATAAGTTTCCTTGAATATTTTATCGGTTCACGCTCCTATTTAAGAAGGCTAGTCAGAGAAGTAAGCAAAGAGTTCTCATGTCTGCTTCTTTCTGTGTTGGCCACTATTTGTTGAATTTTACATCTTACATAGCACTTTAAAGATATGGTATAGCTCAGGATATCGGTGGAATGAGAGAAACAATAAAAAGTTATTTTATTCGGTAACAATGACAATCATAAGAACATCAAGATTGTAATCTTTGACATGGCCAATACCGTAACGAAAAAAGACTAGCCCAGACCTGCGCTTTCGTCTTGGCGAGGAGCGTCTGCTTTGATGCGCGGTGGTCTAACAATCTTATCAATAAGTCCATACTCGATAGCTTCTTCTGCATTGAACCTTTTCACCCGGCTCAAGTCTTTGAAGACCTGTATCATTTAAAACAGTTTTTCAAAAACAGTGAATAGAAACTGTTTGATTTGGTTACTATGGTAAAAAAAAAAAACTAACCCTTTCTGCAGGCTGGCCGGTATTCTTGGCTAGTTCGTTGAAGAGGTAATCTCTTATCCTTGAAAGCTCTTTTGCTTCATTTTGGATATCATCAGCCTGAGGGAAGTTTGTTGTTTGCCCATTTAAATAATAGATTTACATAACAGTGAAAGCTTTTACTAGAACAAACTCAAAAGACAGCTTATTTTACCTGACCACGGGCTGCACCAGCTGGTGACTGGAGCGCGATTCTTGACAATGGCATCGCAAAACGATGACCCTACATATCACAAAAATAACAACAGCTCAATCTCAAGTGTCCTTGGAGTCTAGCATATACATTTCATTTGATTCCATGTCTATATAGTCATTTAAAGTATGGAGAATAATGCATAGATGATTCAACAAACGTGAAAAGAAATCACCTTTTCTCCCGCCGCAAGAAGAAAACCTGCAAGGTTATAAGCAAGCCCAACGCAATGTGTCCCAACAGGACTTTTCAAGCTCTTCATTGTATCATAGATGGCTAGACTTGGAGTAAGCTACAGAAAAGAACAGAAACTTTATAATCTTTCGCTTTGGAGAAGTGTAACCAAACAAGTAAAGACCAAAGAATTGAAAGAGAAACTTACATCACCACCCGGACCATTAAGGTACATATAAATCCTCCTCGAGTCATCAAGAGTATCAAGATACAACATGGTAGCTAATATCTGGTTGCTAAACTCTTCATCAATGTTTTGTCCAATGAAGATTACACGCTCTCGATACTGCAACAAAAGATTCAAGTTACTACTTCCACAGTGACCATATAAAAACGAAGACACAATATCATGTACAATTTGAAATATACGTACAAGGGCATTCCATATATCAACCCATTGCCAAGTGCCTTCTTCTCGGTTTCTGTAGGGCACTCTCGGTGTTCCTATAGGCATCATCTTTACCCTTGACCTGCTCGCTTTCCCAGTCCTGCAGACACACAGAAACCACACTGAGTTTAACAAAAACAAAGCGAGTGAATCATACACATGCAAAGGCAATGACCATTCTCACTAGTTCTAATATCAGCAAACCAACTAAATGTCATTCACTATATACAAACCGCATCTTGTTATGTATTAAGTCTTTAGCTCAATTTTCAAATTTCCAAATTTCACAAATCAAGTATGAATTATGTAAATTTTCAGATTAGGGCAGTTAAATTCCCAGACAAGGGCAGCAAAAGCCCTAAATTTTAAGCAAAATTGAACAAGAGTTTCACATTACCCGGATTGCAGACTCTTATGAACTCTTCCATAGAACTCCTTATTCAAATTCTGATACCCACTAGCCAAAAAGCCTGAACAGATTCCGACAGTAACACCAAACCATCAGTTCCCATCTTACTGACCAATTCGATTAAAGACAAAAACTTTCGGAGAGAGTAAGAAGAAAAGGAACGAACTTGCAGATTGAGGCTTTAACCCAGAATAAAGCTTGATGCTACAACTGCAATAACCATACCAAAAAAAAAAATAACAATCAGATGCAAGTGCCTATATAGGTATGTAAATTTAGAGAATCGAAGCTAACCTGGGACTCAGACAAGGCTGGTGAAGGGTTGTATTAAACGATACCGCCATGCTCGTCGAGCGTGTTAGAGCCGAACACTGACTTTTGTTTGTTTTTTCAGACTAAGAAGGGGAATTACAGATTGGGCACTTTTGTTGAAGAAGATTGGTTTATCAAAGTTATATTGGTTTGCTTTAACCGAATTGGTTTGTGGTTTATAAATCAAAATGTTTTTGACACTATGGAGTCCAATTCTCAACCAAACGAAAAAACCGGAAAAATAACCAATACAAACCGATTTGGTTTCAAACAATCTCAAATCTCACAATGTCAGTAACAAAGCATTCGACAAAGAAGTAGTCAACAACACAAGCAGAGCAAGTCGACTGATACCAAACCAGTACAGATAAGATTATTTGTCGAAAAAAAAGTGCACTGAGCATGAGTAATCAATCTCTCGATCTCGATGAAGTTTTTGTTATTCATTTGAATCATATGGAAGAGAGAAAGAGAAGCAAGTGTAAAGTGATCTAAGAAGTGGGCTTCTCGTAAGAGTTTTGATCTCTGAAATCAGAAATGGCACTGCGAATCATCTGCTCAACATGTGGCTGCACAAACAAGTGAGTGCTATCAAGTAAATGAATTATGAATCTCTGAGACGGAGGCATCGAATTGTTCATGTTCACTATAAACTGTGTCATTGGGATATCGCTGCAAAACAAAGACGGGAACATTGAATCATTTCATAACTTTGTGCCGCATAGAGAGATTTGCTTGGGAATCAAAATAACAGTACCAGGAGACGAACACTCCTTTGATTGCGTTAACCATTGAAAGAATATAAACCTGTGAGAAAGAAAAAATAAAATAATCTGAGCTCAGTTCTCATCAAAAAGAGTCTCAAGAACATTCTCCAAAACTCAGAACAAAGATTGGATCATATGAGCAAATGAAAGATTAACCCTTTTCAATTCAAGCATACAAAATAAAATATGGGTTAATTATCCATAACTGGGATTTCGCTACCTAAACACCACAGTACAACTCAGATTCCCAAATCTTAAGACTCTACGACTATAGAACCAAATAAACTAGATCAATTGGGTGTAGAGGATCGAACCACACGAAGAAGATCGAAGAAGCTTGCTTGTTTTGGACCGAGAAAGAGAGAAAGAAATCACCTTGGTAACCAAAATCTTCAGATTGTCGTCACAGTGAAGGACGAGGGTTAGCTTTATGAGATAACCTAATTACAAAACTGAAACCGAAGGTTCCAACTCTTTTTAAGTTCTGAACATCCTTGTTATTACATTACTCAAAGAGGTCGCTTTTAAAAGTCAAAGTTCACATGGATTGACTTTTTCTTACATTGAAATTATTCACAGTTTTATTGCGTCTGTAAACAGTGGTTTACGAGCTTGATTGCTTGTGCAAACATTGATCAAAACATAAGATTAAAACCAGTTAGCTCAAGATCTGAAAATGTTTGTAACAAACAAAATAGATACACAAATCTTTCTGCCACTACTCTTACAAACATCTATCCATTTAACCAACAAAACACTTATCCTTTCTTTTTCATGTCCACGAGGCACTGTATCTTGAAGCGCGGTTTCAATCAGATCAATAACCGAAGAAAACTGACCATGTTTACATCAGTTAGTCCTCATAATCATCAAGCGCCGAATAAATCATCCTAACAAGAAGTTGCAAACAGAAAGTGTTTTAGCTGTCTTGATCTATAATGTTAAGGTAAGCAAAAAGGAATTCCAAAGATCTTTTCATTTTACCAGAAGATAGTGAGAAAGAGGTTAAGGATTATGTAAGCAAGTTTGAACAGCCGTTTCTTCTTTTCCCAGTTAAGCAGGTTGAAGATCTCGGTGACATCTACTAAGTGTTGTCGTTTCGAGTAACTGAACAATCGAAAAACCAAATTGATATCAAGACATGGACAGTTAACTGGAGCAAAAGATTGAGAGTAGCTGCCGAGAAAAAAAGACTTACAGTTGGAAGTTGTAGTAGAGATAGGGTATACATAAGAGTGCCATGACCCAGTGTCCTGTTAAGAGGTAGAATACGCATAGAACTCCTTGAACAATGAACTCCGGTAAAACCACGGAATTTATTCTCGACGCAGAGTCGTAAGGATTGATGTAATCAAACTCTAGATCCGCTAAGCAAACAAGCTGCAAAATGAAAGATTTCAAATTCCGAAAAGAGACTTTTAGTTTTCTAAGAAATGTGTTTTCTCTTGACCTAGAATTTCACATAACTCTAGTTAATAACCAAAAAAAAAATCGATAAAGAAGATACTGCTAGTTTGTCAATCTCAGTAACTCCTCAAATCACATTCTAAACTCAGAATGGAGCTTATTCACAGATGCCAATACGCAGTTGCAGACACTATAATATATGACCCTAAATTGACTGCTTTGATATAACACATTCCCAAAATTTCAAACTTTGTCTTCTTAAAATCATGTGGCAAGAACATAAAACCCTAATTCTAGCTAAATTACAGAGTACACAGAAACACAAAGGCTCCGAATTAACCAAAATGGAAATATTGTAACCGTAACTATGGCAAATTCGATAGAAAATATGAAGAACTTTAGGTTTCTTTAATTCAAAAAACATTTGGGAATTGGGATCGAACTTGGGACCTGATAGACGATGATTCCGACAAGAGCAATGAGGAAGAAGAAGGAAATAAGCCATGTCCAGATATCTCCCATCTTCTCCTCCTTCTGGTTCCGACAAATTCCTCGGATCTATCCTCGCTGTTTCTCTTCTCTCCTCCAAACGAAGTCCGATTGAGGAACAGAGAGACAGTTAGGGAACACCTAGCTCCTGGCCGGTGAGGTTCGACAGTTCAGTTGGAACCCCCTTCCGTTTCGAGATTCTCTGATCGGAACAAGGACAAAGACCTTCGGTTGCGAAACAGCGAAGGCATACAAGGCACGAAGATTCCCGGTTTTTTGGCTGTTTACCGATCTCCCGGTTCGATTTCCGGTTATAACAGAATTCACTAATTAATACCGAAGTAACCCATTCGCGCCGGTTTGGCAGAGCAGTATCATTTATACATAAGCGGGCCTATAGAGTTAGCCTTAAATAAATTGTACTAATAGTTTGGGTTTGGGCTTGAGAGCCTTGTAATTTGTTGTTAAACTTTTTGGTTATTGTCGTCGATATATTATTTTCAGGAAATAAAACTTTTAAAATACAATTAAGGGACCAGAAAACTTGCAATCATGTGTGATTTGATAAAAGCCAGCTGTTTTCTAGTACAAGAAACAAGCTTTCATCTTTTCCATTTAGTACAGAGTCTTTTTATCAAAGAATGGTTTAGCAATACCATAACTTAACATCAGTGGTTAATCTGATATTCATTACCAAAGCTAGATGATCTATACTATAGTAACACAATCTTATAGATGAAGCATATCTTAGATGGGTTAACAATTATAACATGATTTTAGGTTAGTTGGTTTCTCACTAACTTCTAGATTCTGGCCTCTCTCCCTCTCTAGACTCTAGTGTGTGGTTCTGCAGTTGAATTCTTAATATTTTGAAGAAACGTTGCTTATTCAATTAAAAAGGAAGCTATGTTATAGATTAGTAACTAAACCATCCAAAGTTCACTAATTAAAAATAGTTACTATCGCTATCAATATAAAAGGTGGTATTTTTTAAACTTTTTTTTTTTGTTTATTCAATTTCAGTCATACTTATATCTTACAGTATGGTGTGTATATTTATTTCGGTTCTAAACATGATTTAGTGGAGTTGTTGAGATAAGAAAAGCTCTCGTACAAGATTGTAAATCAAGCATATTTACGTTGCCACAGTTATAATTAATATCAGTATTTTTATTCAAATGATTGGAAAACTAATGAAGGAAGATTAATCAAGTTTCTTACGGAACTATTTTCTATCAACAGTTACTTATTTAGTTAAACTATTTTTTTTCTGTCCACAGTTACTTCTATATAAATTTTGAATACGAAAATCTTGGACATGTAAGTATATGTGAATTCATATATTTGTAAACTTAATTATGAAAAGTGATGTTAGTAGTAAAGACTAGAGAGTACTCATCACTTTATCACAAACTAACTTTGTTTCATGACACGAGAAACTTACAGGACATGGCATAATGCATGGGTTTTTTTTTTTTTTTTGGGTGGTTGGTATGAACAGACAAGATCATTCTTACAGATAGTACTATCCATCTTTTTTAAGATTGGACTGATCTAAATTATGTGGTTAGAAAATTGAATATCTGCCTTGCTTTTAATACATATGTAGATTACGGGTGGAATTTGTATAGTTCACAATCTTAGACGAGAATCCATGGATCATTCGTATGTATAAGGGCATCAGAAGAAAGTGGGAGACAGTTGTGACATGTGGGTTTATTGACATTAGATATTGACCAATTAAAACTTGACTCCTACTAACCACCACTTGTTACTTTAATTATTGATCTCAAATCTAAGCTTAGAGATAAATATACAACAAACAAGATCAGGAAAAATTGTAAAAATAAAAGTATATATATATAAGCTGGTTAGAACAAGAAAAAAATGTTACAAAAAATTAAACGTTTATATAACACACATATATAGAGATAAAAAAAAACATTAAGGGAGATTTTACAAAATTAGTGAAAATGTGTGTCTAATATTGTCAAGTAATGTTAGGTGAATATTGTTGTAAAATTGTCTAAATAGATGAATTCTTAGGGTGAGGATTAAGCATGTGGTCATAGTCCTTTGAATTAACTAAAAAAGAAGAGGCGAATGTTGTGAAGAGTTAGAGAAAGGGGTGTTGGTTTATTCATGACTTCCAAAATGCTAACGATGGCGGCCATGACACACACACACACTCTCACGATTCATACAAAATGTATACTGTAGAAAATGGTTGGTAGTAGGAAATCACAAAATTGTCGGTAAAAAAAAAGGAACATGTAAAAGGTTTCTCGTCTCATCAGTCAAAAATTGAAAAACAACTTTCAAGACAAACAAAGTAATATTTACGAAGAGTTGTCCTTTATTTTTGTTTATATTAATTTATTTTGGTTGAGTCAACAGAGGGAATGGTCAACAGAACAGAACACACACACACACACTCTGCGTTAATGTCTTTCACTGTCTATCTAGAAAACAAAAATTAAATTCTCACTCACTCTCTCTCCCTTTCTTTCTTTTTATGCCCAAATTCTGAACACATCCCACGTAGACAACAAGACACATTTGGAAATATCCCACTCACCATTTTTTCTTTTTGTAACCAATTTCAACAACAAAGTTACGAAGTCTACATATTAAAACCGAATCACAAGGTAAAAGTATCCTTGGAACGTTCATGTAGTTTTTTAAAACTAAAAAATGACAACGCAATTCATAATTTAAAAATCCATCTAATATAATAGATCTTTTTTTTTTTTTTCAACAAACTAACCTTTTAATAGTTCTTTATATATATTTGAGAATAGGCATGAACAAAAGCTAACCTTAACCGTATTTTTAACCATAACCGGACCGTTTATCAACCGTAACCGGACCGTAACCGTATAAAACGGTTAAAATTTGTAACCGTTAACCGTAAAAGTAAATTAGTTACGGTTAAAAAATAATAATAACCGTAACCGTTAATTAACCGTAATCATAATTAACCGTAATTAATCGTCGGTTAACCGTACGGTTAAACGCTCGGTTAACCGCATATTTAAAATTTTAAAATAAATTATATTATAACTGTATACAATACCCAGATTTAACTAATTCAATATAAATAATTGAAATCACATATATTTTTTACTTGTAAAATAAATAATATTTCATAAAATTTTATCTCCAATATTAATATTATAATAATCATCAAATAACCGTAACCGTATTTAACCGTAACCGTAATTAACCGTAACTGTATATAACCGTAACCGTCTTAACCGTATATATAATGATTAAGGTTATAGTTAAAAAAATTATAACCGTTAACCGGTGGTTAATTAACCATAACCGCATTAACCGTAACCGTGGTCATGCCTATTTGAGAATGAGTAAAAAAACAACCTATTATGTACTTTTTACCAATATGTTTATTAGGCTTTGAAAAATTCTTAAGAAACTAAATTAGATTTAAAAAAAAATATATATATACTTTTATCTTTGGTGGTACTGGTGGTTGATACTAGCATGACAAGAAAAACGTTTACAAAAGTTAAAAAAATCTAAAATGCATTAGACTAAAAGGTCCCAAATAGTTCCAATATTTTTTTTAATTAATTTTTTTTAAAAACATTAAAGTAGGAGACAAGAAAAGGGTTTTTGGAAAGAAAAAAGAAAAGTTGAAAAAAAAACACATAACACACAAAATAAAAAAGAAAGAGAAGAGAAGCCCAAAACGAAAAAGAAAGAGCGTGTGGGAAACGCTCCAATGATGAGAAAGCGAGAGAGTCTAACAGCCAATGTAACGTTTGGGTTCTCGTACGACGTGGGACTCTGCTTTCACAACCCTTCTTGTTCCTTTCAATTACTCTCTCTCTCTCTCTCTCTCTCTCTCTCTCTCTCTCTCTCTCTCTCTCTCTCTCTCTCTCTCTCTCTCTCTCTCTTCTCCTTCCATGCGCGTGACCTTCCTCTCTCTCTTCCATATTTCTCTCCTCTTCTTCTCCGCTTCTGTCTTTTTCTTCCCAAAAATAACATCTCTCTCAACAGTGAACAAGATAGAAAGACTTCACTTATACAAGAGAAGAAGGAACTATAAACCAAAGCCTTACTTACAATTTTTATTTTTATTCTTTTTGATCGCCGGGAAAATGGTAGTAACGTCCAACATCGCCGTCTCCCGGCGACTTTTCCCGGCTATAGAATGTCACACGTTTTTTACGAGGCTACAAAATCCAACTCCCGCTTAAAACCCTCTTCTTACTAAAGCCTCGAAATTTCCGATTCTTTTTTTCTCTTTCTCATCTTCCTTACATCGAAAATTTAGAAATTTTTCTCTGATGGCGACGGCTAACAACAACGCTCATCAGCAACAACAGACTCCACCACCGCCTCCTCCTGCTCCTCCGGCGACGGCGATCGATGGACTCACGACAGACGAGCTAACAGCAAAAGCTTTAAACAAGAGATACGAAGGTTTAATGACGGTGAGAACTAAAGCAGTGAAAGGTAAAGGCGCGTGGTATTGGACTCATCTTGAACCAATCCTCGTACGCAACACCGACACTGGTCTCCCTAAAGCCGTGAAGCTCCGTTGTTCTCTATGCGACGCCGTTTTCTCCGCCTCTAATCCTTCCCGCACCGCTTCTGAGCATCTCAAACGCGGCACTTGTCCCAATTTCAACTCTGTCACTCCCATTTCCACCATCACTCCCTCTCCTCCTACCTCTTCCTCCTCTTCTCCTCACACTCCTCACCGCAAACGCAACTCCTCCGGCGCTGTCACCACCGCCGTTCCTTCCCGGCTCAACCCTCCTCCCATCGGCGGCTCTTACCACGTCACGCCTATTACCGTCGTCGATCCTTCCAGGTTCTGCGGAGGGGAGCTGCATTACTCTACCCCAACGCCGCAGCATATGATGCTCTCCGGCGGAAAAGACGATTTGGGTCCTTTGGCTATGCTTGAAGACAGTGTGAAGAAGCTCAAGAGTCCTAAACCGTCGCAGACTCAGTCTCTTACCAGATCGCAGATAGAGTCAGCTTTAGATTCTCTCTCTGATTGGGTCTTCGAATCTTGCGGCTCTGTTTCTCTCTCCGGTCTGGAGCATCCAAAGTTTCGAGCTTTTCTGACACAAGTCGGATTACCAATCATCTCCAAGAGAGACTTCGCCACCACGAGACTAGACTTGAAGTACGACGAGGCAAGAGCAGAGGCTGAATCCAGAATCAGAGACGCCATGTTCTTCCAAATCGCATCGGACGGCTGGAAAACAGGGGAGTCCGGCGAGAATCTAGTTAATTTGATTGTGAATTTGCCCAACGGGACGAGCCTGTACAGAAAGGCAGTTCTGGTGAACGGAGCTGTGCCGTCGAACTACGCGGAGGAGCTTTTGTTGGACACGGTGAAGGGCATTTGCGGAAGTTCACCTCAGAGATGTGTTGGGATAGTCTCTGATAAGTTCAAGACCAAAGCACTTAGGAATCTTGAGAGTCAGCATCAATGGATGGTGAATCTGTCTTGTCAGTTTCAAGGGCTCAGCAGTTTGATCAAAGATTTCGTAAAAGAGCTGCCTTTATTCAAATCCGTCTCACAAAACTGTGTGAGGCTCGCCAAGTTCATCAACAACACTGCGCAGATACGAAACGCACATTGTAAGTATCAGTTGCAAGAACACGGCGAATCTATAATGCTTAGATTGCCTTTACATTGCTATTACGACGATGAACATAGAAGCTGTACTAGTAGTAGTAGTAACAAGGTTTGTTTCTTCGAGCCGTTGTTTAATCTACTTGAAGATGTGTTGAGTTCGGCTAGAGCAATTCAGTTGGTAATGCATGATGATGCTTGTAAAGTTGTTTTAATGGAGGATCATATGGCTAGGGAGGTCAGAGATATGGTTGGAGACGAAGGGTTTTGGAACGAGGTAGAGGCGGTTCACGCTTTGATCAAGCTTGTCAAAGAGATGGCTAGGAGAATAGAGGAAGAGAAGCTTCTTGTAGGGCAATGCCTCCCGTTATGGGATGAGTTAAGAGCTAAGATTAAAGATTGGGATTCTAAGTTTAATGTAGGGGAAGGATATGTGGAGAAACTCGTTGAGAGAAGATTCAAGAAGAGTTATCATCCAGCTTGGGCTGCGGCTTTCATACTCGACCCTCTTTACTTGATAAGAGATAGCAGCGGGAAGTATCTTCCTCCATTCAAATGTTTGTCCCCCGAGCAAGAGAAAGATGTAGATAAGTTGATCACAAGGCTTGTGACAAGAGACGAGGCACACATTGCATTGATGGAACTAATGAAATGGAGAACCGAAGGGCTAGATCCTATGTATGCACGGGCGGTCCAGATGAAAGAGCGCGATCCGGTTTCTGGTAAGATGAGGATAGCGAATCCTCAAAGCAGTAGACTTGTTTGGGAGACGTATCTTAGCGAGTTCAGGTCACTAGGGAAAGTTGCAGTAAGACTCATTTTCCTTCATGCCACTACCGGCGGGTTCAAATGTAATTCCTCTCTTTTGAAATGGGTAAACTCGAACGGGCGGTCACATGCAGCCATAGATCGAGCTCAGAAGCTGATCTTCATATCGGCTAACTCGAAATTTGAAAGGAGAGACTTCTCAAATGAAGAGGATAGGGATGCAGAGCTGCTTGCAATGGCTAACGGTGAGGATCATCATCTGCTAAACGATGTTCTTGTCGATACATCCTCGGTGTGACATTTTGAATCTCTTTTTTGATCAATTTGATTTCAGCTTAGTATTTTTTTTTCAATAGAATCTGGCATTTCGTAGGATTGTTTAAATTCTTTACTTTCATTTACTAGTAGTATCTCATACTATATCCATTAATATTCAATTTGTACTTGGTTTCTTTAGAAGGTCGATATGTGATTTGAGTATTTGTATTTCTTGAGTAGCCTATCTATACCATAATTTTTCGACAAAACAGAGCATAGTTGTCTATTTCAGTTTCTTGTCATTATCATCGATGATGATGTATCGGTTAGAAGTTAGAAAACTCTTAATTAATGACAGCTTTTGTGTTCTTCTTTCTCTTGGTACACAGTGTAATGATCCCTCTCGCTTTATTTTTTCACCAAAATTCATATTCTTAATCATGACTTGAAAACATATCATCTTTACTTTTTTGAGAAAAAAATGACTTAAAACTTTCTAAAGTTTAATGTTCTTTCTTCATGATAACGTTTGTTGATGGCAATGACAGATTAAAGAAAGATGCATAGACTTTTGTCATCTATAGTTGCCGAAGAACAAAGCCGAATTTTACATCTACATTAATCTAAGTAACTATATATCAATCTATTAAGTCTTTCAGAAGAAGAAAATATGTGGATTCCTTTCCACCATGAGAGCAAGTTCAATGGGAGATCGAAGTCATACAAGTTCATTTTAAAGGCTGTAAAAGAAGTGGAAGATGCCAATTATAGATGAAGTGTTGCTGATCTATTTGTAGCAAAGATTTGTGATTTACTAAATGATTTCTACCGCTATGAATAGTTTAGAAAAGGTTAAAAAAAATTGTCCACTTGATTGATATGAATGAGCCCATGGTATTGTACTAGTTTTGTGGGGTATTTGTTGAGAAAAAAAGAATCTGTAAACCCATGATTATATATTCTTGTAAAATCATAGCTTTATCAATAGTACCACAAAATTTTGAAATCTAGTGGCAAGATTTTCATAAATGGAGTGACCAGACAGCTAAAGTGAAATTACACAAATTAAGTAAGAACAGTGAAAGCAAAGAAAACAAAAACAAACAATTATTTAGAAATAGTAAAGAGAGAAATACAATTATTTAGATGCTATTTTTCCATTTAAGTTACAGACAAATAGATAAGTCAAGTACCTCTTGTTTTTTTTACAGACTCACACATTACAATACAGACATATATGTACGACATTCTAAAGCACTGTTATATATATTAAATAAATAATTTTCATACTAAATAATAAATCTTTAAAAGTCGAATCTATATAACCTACTGATTGAAAATTTAAAATTATTTAGCAAGGAATCATTTTTTATAATAGGGGTGGTAATTAATTGTAACTGTGGTGGATTGAACAAGGGTGGTACCCCTAAAGTAGAAATCAATAATTATATTTTATACCCCACAAATAGCAAAGTATAACACTTTACAAAAACTTAAAATTAAAAAAAAAAACACTTTTATTTTGTTCTCACATTGTAAAACTTTAAACTTTCTAGCTAGGCATTATTATTCACCTCACCCACTTCCTCCATGTAGTTGATCTTTAACAAGTAAAAAATAAAATAAAAAATCAAACATAAATTAGGTTATGAATCAAATAACCTTAGATTACATTTGTCTAAAATTAAATATTTCGTGGGGGAAAAGATAAGATATTGTGTAATTATGTACTCAAATAATTACAACCTAAATAAAGTAATTGTAATAATTGGTTTGGTATTTTCACCATTTTGGTGGTGAGGCAGAATTTCTTGTCGGCAAATGCTGACTTCTCACCAAATCTCTCTCTGTCGAATTTGATGTATTTTGATTTTCCTTTTTCTTTTTTTTTTGGCGTTAAAAAGGTTTATAAATAAAGCTTAAAAGGAGAAAAAAGAAAAATGACGAATAATCTTACATGATTATGAAAAGAGAACACTATCTTCTTGTTTTAATACGCAAGAATCAGGAAAAATAAATCTTGTTTTAAGAAAGAAAACTAAAGTTTATGTTTTCATCCCTTTTTAAACAAAATTACGAGAAAACAAAATCTATAAAATACGCTAGTTGCATATAATACACATTGAGTTGTATAGGGGTAGTAGTGCATATATATTATATAAGATTCAGTAACCAAATACCATAATGCAGCTTCTTTAATTCTTATTAGAGAATATGGCATTAGGTATGTATGATCTTTTTTTTAACGTATAGTATTACGTATGTTTTGCGTAAAAGACCTAATAACAATCATTTGCAATAGCACTTTTCGTTTATAAATATTTGAAAATAATTGGACAATATTGCATATGGACTGTATATAATATAAACTACATAGCTTGATGGTTAAACTTATATAAAAGGATCGATACATCAACACAAAAACGTTATACTTAAAAAAAAAAGGGATTTAGGTGTATTTAGGGCATATTTGATTGCGCTACTGAATAATCTTACCACGTGGCAAGATCAGTGGTTCGTAGATCATTGCATTCGTGTGCAGTGGACGCTCGATTATTTCAGTAATCCACTGTTGTTGATACACTCCAATCTAATTGAGACATGTGTCTACGTCTTACGAGAGTACACGGTAGTATGAGTAGCAGTAGATAATTTCTCCCCTCGGTAAAGAACTAAAACTACGTCGTTTTGTACTGACTGACAAAAGTTCTGAATATTTGTATACTCGTGTCTACTGGCACGTGCGGTCAGACCGTCTCGTCTCGTATTCTGACCAAATGGTGGATCTCCGTAGTTTTATGATGCAATAGTTCTCCACGAGTGACGTCATTTTTTGTATTTTGAGAACATGTAATTATAAAAAAAAAAGTCCATTTTGGTTATTTGTTTAAACTTAAAGAGTAGAGTAAACTTTGGGCAGACGACATAACGAATGATAACAACCACATTGCTGACACTAAAACATCATTTTGATTTGTAATTATTAAAGCAAGCAATCTTTACAATAACACGATCAGTATTTTCTTTTGTCCACATATATATCTATATATAAATAATCAATCTTAGCTCAACTATCTCGCGATTAACTTTTAAATTAGTTTGAGAACTAGTAAATTTTGGTCTCTAACAAATAACAAATAATACGAATTAGAATTTTAATGTTCGACCTTTTTTTTTGTTATCAAGTTGAAAGAAGAACCTCGCAATGTTTAGATAGTGATGTTAACAAAAATGTTTAGTTTATACAGAGCATCAAAGTACCTACAAGAAAATTTCCATTTTCATGTAATATCGTTGATATATTCTTTTTAAGTTTATGATTACAATTATTTTGTTTAATGGCTGGAGTTATGATACATTGGGTAAAACCATAGGTGGTTTTTGTCATGGTAGATGGAAAGTATATACAAACAAGTCAAACATATACAGTAACAGTACATAGATAATCTAATATATAATTCCTTGATTATCAGCTTTTGTCTCCCTATAAAGTTAATTAAATCGAAAATCAGGTATATAAGACAATGATTCTGTGCAGTGTTAGGGGTTGTCATTAGGTCTGAAATATATAATTAATCCACCCCAACCCCAAGTGTCTTAGTTCTAATTAAAATATTTATGAAGTAAAAGACTCGAGTAGCCTCACATTTACGTTATTTATAGCTTTTGCTACATTTAAATAATGAAAAAGTTGGTATAGCTGAGGTCAAATACAAACTTTAACAACTGAATCGAATCAGAAAATAAGATATGGTAGGTATGCTTATAGTATAGGTAAATCTAAGGAATGCAACTTTTGCTTACTGTAAAAATAATCAGTTATTGGAGTAATGGTGTTATTAAATATTAATCATGATTCTTATGATAGGCTATTTCATAATAATGAAATTAATAATTTGGGACTGAAAATAGAGTTTTGTGGAAAGAGCGATTATCATTCCTCATCATTATATGAAAATGAAAATTGTATAATTAAAAGCATAATGATAAAAAACAGAAGGTATGTTTCCAAATTATGCATTGGGGATATTACAATGAGTAAAACCCTAAATAAGCACGATCGAGCATGTGAAGGAATAATTTGATCTAGGTTTCTTTTTGTTTAAAGGAAATGATGAACCAGGACTATATAGGGTCAATATAATCCATTCTTTTTCGTGTTTTTTTTTTTCCATCATGAATCAGCACCATCATATTAGTTTGATTCGCTAAAAGACTAACACGTTTATCTTCTTAACAATTCAGAATAAATTATTTCAAGAAATCAAATGATTTTGTTAGGATACTCTGGATATATCATGTATACACATTACAAACCAAATATTGGTAGGAATAAAATGATCATTTTTAGTGATTTCGTTATAACTACACTTTAATACACAGATTGAAGATTCTGTATGTATATTATCAAAAGTATGGAATACTAGAGTTGCATAGAATTGATCACTAGACTCGGTACATATTTTACATGAACATTATTACGTATGAGAGTCTATTTGTTGAATATGTAGAACTATTCATTATTCAGAACTAGTATATTCATTTCACTTCAAAACACGTTCCAAAGTTACCTTCTGTACTAGTACTACTACTTTGTTATTTGGACCTATCATCTTATACTGGACAGCCTCTTCGATCAAACAGTTTTAGTTTGCTACGTACATTGCTACTCTAGGTCAACCAATTTTGGATAATCCACTACAAGAAAACAGTCTATTTCTGAGGGACGAAATCGTCAGTAATCCCTCGGAAACGGCTCTTTCTAACGAATTTCCGACGAAAAAAGGTCCTCGGAAATCGCTCGTCGGAAATAAAATGTCCTCGGAAAATCGTCGGAAATTTCCGAGGGATTTCCAAGGGTCAGCTATTTCCGAGGGCTTTTCAAGGAAGCTTAATTTCCGAAGGATTTCCAATGACGCAAAATTTCCAACGGATTTCCGAGGCAATATTTCCGAGGGATTTCCCAGAGGTAATATTTCCGAGGGATTTCTGAGAGGAGGTGTTTCTGAGAACTTTCCGAGGACATCCTTTTCCGAGGAATTTCCGGCGACGACGGATATTTTGAAGAATTCAAAATTTGTAATTATAATTACCAAAATATAAATTAAAACTATAAATAAAATAACAAAATGCCAAAAATAAGATATCCAAATACAAATTATCCAAATAAATTAAAATTATCACAAATTTAAAATAGTTTTGAAAAACAAAAAACAAAATAGTTTTTGGGAGGCGGGAATTGTCTCGGTGAATTGCTCCGTAATCTTGGATTTTTTTGCTTCAATTCTTTGACCGCCTCATCTTTTTCTTTTATAATCCGGTTAAGATCTTTAAGTTGTTGAACAAGTTCATTATCTCGAGGAAATGCCGAAGAGATACCCCCGTCTTATGACATAAGAATTCCTATACCGGGTGTCCGACCTTAGATTAAAGGAATTTACTAAACAAATTAATAAAATTATAATTTATTATTTGAAATAAATAATTATATAAAGCTAAAGGATATTAAAATATACCTCAATACACAAACGGTTGATTTCTTCTTCTGGGTGGAATCTCCGGAGATGTTTTCGGCCCGGTTGATAACTAAAGGAAAAGTTGTGATAAACTTAAACATATATTATGAGAGTAAAATAAGTTAATAAAGTAATATATCATTAAGGAAATTATTTTTTTAGTAGTTAGGTTTACAAATAGTTTATTATGTACACATATATTATAGGAAAACAATTGATGTATCACATTTATTAAAAAATTTGTTTAGTTGTAATCTAACTTTTTATTTTCAGTTATTTTTTAAAACCAACATAATGCTAAAAAATTTAAAACCAAAATCCAATCAAAATGTTTAAAACTATTATCAAAATAATCACAAAATATAAGTTTCTAATTCACTAATTCCAATTAAAATCACAAAACTTATTCCATATCAAAATCTTAATCCAAATCCATATCTAACCAAATCCCATCAAGATCTAATTCTATGGATTCCATACCCTAATTCTAACAAGATATTAACACTAACAACTAGAATCACAAATCAAAATCATTAGAAAGTATTAAACTTACATTATTTTGAGATTTTGGATGAGAAGAAGAAGATGGTGACTTGGGAAGAGATGGCCGACGGGAAGGACGGCGACGGAGACACGGCCGGCGACTGGAACGACCGGCAAAGCATAGGAACGACGACGACGGAGAGTTGTTGTAAAACTGGAGCGGCTGAGAAAAGATTGTGTGTTCATGTATAAATATAAATGTTTCCAAGGGAATATTTAGTCGGAAATCACTTGGAAAGTTTTAGGGCTTTGCCGCGAAAATGAAAAATAGGCGGGTAATAATTAATTTCGCACTGAAATCCGTCAGAAATTCACAAACCCTCGAAAAACCGTCGGAAATTCACTACATGTATAATTGGCCGGTCGAGCGTCTATAATTAAACCAAAAAAAACCAAAAACCATCGGAAATTCCTCGGATATTTCCGACGGATTTCCCAGGGAAATCAAAATTTCTGAGGACTTTCCGACGACCCTTTTTTAACAAAGTAACAATTTTGTAGATTTAATGTATCTAAAAAGTTGTTTAATGCTATACAAAGACATATTTCTGTTAACACAATTACATTTATATCATATTAGATCAAAAACTACATAACTTCTATAAATATAGGATTTTTAATAAATGTCAACTATATATTATCAATATCATCTCACTAACACTTAAGTGTAAATAATGTGATTTTTCAAGTTTTGTATTTTTTTGCCCTATGATACTTTATTATCTAATTTTATTGACAAATATGGCTTCTTATAGTTTCAAACATTACATGAGATTCATCAAAAGTCCAAAATTTTATAAAAAATCTAACATCCCTTGGAAAGTCCTCGGAAATTTCCGAGGGATTTCAGAGGACAACCAAAGTTCCTCGGAAATCCGTCGGAAATTTCCGAGGATTTTCTGAGGAGTTTAGTTTTTTTTTAAAAATCTGACCATATTCATGCACCCTCGGGCAGCCTTCGAAAAAAATATTGACGGATTTCTGAGGACTTATTTTTCCCCTAGGAAATCCATCGAAAATTTTGAAATTTTTCCGAGAACATTTCGACGAACGTTTTTCTTCTCGAAAATTATCGAGGGATTTCCGAGAACCGTTTTTTCATCAGAAATCACTTGAAAGTTTGTCGGAAATCTCTTGGAAAACCGTCAGAAATTTCCAAGGAATTTTTTCCCTCGGAAATTCCGTCACATATTGACATGTTTTCTTGTAGTGATCCATTAGTCCATCACCGTATAAATTTTTCAGTTTTGCTTAGCCACTACTATATACATTAGACAGTAGCAAAACAAAAAGATGCGTTAAGTGAAAAATTGATATTTCGACCAACATACATACATAATTGTTAATTGTTAAGATTAGTAAAGTACTGAATTATCTTCATGATTTGGTTATGTCATATCGTATTAATGTGAATTATTAAAGTAGGCAATCACAAACCCACACGTGTCGATAACATAGACCATCCACGTAGATTAAATTTAAACCACAAACTCAAAGAGTGTGTTTGTTGCCTTCCCTCCATTTTTCGTAGACGTCGTCGCGCGCTTTGTCGCTTGGGCATCCCCTGCGCAAGTTATCATCCTCCGCTTTCGCATAAACAGCGCACTTTAGTGGACATCCGAAAACAATTCGTCTCTTCTCCTCCTTCCCTATGTCGTCGTCAATCTCTGTTCAAACGGGTCGGATCCGGGTCCTAAAGAAAGGCTCATGGCAACCGTCGGATCAAATGGTAGGTCCTGTCGTTTACTGGATGTTCAGAGATCAACGGTTGAGAGATAACTGGGCGTTGATCCACGCCGTTGATTTGGCGAACAGAACCAACGCGCCGGTGGCCGTCGTGTTCAATTTGTTCGATCAATTTCTGGGCGCAAAAGCGAGGCAATTAGGGTTTATGTTAAAGGGTTTGCGCCAGCTTCATCGCCAGATCGATTCTCTTCAAATTCCGTTTTTTCTATTACAGGTGAGTTCAGAGCTCGATCTCACATCAAACCCATTTCAAATTTAACGAATCATAGAGGAAAAAGTCAGGGCTTTTACGTCCTTGTTATCTATGGAAATGAGATGCTAAATGAAGCGATTCTCGACTTTGGATAATAACCTTAGCATTTGTTAGGTTTGTTGAATTTTAGCTGTAAAGTTTTGTTCTTTACTTATATTAAGATGGATCTTACGATGTATCAAATACAGGGAGATGCAAAGGAGACAATTCCTAATTTCATTGCAGAATGTGGAGCTTCACATTTGGTTACTGATTTCTCGCCTTTACGAGAAATCAGGAGTTGTAAAGATGAAGTTGTTAAGAGAACCAGTGATTCATTGGCTATACATGAGGTTGATGCTCACAATGTAGTTCCAATGTGGGCTGCTTCCGGTAAATTGGAGTATAGTGCTAGAACAATACGGGGTAAGATCAACAAACTACTACCTGATTACCTCATTGAGTTTCCTAAACTCGAACCTATAAATAAGAAGTGGGCTGGGATAGTGGATAAGGTGGATTGGGACAGTCTCATCGAAAGAGTTGTAAGGTTAGGTGCTGTTTAATCTGTTTAATATCTCCCGCTTCGTTATGCTTCTTTGGGATTTGAGTTCCATGGTAATTGCGGACAGGGAGGGTGCAGAAGTTCCTGAGATTGAATGGTGTATGCCGGGAGAAGATGCGGGGATGGATGTATTGATGGGGACTAAAGATGGGTTCTTGACGAAAAGGTTGAAGAATTATTCAACAGACCGGAATAACCCTGTTAAGCCAAAAGCACTCTCTGGTCTCTCTCCTTATCTTCATTTCGGGCAGATATCAGCTCAGCGATGTGCCTTAGAGGCACGTAAAGTCCGGAATACCTCCCCTCAGGTTCATAAGCCAATCATACTTTTTAAAGTATATACGTGGGCAGTTTTCTCTGTTTGTTGTTACCTATGGTTCACACTCTTTGGTATTTGCATTGTTTGTCCAATACAGGCGGTTGACACATTTTTGGAAGAAATGATTGTGCGAAGAGAACTTTCCGACAATTTTTGCTACTATCAGCCTCATTATGATTCTTTGAAGGGAGCTTGGGAGTGGGCACGCAAGTCATTAATGGATCATGCTTCTGATAAGAGAGAACACATTTACTCGTACAGTTATTTACTCTTAATATTTTTTTTAAAAAGAAAATCTTCATGTCTTCTATATTTTCCTTAACGGGTATTATAATTGTAGGTTGGAACAGTTGGAGAAGGGACAGACAGCAGATCCTGTTAGTCACTAATCTCTTGTTGCATAGTATCACCTCAATCTTTGTCTGTAGCTTTGATTTTCATTTGCATTTTATGTGCTACTTTTCTGGTTGTTGAATCTTGCAGTTATGGAATGCTTCACAGTTAGAGATGGTTCATCAAGGGAAAATGCACGGTTTCATGAGGCAAGTAAAATCATGACTGTGCTATATAATGGCATTGACGGTAATAAGTGACATTTATCAACATTACATGCAGAATGTATTGGGCAAAGAAGATTCTAGAATGGACCAAGGGACCTGAAGAGGCTCTCTCCATATCCATCTATCTAAATAACAAGGTTTACTTCCACCTTAATTTCATTCTGATCCTTTTCGTTTTGTATCTGGATCTACCACATATTTCCACTATGTTGCGTAAAGTTATTGATATGTTTGTGTAGTATGAGATCGATGGTCGTGACCCGAGTGGATATGTTGGGTGTATGTGGTCCATATGCGGTGTTCATGATCAGGTTCTTCCGTTTTCTCCTTTTACTTGACTAGAAGTGGTAGTAGAATAGATTGGAGAGTATTGTGCGTGTGATTGAGTCTGATTCATCGATTTTTGTGCTTTGACGGGTTTAAGGGGTGGAAAGAGAGGCCAGTTTTTGGGAAGATACGGTACATGAACTACGCAGGCTGCAAACGGAAATTCAATGTGGACAGTTACGTCTCTTATGTCAAGAGTTTGGTGTCAGTAACAAAGAAGAAGAGGAAAGCTGAAGAACAGCTTACCAGAGACTCTATTAATCCGGAGATAAACAATGTTTAGGTCTTTGAACAAAAAACAGCGTTTAGGTCAACTTTGAATGTCTAGGTGTTGCTACTTGGTAGACTTCATTTGTGTTGTATTGTAATGAATGATTTACCTTAAGAAATCTATAACTGAATGACGTGCCCAAGAGAAGATTTTGAAAAAACGAAGAAGGATTTTAGGTGATTTACACAATTGAATGTAACAAGACAATAGCCAAAGATCTGGAAGTCAACTTTATGAGTTGCTTTACATACTTGTCCGACAAACAATAAGTGTACACTTACAGTCGTGATCTCATGATCTGATAATTTTATCTTTTTTTTGTTCACTTGGTTACAAATTAGATTGGGAGATAAGAGAACAAAGACAGAGATTTGATTTGAGATCTGGATTCTCATATTTGAAGATCGTCTATTGATAACTCATTTGCAGTCAGAAGCTTCAATTTCTGTGGGACACAAAAAGGAAAGAGAAGATTACTTCCACTGAGAGGATGATTTCAAAAATTGCCAAATCTCTGAATGTGAAGTATGTGTGTGGCTTACCGTTATGAACTGTGGAGGATCGTCGAGGCTTGTGGATCCGAGGATTACTTCTCTTTTGAGTTTTGTGGATAGTTTGTGGCATACTTTTAACTAAAAATCAAAGATTCCAGGCACTATATCAGGATTTTATGTTTTGATTTTAGTTCCAACAATGAAATTCGTTTTCCGTAGCTTCTTACCTCTGATCTTGTAGCTCCACCAACGATGAACACAAATATTCGCTGTCCCATCTTCCTGAAATCGCTTGAGGCATGTCTCAGTACTGAATCACTGCAAGAAAAAAAAAAATCAAGTTAATAAGTTTCCTTTTAACTGTTCCAAAATTATGCGAGGAAGAACAAAAATTCTGCAAATTAACAATGAGACGCATAATTTTAGGGTTTCACTTTGCTAACACAAATAAGTTATGAAGTTTGACTCACAACCCAATTCATGTTTAGGTTTTATTCATGTTCGATTGATCTTTGGGTTCTTTGTTGGATTGTTTAAAAACTGTTTTACCTTGAATATCCATCATCTGAACCTCGAGGTTTAGCCCATGTTGGTGTGCGTCTTGATCTCATGGACTGAGCAGCTTGACCTTGACTACTACTTGCTGCTGATGGAAGTGAAGTTGATCCATGGAAACCTGGGCTTGGTTCGTTCATACATGGGTAATCCTCTTTCGGTAATTCTCCTTTGCTAAGCTTTTCAATGAGTTCCTGGCAAATTCCAGAATGAAAAAAACAATCAGTAAATGGAAACTTGATATATGCTAAAATTTTTTAAAGTAGTGTCCTATGCAAAACTTTTAAGGAAAATTAACAAAGCCAGTTGCGATTAGTACTTCAATCATGGGGTAAAACCGAGATAACTGCCATGCTGCTTCCTCTTGGCGCTCTTTCCTGACAGCTCGCTTTTTCTGCAGCCATTAATAAGGGAACATTACGAAGATGTACATATATTCATATATATGTGAAGATTCTGAGAGAAGACGTTACCTTGTGAAGATCAAACTTCAAAGTGAAACCTCCGGGGGTATTCTTTTTGGCATCAACGGCTGAACCAAGTAATCTCATATTGTTTACTGCGGTCATGTCATCAGATGGGAGTTTTGCCAACTATAAACGAAAGCAATAAAGCTTTAGATGGGGTGGATGGGAGTCAAACAAAGATCCAGAAGCACTAAGACCGCAAGTACCTTCATTAGATTTAGACCCTTTTCACCTTCAAACTTTTCAGGGTAAATTGTTGCAAGGATCATCAACAGGCGTAACTTACCTTCACGGCTTGCCTCCTGTACATGAGTTCAAAAAAATATAAAGCTCGACAGCTGAGGTCTCAATTTACAGTAATTAATCAACCACTATTAACTAGATGCAAACCTCTTGCGTACTCAAATATTTAATCACATCTTTCATCCCAGCATCACCAAAAACAAGGTCTTGTTCAAGTTGTCCAAGCTCCCGAAGACCCTGTTCTCTGATAAGATCGTTGAGTTTTCTAGCAATCTGCAACGATAAGTAAGAGTTATATGAATTCAAAGCTCAGAGAAAAAAAGCACAACAAGCGGTAACTTTGAACATCTCAAACAGCCTTTTAGACACAAAATCCAATGAAATGTTAACCAAATGATGCAGAATTATAGAGTATTTGTGTGTGGCACCACCATAAATTGAAAGTTATAGAATTCAAGGAAACAAACTAGGGGCATATCACATTTGAAGTTGCGGTGGAAGTAACAAGAAAAGAAAAGGGAGCACTGCACATAACTACCGAATTACCTCTACATGGAGCGAGAGCTTGTCAATTTGCTCACTGTACTGTGGCAACGCTTGAACCATCTTCTGCAGATCCCTTGTAGAAAGCTCACCTCCATCTCTAAAAATAAGAGACGAAAAAATTGATTATAAAAAAAAGGGAGAGAACAAATGAAAGTACTTCTCCAATCAAATAAGTTATAGTACGTAGATCAACACAGAGTGTGATCAAACTGAATGACAAGAGGACACAATCCAACAGTACAATCCGGTTCCACCAGTTCAGTGAAAGTGTTTTAAATGTTCAAGTTGCATTAAAAATGAAGTAATACCTACCTCTTACCATGCTGAAGCTGAGCAGCTTTGTTTTTCGATAAGAAATTAGTCATCTTGTCATGCAATCTTTCACTAGCCTGATCAAAAACACAGGTCAAAAGGATTAACTATTTTCCATTACTGAAATGAGATAAAGACCCAGGTATCAGACTCACATCTGCTATATGTGCATGTCGAAGCTCTAGCCAAATAGGATCGTGTTCCTCCAAGAGCACATCTTTCTTCTCTGGTTGTCCGCCTGATTTGCTTGGAATCTAAAAACTAAAAGAGCATCACATGGAGTATCCAGGAAGAGAGCCACCACAAAATCACAATAACTTATGCAGCAAAGAATTGAACTTACCACATGTACATATTTGTTCCCTTGCATGTCCAGTAAATCATGGCACATAGCATCATAAGTCCACTCATGTATGATAGGGGCAATCTAAACATTCAACACAAGCAGATGCTGCTAATCATATATCATACGTGGAGGAGAAAGCATGAGCGACATAAGTAGATGGATTCAATCTTGTTTTTAAAAAATTAAAAAAGAAAGACTCAGTAACTCAAATCCAATAAACAGATCTAAACCTGGTCTATGGATCTATCAAGGATGAGGAGCTCGCACGTTTCCGTCTGAGGGAAATTTTCAATCGATTGTTTATGTTTTGCCAGACAATTCCAGATGCCAGCTGCAAGCTTTGTGGGGATTAAATCGCGCAAAGTAGTCATTGTTGATGCATCAAGTGACTTTGCTGCTCGGTATCGTACTGCTGGGAATTCCTGTAACGTCCAAAATGATTCAGAAGAATCATCCGCAGATAATATTCATTAAACGTGAGAATAATTTATTGGTACCCGTAGTGAAGCAAAGACTGTGGCAATTCGAGAAGCCATAACATTCAAACATGCATCGCCTTTTCGAGAAGTTTCCTCATCACCGAAAAGATCCTCTAAAGCTCTCTCATGATCAGTGATGAAACCCTGTATAATTTCTGTTAATAAAAGTCTCTTCCAACCCTCTTTCACATCATGAAACATAGAAGAACAACACAATACCACAGTATAGATTACAACATATCGTAGATATAAAAGCGACTAAAATGCACAAACACAAGAGACTCAGAACTGTCATACCTGGCTATCAATCGCAAAAAACTCCAAATTCATCTGTAAAATATACATCGAATGACAAATTATCGATATGGATGTTATCACAGCTCTATAGCACAGATACTTTAGTAATTAATTGAATAGCGCCAATCAGTATACACTAGAAAGTATGACTTTTTTGCAATATACACCTCTCTCAATGCTCCAATCCGAGGTAACACACTCGAATCTTTTTTTATGTGACCAACCAGCTCCTTGGAAACCGGTGAACTGAAGAAAACGAAGGCCCTTCACAGATGCAGAGGAACAGATAAGAAAATGAGTTCTTTAAAGAGATTGTATCTAATATACATAAGATAAATATGAGGTAATCATTTCCTTACTTCTTGTACAAGGGTGATTTCCCAGACATGTCTGACAAGAACATGATGACGCTGATGAAAGAGAGTCGAACATTAATACAAGAGGAAATAACAAATGTCACATATTTTGGAACGCATCACAGGAACATCAAAAATGAATTACTTCTCTTTAGTTGGCTGGATGAAATATATCGCATCCATTGAAGGTAGAGGTTGTCTTCGTCTAAATATGTCTTCAACCACTACAGAGAAATGATAGATGAAGCTAATTAAGTTATTCCCAAATAAAGCATCATATTGACCTAGAATATTTACAAAAATACTTTATTCTCACGTGAAACTCCTTCTTGTGTGATATCAGCCATTTTGCAGGCGTATGACATTATCTTGACAGTGAGTTTGTCCATGATTAGTACCTAAAATGCGTACAAGGAAGAAAATTAAGAAGAAAATTTAGGTATCAACCCAACCCAAAAGTGTACAACATAATCTGGGCATCCCACGGTGCAAGAACACGAAAACAGACCTTCCAGGTGGATTTTGAGCTCCCTGTCTTTGCAGATCTAAGCATCTCATACAAGAGTCCTGGGAAATAAAGAAATGTAAAATATCAGATAAACTACCAATACAGAAAGTCTCACCAAAAAATGGAATAATACTTAAAGAGACCTAAGATAAACAAGCAGTGACAGCAGCCGAAGCTTCATGGAATTTAGACCCAAGGATGCTTAACATGAACTACACATCCTGTAACTCTACAATGTAACTACGATAAAAATCCACAACCCTCGTCTCAAAGCTTTTTCCTCAAACACTAATGAGAAGACTATGTCTGCCCTTTATTATACACAATACAACATCACAAACATGTAAACAGTTTCTGTTCCTAAGTCGATAGGCAGCATTCGGCTAAAATGTATCAACATTTTAGCTCTATTGACATCTCCCTGGGAGAACCATCAGCCATGCTTGTCAATTCTAATATAAAACCATAAACCTCATCTTAAATCTTAATTAGAACCTTTTGAACCCCAAACTAGTGTAACAAGCAACAACATTTCCAAATATCTCATTAAAAAACCTGTCCCAAATGCAATTTTCCGCGACTAATTGAACTCAATATTATTCTCTACGAATTAAAACCGCAGAGAACCTACGCATTATCTTTCTCATGAAGGTAGTACTCAGAGTAAAAACATGAAACAATCACAAATGGAAATGGCTGCTCCGCAAAACCCGGAATCAGATACAGATCATGAGAATCCAAAAAAACGACAAAGTCAATCCAATTCAACGAGAGTCAAAATACACATAAAATTCGAGATCGAGAGAACTCACGTTCACGAGTAATCTGCCGGAAATTCTTGTACTCGCCGGCCTGAGACGACGAATCGGAATCGGAGTACGACATAGCTGCGATCTGCCAATTTCTTCAGACTTCTCAAAATCTCCTCCAGTCAAAATCTCCGATCGACGGATCGAACAAAAAGATTGACCGGAGACAAAGAGACAGAGAGAGACGAAGATCGCGAACTAATCAAAAAATGTAGAGAGAAACGACAAATGACGGAGACGAAGACCGATGAAGAAAGCTCTAACTTTTTTACTTTTTTTTTTGGTTGTCGTTGTTGTTCTCTCCCCCGTCCAATAACTTTTTAATTTTACTTTAAAATTATTGAATTAAATTCTCGAAAACCGCGGTGAAGACCGTGTTGACCCGAACCGGTGGTTTGAATCAGTAAACCAAACTTCGAACCTTCATTGTGGACTAAGTCAGCCTTATCAGGATAATAAAATACTAGATAAGTTAGTTCATTTATTTGTTGAAAGTATTTGAATCAAAAGACTGATTTCTAGGATCAGTTATTCATATAGTCCGAACATGTGAAAAGAAAAACATAAGAAACGGTTGTATAATCTGATATCCACACCGAACACATGTATGGAAAGGAAAGTGTGATAAGGAGATCAAGTGTGATTTTCTTTGATGTAAGTTGAGTGTCGATCTACGATGAGACGAATGAGATTATCTTCAACGATAGACTCAGGCTTGTCGGAATCACGTCTCACCACTACGTTACCGCTGCTTGAGACAACCACAACCTCCTCCTTGCGTGTTGATAGCTCATTGGCTACAACTGCGTGCACTTTGTATTTTTGTAGAGCCTTTGTAGCCTTCTCTATCAAAATCTTCGAGTCTGTCTCAAGCTGGATACAGGATTCCATATCAATTATCAGAATTTTGGAATATTCAATACAAGTGAGACTAGAGAGAAAAGAAGATTGACCTTGAATGATACGCAGAAAGCCTTTGGAGCCCAATTTGATCTCAAGATTGAAATCATTTTAGGGACTTGAGCTAGTCTTATGTCCAAAGGACCAGATCCTGATTGTATTTTGTGCTCTGTCTAGTTTCACAAGAAATATATAAATTAGTATCAGACACAAGAACTGTGTAGCCATTAATCACAGGGATATGAGACTCTTCTTACCATGCTATTCCATGGCACATAGAAGTCAGATACAGCAGCAGCAAGATAAAACATTGAACATGGACCAACATCTTTCAATGCCGTTGCCATTTCACGCAACATCTGTTTGTATATCCCAATATTAACCAGAAACATTCACACAAGAGATAGTAACTTTTAGTTGCAGCTCTGTTGAAGAGAAATTCAATTGGTTTTCTTGGCAGTTGGGCAGTTAAGATTACATAATCATGTGTCAAGACAAAACAAGAAAGATAACTAAAGTAGCTGGTGTAAGATTCAAGAACCTGGAGATATTCATATATGGTTGAGAATGGGAGCTTTAGTAAGCGACCTTCTCCTACTGCCTGCAATGTTAATTTTCAAGGTTACTACACCAAAGACTCGAAACAAGAAACAAAAAACAAAAGTGGTCATCTTTCTTCTTAAAACAAAAACATACAGCTTGCTGGTCCATAACAGCCATCTTCACAGCTTCAGAATGTGACTCACGAACTGAAAATAAAATCAAAAGATGAGTAAATGCACATATAATCTGACACCATACCATACTGAACCCTGCATTCTAAAACCATAAAGTATTACACATATCAGGATAAAGATTAAGAAACAGGTAGTAAAGAAGAAGAACCTCGGATATTTTTGGCATCTGGAAACTCAAAACATTCAAGGAATGGATCATCAGGAAGAGACCGGCAATACGGTTGGCAAGTACCCCTAAAGATCACATAATCAAACCGAGCTAATGAAATTTCACTCATCTTTCAACTATACACAATTATGAATCACAACAACAAAACTAAAGTTACGTACCTCCTATACAGAAAGATCACAGCATATCCAGCCTTGACGAAGTTCCTTAAAAATCAAAAGCCAATTTCGTATTCAAGAATCCTATTTCCATGCGATTTTATATACAAGAGTAGTTCGTTGAAAAGAAAAGACTACAAAAAAAAACTTACTCAGTAGACGCAGCACCTCTATTGCCGGAGCTGAAATTATCGATATACCTTACGCATCGTTGCTCCAATGGAACTGTAGTTCCACCTGAAGTCACACACACAATCCTCCTCTTCTCTCCTGTCAAACATATATTAAACCCATCTATACATCATCCAGATATATATATATATAAAATGTCACTCATTAATATAATTCTGATCTCACCTTGCCGCGAAGAATTCAGCTCAATGAACTGATTGAGCTTCGCTACGACCTCCTCCTTGTTCTTCAGAGGTGGAGACGATTCGAAAAACGAACTGATCTCATCTTCAACCAACCCAGAGATCGAACTCATTTCAATAATTCAATCCCAAATCGAAAACTGAGAACAACTGTGAATTACTGAACTGAGAAATTGGAAGAACCAAAAGAAAAACGGTTGGGCTTTTATTTTTAATCAAATCTTGTACATTGGGCCTTATAAACGGCCCATAGTGTTATTTGCATATGGAGAAGACAACTTATTTAAGAAAGTACTTGCGATGCAGATTATAAGAAGTTACATGTAAGATTATGTTTCTAATTATAAAGATGTACGCATGCATGATCTAAGTACGTAACGACAACCATTAGATGCCACGATGAACAAAAATGTAATCAAATTCAAGATATAACGAAGCCAACGAGAAAAAGCCAATATGTTACTTTAGACTCTTTCTTTGAATCACTTTGACAACAACACCAAATCTCTTTACAAACAACTCTTAAGATATATCCTTGCAAAAAAAGTCATTAGATAAACAGTTTTAAAATATTCACTTGCGAAAGCCATTTGAGGTTTTTTAATTACAACCTCTCAAGACAAGACAAAACAACACCCCACCAATTCTATAACACCCAGCTTAATCAAATGTCATTAACCTCCTAATGGGCTACAAATGCTTATTAAACTCTTGTCGCTTTTATTGCATTCCTTGACCGTACGGTCTTCTACTAACTCTTCCTCGTCGCTGCCGCAATTCTTGCAAATCACCTTGCACTTAACCACACTCCCGTAGACGTAAAAACCAGGCTGAACCATAGCTCGAACCAGACTCTTAAACCGTTCCCCACCAGTTTCCTCCATGTAAATCGGATCAAACCTGTCATCTTTCTCCACGCGAAAGATTTGCAGACCCGGGTTCACCGAATTAGCCAACAGATGAACCAACCAAACACTCTTCGACGCACCAAAGAAAGCCTACAGAAAAAAGAAAAAAAAAACCCGGTTCAATTCAATTAGTTTTGAAATTAACCAAATAAATCCTTTTTAACCGCTCGGTTTAACACTTTGCTTACCTGTAAAAGCGGTTCAGGCCAAGCTCGGTTCCAGCAAAGCATTGAAACGACGTCGCTCATTTTCCGGTCACAGAATCGGCTAAACTCCTCCGAGAAATGCTTCGTCCCTCTGCTCAACACCTCGTCCCACGTGAGCTCCATCAACACATTAAACGAAGCGTAATTGGATTCACAACGATCAATCGGGTTCAAAATCCGGGTCGACCCGTTAGTCTGAAACCCAGAAGCTTCGAAATCTTCAAAGAAGGCTCTGCTCAGAATCGCTTCGAGGTAAAAAATCAGACTTTTAGGATTTTTCGCGAAAGAGTTGATCTTTACATCGAAAGGTTGAAGAAGAAGAGAGAGTCTCTCGTAGACTTTCCCACCGACGGTTCGTAGCTGCGAGGCGAGAGATCTGCTCAGAGCTCTGATCGAAGATCGAGATTCCGACACAGAAACGAGAAATTGCTGAATGATCCTGTCGTTGAATCCGTCTTTTCGAATCGGAACACTCTGTTTCTTGTTGCTACATTCGTCAAGACCTGATTTGAGATTGTGACAGTAAATCTCGAGCTTATTGAGCTTCTTCTCGAGCTCTGCCATGGATGATTTCAACCTGGAAGCTTCTATAACCGCGTCTTCTTTCTTCTTCGTGGCTTGAATGAGTTTATGAGAAAGCTCCGCCACGGCTAACCGCCACTGCTCCTCTCTTGAAGCGTCAGCGGCGGAGGAGGAGGAAGAGCGCGGAGGAAGCGCCGCCGTCGCAGATGAAGGTCTGGGGCTCCTCCGTGTGAGGGATTGAAAGATAGATTTGATTATAAGATTGGGGCTAGAGATGAAGGAAGGGTTGGTGTGGCTTTCGAGAGGTACGACTGAGAATTTGTCACGGTGGGAGTGGTGAGGCCGACACTTGTTGCAGGAGACGGCGCCACCGTCCTCTTCGTCGTTGTCGTCGTGCCGTTTTCTGTTTGAGGGTTTTCCGTTGTGGTGGAGTGGTGTTAGAGTGTGTTGGTGGTGGTTGTTGTTGTTACGGCGGTGGTTTGGTGTGGCGGAAGAACCGCCGTCGCTGCTTGGGGTTGCTCTGTTTTTGTATCTTTCTTCTTCTTGGAGGTCTTCTTCTTCGCATTCTAGAATCTGTAAAGAGAGAAATAAAAATTATGCCAAAGTGAGAGAAAAAAACAAAATCTTTGGAATTGTAAGAATCTTCAAGTGATGAGAATCTAATGGAATCATTGAGAGATCAAAGGAAAAAACTTTAGACGAAAAGGTAACAGTTCTTGCTTCTTTAGACTATTCCTTCATCTTCTCAAGAAAATAATTATGGGTTTAAGGAGTAACACGTAGGAAAACACACTCAGTAACAAGAAGATTCGAGCTATAACGCTCAAACAATTCAACAAATTTTGAAAAGAAAAAGAAAACACATAATTTTGTAACAGAGAAAGACAAATTTGTGGTCTTGGTCTATGGCGAATAAAGTCTTGCGTATATCCTTGGGAAACAAAGAAGAAGGAATTGAGTTTTGACTTACAGGAGTGAACTGAAGGGATTGGTGAAGAGATGGAACAGGAGATTTGGAAGGAGAAGATGAAGACGAAGGAGCCATTTTTTTTTTTTTTCCTTTCCTTTGCTCTCTCTTTTTTTTTTCGCTTTAATATCTCACTTTTATTTTATATACACACACACAAACTAATACACTATCTCATATGATAATATAGATTATATATATCAAGTCAATATTGTAAAATAAATAATTTTAAAATGGGTACTAGAATAATGATGATTATTTTTTTGATTTTTCTTTTTTTTTTTTTGTTAGTAAGTTTTTGGTCAAATATTAAAATTTGTTTCCATCTTAGTACTACAAGCTCAATACCAAAACGAAGACTATGCTGTAATAGACATGTTTTGTTGTGGTAGCTCTAAATATGCATACATTGTCTCATATATATACCATACGTATATACATTTGAATCAAATATAATTGTTCCCAAAACAAATTTTCCTATTATTTAACAGTACATTCATTAGAAACATACAAAATTCATTCAGCATTTGTTTTGTTTCATTGGCGTTAATTATTTTCATTCATTCCAACTTCTGTGTTTCGAAATAATTGTACTTATCTGGTTAGCTCAGCCTGTTTCCCAGCATTAACTCTACTCTACAGTCACTTTTCATGTTTTTTTTTTTTTGGACCAATACTTTCAATTTTGTATCTCAAAAGTATCTAAATTTACGTGTTCGTGTGTGTATGTATGAACTGTGAAGTGTAATAATTATAGTTTCCTTGGATTATGTAAAAGAGATGTTTTAATCAGGGCTTCTCTTTTTCTGTTTTCTCACCATCAATATATTGTTTTAATCTCTCGTCAGCTTGTGATCATTTCTTCTGAAACAATCAGAGGATTTTGCTAAAAGGTATTTTACAGTTTTTTCTTATGCCCATAAAATATTTGTATGTAAGATCTAAAATAAATGAGGTTACTCATCGAGTACTTTGATTTAATTTCCATGTATTGGTGAACATAAATTCTTGGAATCATACAAAAAAAAACACAAACAAAACTATACGTACACGTAGGAGGTGTGTATAGTTATGGTGGGTGTAACGACAATCCCATGTCAGTAAAAAAAAGAAGAGATTTTTATAATCACTTTTCTTTTCTTTTCTTTTCATTTTTCAATCTTTTCCTTTTTTATATAACATGTACAAAACATTGCTTTCAGTAAATGCATATTGGATTGCATATAGATTTGATGTTTGAAAGTTATTTGGTTTTTCTAGTTCTGCTACCATTCAGAACCCATTATAGACTAGAATTCTATTGAAGACTACCCAAAACACTAATTCAATAATCAAAATACCAGTTTATCATCATTACTTATACAGTTATACTCAAACATTTGGATCACGTAGTTTTACTAATTGAGTTATTTACCGTCATAATTCTACACTCAATTTTTTTTTTATAGATTTAAACCATTATTCATTACTTGTACAATTGTGATCCCTAGAAGACTGTTTTCCATTAATAAATAAAGACAATAAAGATAGATGCAGTTCCATGAATCATGAGAGCTCTCGTGAGTGAGTATAAGAAAGAAAAACAAAGACATCAAGATCGCTTTAAAAAGGAAATGAGATATCAACTTTTGCATTGAAGATTTGTAGCGTAGTAATAAATATAGAGAGAGTAGGGGGAATTGTCACATTAAATTTTTGTGACAAGAGGCAGCAAATGCAAATGCAAATCCAGCTACCTCATTTATGATATTAGTTGACCCACGTTACCAAACAAAAACTTCTTTTGGCCTTCCTTATGACTTGATAGATTTGTGTGCCTTATTCATTGGTTCTCTGTTCTCATGTCTTCCCAACTTTTAATCCTCATTCTATAATTCATGTGATTGTTGTTTTGAAATGAATACATAAGCATGATAATTGAGAATGCAAGGGGCAAAAAAGCATTTCTGATTATTGCAGTGTGCTCTGTTCAGAAGAAGATGACACCACGAAACCAATGAAATGTAAGCAAATGGCTATAGACATAATCCATAATGTTTGTAATCAATTTAATTAGCCATACATCTATATATGTAGTGGCAAAACGTGAAGGGGTATCATCAACCTAGAATGATGATATCAAAAGATTCAAAAACGGATATATATCTATATAATCTATAACGTGATCTATCGAATGTATCTTTCCTCCAAGTTTTAAAGATTAGGAAAAGAATGAAAAAAGCCAGCTATAGTATACACTATACAGTATACACACACTTAAAAGCTTGTGAGAGAGCAAGGGGCATGTGATATGGGACAATGAGAGGGTAAGATCGTCCAAGAGCTCATAATTTTTTTTTGAATGGGTTTTTGGTTTTTGGATTTTGGGTTTCTGAAAAATTGGCTGACTTTGCGTGACATGTCTCTGTTCTCCACCGGGTTGGATCATGTGCACGTGACGCCTTCTTACCTTACCTCTCCTCTCCTTTCTTCAACATTAATTTTTTGTTAGAAGAAACAAAAATTTTTGAGATAATATTATTAATGATCCGCATAATGGTCAGACGGACCGCTCAGTATCCGGACAGCCCAACACCGCAGGGAACTTCCGGTTCACGACAAATGCTAGCTAACGTCATCTGTGTTTTCTTCATATCCCATGTTTGTATTCTTCCCCAACGTACGTTTTCACTTTTTTCAGTCATTTGTTTCTTCACTTTTGTGTTGTTTACTTTTTGTGTTTATCTCTGATAATAATACCAAAAAATATCCATACCAATTAAGCACATTATGTCGAATGTAAGTGGTTCGGGTTTAGGTATATTGATTAGGCTTTTAGCCGGTAGAATCCAACGAAAAGCATTTTTAAGAACATAGAAAGCCAAACCCACGAAAGAATTTGGATTAAACCAGAGCCATGTTAGTTTCTTAACCAAGAATTATGAGCTTGTTTCTTTCTACCGTCACTTTGATTATGTAAACGGCATTATTCAGTCTCGTCATTGCTAATTAGTTTTGAAGTTATAAAATCATGATGACTGATCTAATGGGGTTATTCCCCACTTTGTAGTGGTATTTGCATAATAATGTGATGTCCCCGTTCTCATCTTACTAAATCATTTAAATATATTTGAAATTTGAAGTGGAGATGGTTCCAACATAATGTATAAAGAAGATAAGTTAATCAACTTATAATAAAGATATGATCCCCGTCGGCAACGGACCACCAAATCAATTTAGGTCATTTTCTTAAGCATTCATGTGGGAACCCCATTTACTTTTCTTCAAAGAAAAGGCAAGGAAATGATTACATTTAGGTTGTTATAATGGGCTCAAGAACTCCTAAAACAACTGTTTCTAAGCCCATCACTCTATAGTGTTTAACTGTTGTTCAGTAGCCCCAACATGATAAATAGAGATAGAGGCAAGTGAAAGCAACGAGAGACAAACAGAGATAGTATTGTTCCTCAAACTGCTAACAAGTAAGCTTTTCTTACATTACAACGATCACATTTATAAGACAAGCATGTTTTTTCAATTACAACGACATCTATGGGATCATCATATGTACAGAGACAAATACAAGATCCTATAAAACATGTCTCACAATTATATAAATTACTTTTTCTAGATACTAAAGACATGTTCTTCTCCTGATCTCTGATCAACATGTTTGATCCATCTCCTCTTACTATTCTCACTCTTCCCTGAGCTCCTAGCCGCAACATGAGCAATCTCAATACCTCCGGTGACCGGAAGAGTCACCGTTCTAACAACTTTCCGGTCTCTTAGAACTCGTTTCAAGCTCGAAAACCCGTTTCTACTAACCACAACCGCTCCTCTGCTTCCAAACGCAGCGTTCCTCAAAGCAGCCGCTGCGAATTCCTTGTTCCGCCAATCAACGACCAAGAAATCGATTCCTTGTAGCTTCTTCATGGCTTTTTCGGGTTCTTCAGCTACGATCGTCTCTGGTAAGTTCGAAGGAGATGAAGATTCTTGAATGGCTTGAAGATAAGCAGATTCTGATCTCGTGTTTTGTACGATACATACGTGCTTAGCGTTTGCGTGTTGGCTCGCTACGTTTAAACCAATACTTGAAGCTATCGCGTCTCCTTCCGACCAAGTTTCAACGATCAGCTTCACGTTCCATCCCGCCGCCATCGCCGCTATTAGCTCCGCCGCGTCCGGCGTTTCAAGATTCTCGCACTGAACAACACAAACCCGAAAAGAATCACTAAGAGAACAATTTTTACGTATATATAACGAAACTGAGATCTGAGTTTTCGATAACTAGGATAAATATCGAATTTTTCATCGTTCTGAATTGAAATCATTGGTTCTTGTGAATGATAAGAAACTTTGATTATTCCGCCAAGATTCACCGGAAAATAAATGGAAAAAAAACTTACCGATTTAACGGTGTCTATATAAGCCTTGGATGCTGCTTCCGGAGACCAAACCAATTTCATTTTCTTCTTCTTCTTCTAGTTTCTTACGTTTCTTGGGTTCTTCTTCTTTGTTTGGGTTTTAGCTTCAAGGTTGCTTTTTATAGACGACTTGAGACAATAAGAAAAGTCTGGTTTCGTCTTTTATATATCGGCCCATGTATTTTAGTTTTGTATTCGGATTTAGCCCCAATACTATCAGTTTTACTCAAGTACCCCCAAATCTAGCTGTTTATTGAAAATAATGTAACTTTAAAATCAGAGAGTGGAGATAGAGAATGCGACTGTTATGAATAAAATGAGATAATTAGAGTACTATTCTCTTAATAGTTTCGGAGTAAGGTTATATTTCAAAAATATGTAATATTTTGGGAGTGGTAGGTAAATATTCAAAGGGATTATTACTATGTTTTTCTTCTTTCTTTCGGTTTTAAGTGTTTTTCTAAAAGATAAGGTTTGTTTTCTAGATTGTCGATGTTGACACTATTACAAGCGAATTTGACGTGTGTATGCTAACGAGATTTAAACTAAATTAGTCTCTATAATTAGGGTTAAAATATTTCTCATACTGCTTTTTGTTAAAAACTTAAAATAGCTAAGCTTTGAATTTATCATTCTCCTATGGGTAGTTAACTAAATTTCATTTATATCAATACTAATACAAACTACTATGTTCCATGTTCTGATCGACCAAAATATGATTTTATTTCATTGGCTAAAATACTAGAAGTGGATGATGTTAAGCTAACAAAATAATGGTGTCTATTAACGATAAAGGTATCAGCACTTGTACAAATCATTATAAACACTTTGAATTATCTTTTTTCTCAGTTGGATATAATAGATAATGTTTCATTGATCGTTGATAAGGAGTGTTGGATACTTTTTTCCCCAACTAGAGATAATGGAGGATTATCATGGATAATGGCATCAATTTTCAAACAAGTGAATCACACTTCAAAGCAAAAAAAAACCAAAGAAAGTTATATAAAGAAGAACTCAAACATGTGAAAATAATCCCAAGTGGAAGCTAGGGCAACTTTTGAATCACATGATGATATCATAACATTTTGCTATATACATTGATGGTGACCAATGCATTTAACCAAAATTGTATCTTGTACCCCATAGATCAAACTATGTGGGACAAATCAAACCTTTTTTATAATTCCTATGTCACTTTGAAAACGACTTCATCGGCTCTGGCTTAAAGAGATTATTAGGTCGTGTTTATTCTTTCTATCCCACTACTTTCTCAAATCTTAATCATTTGTTTTTATCGTGGATGCATTTTTAGCGATTTCATTTGCCACACTGATATGACCCCATACACTTTTTGTTAAAGCACTTAAACAAAATAACCTTGCAAACCCACTCAAATTTATCCTATTAAATATTTAATTATTTCATTTTTAATTTCTAGCTAGCAAACATATGAAGACTTTATGGGGCAAAAGTTTCAAAAATTCGATCATGAACTTTAAATTTCCACTAATGTGATTGGTTAAGTTGGTTACACAAAAATTTAACTTCCACTAATATGATTGGTTAAGTTGGTTAGACGAAATATATAGTTTTGCTTTATGTAATTGAATATGCGTTGTTGAAGCTAGCTACAGATTTAATAATGGGCCTGATTTAGTTGGGCCTTGAATGTACACCAAATAATACGGCGTCGTATCAATACCTCTCTCGTTAAAAAGTTACGAACGCCACACTCCGATCCCAATATCGTTTGTGTACAGAAGAAAGAAGAAGCAAAAGAGAGAGAGAGAGAGAAACATCCGACCCGGAATCTGACCCGAAAACCCGGAAGAATCGAAAAATGGGGAAAGATGGTCTGAGCGACGATCAGGTCTCGTCGATGAAGGAAGCCTTCATGCTCTTCGACACCGACGGAGACGGCAAAATCGCGCCGTCGGAGCTCGGGATCCTCATGCGATCTCTCGGAGGAAACCCGACCCAAGCGCAGCTCAAATCCATAATCGCATCCGAAAACCTCTCGTCTCCGTTCGATTTCAACAGATTCCTCGATCTCATGGCGAAACATTTGAAGACGGAGCCTTTCGATCGCCAGCTCCGTGACGCATTCAAAGTGCTCGATAAGGAAGGTACGGGGTTCGTGGCTGTAGCGGATCTGAGGCATATTCTCACCAGTATCGGAGAGAAGCTGGAGCCTAATGAGTTCGATGAGTGGATCAAGGAGGTGGATGTTGGATCCGATGGGAAGATCCGGTATGAAGATTTCATAGCAAGGATGGTCGCTAAGTGAGATCTAATCTTTTTTATAATCCCTTTGTTTGAAAATTTGAAATTTTTAAGAAGAGAATCTTTGTTTTATCAATGTGGTTTGCTTACTAACTTTTATCTTCTTCATGTTTGTTTTCAATTTTAATGGAATATGATGTCTTGTGTGATTCGTTTCCTCTTTATCTTATCTAATCTCTAAGAATGTTATATCTCTCCTTTGTTTTCATAAAACAGTGTTCTTTATGCCTTTCAGCCTTTGTGATTCCTTGGATTGGATCAAGGAATCTAATCGATTCCAATGTGCAGACTTTTTGTTAGTTCGTTCTTGAAATGTGTTTGATTTAGATATCTATCAGTGGCTTTTATAAGCTTTTCATGTGTTGATGACTTCATTTCATGTTCTGTATCTTATAAGCTACGCATAGTTTAGCATGATAACCCTTCTTGACTGAGACATTATCTTCTTGTTCGTATCCGTTTCGATTACTGAGTAGGACTGTGTTTTGTTGGTATTTGATATGGAAAGTAAATGATTTGGAGATTCATATGCTGTTGGATTTTGGTATGTTGTTTCGCTTTTGCGATTGTATGTCGTAACTGGATATCATAGAAGTTCGTCATAGAAGTTAGCTGATGGCACTGACATTTTAGTTCAGGATCTTGTTATGTTAGTTTTTGACTCGGCTTTGTTTCTTGTTATGGTAGTTTTTGTTTACATATGCATGTTCCTGTGACTTCTTACTTCATTATTTGTTCCCAAGATTTGAAAATGTTATAACATCTGAATTTGGATGCGATGAGCAAAATTGAGAGTTTACACGGGATTCAAGTTTGTCGAGTTTGAGGACATTGAAACCGCTAGATTCCAAAGTGTGTTAGATAGTATCCTAATGAAGGAGTTGCAGCTCGTAGAACATTAGGAATCCATAAGCATAATAACTATCTCGCAGAGTTTGGTTGGGAAACATCTGTTATGGTCCCAGGGAAGGGAGATGTATTCAAACACGTTCCTAGCTATGGGTAATCTCTCCGTAACATCTACATAAGATAAAGATAATGAAGGCCCCATGGAACAAAAGTCCATGCTTCTCAACCCTCTCTAAAGTGGTAATAGGAGGGTGTGTCGATTTAACGTGGCATCATTAATTCTTAGTTTTGATGGAAGAAGCGAAGAAGCAACACTGAGATTATAAGTTTGGGAATTTTACGTTTTCGTTTGGGAAAACATATAGCTGAAGAAAATATACAAACGACACCGTTTATAAATTGATTTAATTTGATATTTGGGCTATAGGCCCTTTCTTCTTAATGGATCCAAAGATATAATAAGATCCAACAATTCGTCTCGCTAAGGGTAAAGACCGAAACCTCGTTCTGTCTTATCTTTCCATTCATCATCACTGATGAATTGTTGTTCCTCTGTCTGAGTGTCGTGAGACCATCAAGTTTGTTAATGGTTATGATGAGCCAAGGGGGAGTCATAATCTCATCAAAGATGGGTTCGGGATTACGCATCTGTATGTATGGTCGAAGTAGGCAAAATCTCACCTTTCCAAGCAGATCAACCATGAATTTTGTTTGAATAGATGCTGAATTTACATAAGGTCGTTTTGCTTGAAAGTGTTGAGATCCGCAAGATTTGAGTAAGATTTTGCCTACTCCGCCCATACCATACATAGCCTTAATCCTGAGTCCATCTCTGGTGGGTTAAGTACTGTGCGGGAGTCCGAAGCTGAGCTTTGGAAGGCTAAAACTTTTAATTACTTGCCTAATCTGGAGACTGTTTATTAGACTTTATGTTGCCACTGCTTGAATGCGTGTTTTTTTGCAGAGGGAGGTAAATGTTGCTGTTCTTAAGCCACCATACGATTGAATGCTTGTTTCAGTTCTTGGATTGGGAAGCCATGACTGTCGTGTTCCAGAGCTATTAGTTCAGGTACTCATTTCAAAGATTACGGTATCAGATTCTGCATTGACCTCATCTTCTAAGTAATCAGCTACGGTGTGATTAATAGAGTTGAGTAAAAAAAAATTAATGGTATGGTTTTACGAATAAACTAATTCGTTTATATGCTTTTGGAAAAGACGGGGTTTAATTAGGCGTCAAAATAAAGGCGAAGTCTTTTTTCGTAGGCAATTTCCAAATACTATTTAGTAGAAATGAAAGTGACATAGCTACTGTAGTTGCCTCTACAACTGTCATATTCTTTGCATTTTGATATATTACATATAGTTTTGGTGCTACCATGCATTATGACGATACAAAAGAAGAAGACTTTGACTCTTTCAAACAATTTTTTCCTGCAAATTTCCTAGTTGGGGAGTTATTTCTTTTCTTTCACCTAATCTTTTCTCATCTCATATACTAATTTTCAGTTTATGATTAAGCTTCCTCGTTTCTTTGTGTGTCTAGTGCAAGATGGGTGGTTGTGTCTCTGTCCAAGTATCATGCGATGAATTTTTGAACCATTTCGGTAGATGCTTTTGCAGAAAACTTAGTTATATTCATAATCTCAAGGAGAATCTCACGGTTCTGGAGGAAGCCATGGAAGATCTCAAGGCTGTACGAGCTGATCTGCTATGTAAGGTGCAGACAGCAGAAGAAGGAGGTCTACAAAGGCTTCATCAAATCAAGGTATGGCTTAAGAGAGTCAAGACTATCGAATCCCAATTCAATGAACTAAATAGTAGTAGAACTGTTGAACTTCAAAGGTTGTGTTTTTATGGTGCTAGCTCGAAAAACTTAAAATTGAGCTATCACTACGGAAAAAAAGTCTTGTTCATGTTGAATATAGTTGAAGACTTAAAATCCAAAGGGTTTTTTGAAGAGGTGGCTCATGCAGCTACAAGAGCTATGGGGGAGGAAAGGCCTCTCCAACCGATGATTGTTGGTCAGGAAACAATTTTAGAAAAGGCATGGAACCACCTCATGGATGATGGAACTAAGATTATGGGTCTCTATGGCATGGGTGGAGTAGGAAAAACAACTCTTCTCACTCGGATCAACAATAGGTTTTGTGACACCGATGATGGCGTTGAAATTGTCATTTGGGTTGTGGTGTCTGGTGATCTACAAATCCAAAAGATACAAAAAGAGATTGGCGAAAAAATAGGATTTAAAGGAGTTGAATGGAACAAGAAAAGTGAAAACCAGAAGGCAGTCGACATACTCAATTTTCTAAGCAAGAAGAGATTTGTGTTGCTTTTGGATGACATATGGAAGAGAGTGGAACTAACCCAGATTGGAATCCCGAATCCAACAAGTGAAAACGGATGCAAAATAGCATTCACAACTCGCTGTCAAAGCGTATGTGCGAGCATGGGGGTTCATGATCCGATGGAAGTCAGGTGTTTAGGTACAGATGATGCGTGGGATTTGTTCAAGAAAAAAGTTGGAGAATTCACATTAAGAAGCCACCCTGATATTCCCGAAATCGCAAGAAAAGTTGCTCGAGCATGTCGTGGCTTGCCACTAGCGCTAAACGTCATTGGAGAGACAATGGCATGCAAGAAGACAACTCAAGAATGGGATCATGCAGTAGACGTTTTAACAACATATGCTGCAAATTTTGGTGCTGTGAAGGAGAAGATTCTTCCCATTTTGAAGTACAGCTATGATAATCTGGAAAGTGAGAGTATTAAAACTTGTTTCCTATATTGCTCTCTGTTTCCTGAAGATGATTTAATAGAAAAAGAGAGGCTGATAGATTATTGGATATGCGAGGGATTCATTGATGGATATGAAAGTAAAAAAGGAGCTGTGGACGAAGGCTATGAGATACTCGGTACTCTTGTTCGTGCCTCTTTGTTGGTGGAGGGAGGAAAGTTCAACAATAAGTCATATGTGAAAATGCATGATGTGGTTCGTGAGATGGCCCTGTGGATAGCATCTGACCTCAAGAAGCATAAAGAAAATTGGATTGTGCGAGCTGGTTTTGGGTTACACGAAATACCAAAGGTCAAGGATTTGAAAGTTGTGAGAAGGATATCATTGGTGAATAATAGGTTTAAAGAGATAAATGGCAGTCCTCAGTGTCCCAAACTTACAACTTTGTTCCTTCAGGATAACCGCCTTCTGGTAAATATATCAGGTGAATTCTTCCGGTCTATGCCAAGGTTAGTTGTATTGGATCTATCATGGAATGTCAATCTCAAAGTGTTGCCGGAGCAAATATCAGAGTTGGTTTCATTGCGATATCTTGACTTGTCAGATTCGAGCATAGGGAGGTTGCCAGTTGGTTTACTTAAGTTGAAAAAGCTGATGCATCTGAATCTAGAGTCTATGTTATGCCTTGAGAGTGTTTCAGGGATTGATCATTTGTCGAATCTGAAGACGTTAAGGCTAGCAAATTTAAGAATGTGGCTAACTATGAGCTTATTGGAGGAGCTGGAACGTTTGGAGAATTTAGAAGTTCTAACCATAGAAATCATATCAAGTTCAGCATTGGAACAACTGTTATGCTCTCACAGATTGGCGAGATGTCTACAAAAGGTATCCATCAAATACCTCGACGAAGAATCAATACTGACTTTGCCATCTATAGGCGATCTCCGGGAAGTCTTCATAGGGGGATGTGGAATGCGGGGTATATTTATAGAAAGGAACACAAGCCTGACAAGCCCGAGCTTTCCGAATCTATCAAAAGTGTTAATAACTGGTTGCAATGGTCTTAAGGATTTGACGTGGTTGTTGTTTGCTCCAAACCTCACTCATCTCAACGTTTGGAACTCACGCCAAGTAGAAGAGTTAATAAGCCAAGAGAAAGCTTCATCGACTGATATTGTTCCTTTCCGGAAACTAGAATATCTACACTTGTGGGATTTACCTGAACTGAAGAGCATATATTGGAGACCTTTGCCCTTTCCATGTCTGTATCAGATCAATGTACAAAACAAGTGTAGAAAGCTGAGAAAGCTGCCATTGGATTCTCAAAGTTGCAGTATAGCGAGTGAAGAACTTCTGATACAGTATGGAGATGAAGAGTGGAAAGAAAGGGTCGAGTGGGAGGACGAAGCGACAAGACTCCGTTTTTTACCATCATGCAAGTTGGTTTTGTATAATCGATGAAAGAAATCAAAAACCTTGAGAAAGAAACTTGAATGGTCTCAACAGGTCATATTGTGATGCTGCCTTATCCTGTTTTGTTATGTTTTGAAGTGTTCCTTGGATTGTAGTTTGTGTGATAGTCATCTCCCTTTGTGATCTTTGTGTAAATGAGAGAATATAAAGTTGTAATCGTTAAGTGTTCTTCTACGGTTCTGTAGTAGATCAAAATAGTGTATTCAGTACTACTACTCTGCTTCATTCATACAGTTACCAACATTTCAATTCTTTTTTTTTTTTTGCAAGAACTAACTAATATAAAGTCCGGTTCAGACCGGTTAAATAAGAAGTCGATGTGTTGAAAATTCACATAATTAAAAGCCACGTGGCGAAATTAGGATGGCTCAAATCAAAAAACACAAGACGATATCATCTTGTCTAGCATCGCCATTGCCTCCGCCGGGAGCTTCACTGTTTCGATCAACGGAATTGGGGTAAAAATAAAATCGTTTTGATTTCGTTTCAAGGAAAGACCTGTGAGACAGATAAATCTTCAATTTTGTTTGATTATTGTAAATTTTGTAATTCCTTTCATTATTTTTACATTTCGAAATGATAGTTTCTCTAGTAAGTTGTCATATACATGTAAGAACAAATTAGTCTTGGTCAAGTAGCTCACCTACTCCCTCAAATTTGTTTTCTTGGCTTTTCCTATGGTTGGGATAAGGTTTTTGATCTGTGATTTTTTTTTGTCTTTGTCTGTTTTTTATTTCATTTTTATTACCTGAACTGTGATGGGAGGTTGTGTCTCTGTCTCGTTACCATGTAATCAAGTAGATGAATCAGTTCTCTCAGTGGTTATGTGTCAAAGGTAGTTATATTCACAACCTCTCTGAGAATCTGGCTTCTCTTCATAGTAGTGCTCAAGGCAAATAGAGATGATGTGCAAGGAAGGGTAGACCGAGAATACTTTACTAGGGGTCGTAGAAGGCTTTCCCAAGTCCAGTTATGGCTTATGAGTGTCCTAAAACTGCAGTTCAAACAACTAAAATCCCCATTGCCTCTTCTAACAATTCATATAGTTGTTAGAAGCAAGCAGCTATGTGAATTGATATTAATGATTGTAGATTTGTAGTTGTTGCAGCACATGTTTTAATAGTGTGATTCCGTTTGTGAAATGTTATTGGATTTTTGCGTTGGATGGTTTGAATGTGAAGTTTGAGTTGTTTCTTGCAGAGGTGAATCCTGTTCCTAAGCCATATATACTCACCAATCACCATATGATGGATTTATGTTTTGGTTTTTGTCTTTTTTTGTCAGGATAGCAGATGCATAGCCATAAGTAACTATCGTGACTATTTGATCATGCCAAGGATGTTCAGGTAATTTGTTGCTCGAATGCATCTAATGTTCTGCATCAAGTAGCAACAATATTTGTGGATATGCAATATTTTAGGGAGAAAAGGAACCAAAAGTTATTTACATTTACAAAAAAAGGAACCAAAAGTCCATCAAATATTACTCTTTATGACATTTCTACAAGGCTGTGTTTTGTCTTACATGTACAAAAGGAATCTTTTTGCAATATTATAAGAATGATGGGAAATGTCATAATCGTGGAGAAGTCAAAGTCTTTTTCATCAATTTATGCATACAGTGGCATCTTTAAATATTTTTCCCTTTTTCTTAGGTGACATCTTGTGAATTGTGTGGTTAAAAATCTATGATACTTCTACATCTCCTCTGTTCATACTTTTAAATAATTGTCACTCACTCAAGTTGGTTCCAGTTTTGCTCTCTTTTCTCTCTCTTTCTCTCCCTCTCTAGAAATGGCAGGTTGTTTCTCGGTCTCGTTTTCATGTGATAAAGTCGTGGATCAAGTCTCTCAATCGTTATGCCTCAGCGGGAGTTATATTCACAAACTCGCTAAGAATCTTGCGTCTCTCGAGAAAGCCATGGGACTGCTCAAGGCAAAGAGAGATGATGTGGAAGGAAGGGTAAAGAGAGAAGAGTTCACAGGGCGCAAGAAAAGACTTTCTCAAGTCCAGGTATGGCTTACGAATGTCCTGACCATCGAGAACGAATTCAGTGATCTGCTTGGCACTAAGGACGTTGAGATTCAAAGGTTGTGTCTCTTTGGATCTTGCTCTAAAAATGTAAAAAAGAGCTATCTTTATGGGAAAAGAGTTGTCCTGATGTTGATAGAGGTTGATAGTCTTAGTTCTCAAGGAGTATTTAATGAGGTAACTGTGGCAGCTCCAGTAGCTGAGGTTGAAGATATGCCTATCCAACAACACACGATCGTTGGTCAGGAAACAATCCTCGAAAGGGTATGGAATCGTCTCATGGAAGAGGGAGTCGAGATTGTGGGTCTTTATGGCATGGGTGGAGTTGGCAAGACCATCCTTCTCACACAAATCAACAACATATTTTCTGAAAAATGTAGTGGATTTGGGATTGTTCTATGGGTTGTGGTGTCTAGAATTCCAGAAATCCATAGGATTCAAGGAGACATCGGGAAAAGATTAGGCCTTGGGGGAAAGGAGTGGGATGATAAAAATGATTACCAGAGAGCCCATGACATACGCAGTGTCCTTCAGAAACAGAAATTTGTGTTGTTGTTAGATGATATATGGGAAAAAGTGAATTTAGAAGCGCTCGGAGTCCCGCAACCAAACTTGCAAAATGGATGCAAAATAGCCTTTACCACTCGTTCTAGAGATGTGTGTGTGCGTATGGGGGTTCATGACCCGATGGAACTCAGTTGTCTAGAACCCGACAAAGCCTGGGAATTGTTCCAAATGAAAGTTGGAGAAAACACATTGAAAGGCCATCCAGACATTTCTGAACTCGCAAGAAAAGTCGCTGGAAAATGTTGTGGCCTACCATTAGCACTTAGTGTCATTGGCGAGACCATGGCATGCAAAAGGATGGTACAAGAATGGCATAATGCAGTTGACGTTTTGAGTTCAAATGCTGCAGAATTTTATGACATGGAAGTCCAAATTCTTCCAATTCTTAAGTTTAGCTATGATAATTTAAACAAGGAGCAGGTGCAATCGTGTTTCCTATATTGCTCTCTGTTTCCTGAAGACCATCGTATTGAAAAAGAAAGGTTGATAGATTATTGGATTTGTGAGGGACTCATTGATGAAAATGAAAGTAGAGAAAGAGAATTAAGCCAAGGGTATGAGATTATTGGTATCCTTGTCCGTGCATGTTTGTTGTTGGAGGAAGCAATCAATAAAGAACCAGTGAAAATGCATGATGTGGTTAGGGAGATGGCTCTATGGATTGCATCTGATCTCGGGAAGCATAAAGAAAGATGGGTTGTGCAAGCCGGTGTTGGGTTACGTGAAGTACCAAAAGTCAAGAACTGGAATTCTATGAGAAGGATGTCTCTAATGGAAAACGGGATTGAATCGATAACTGGCAGTCCCGAATGCCTGGAACTTACAACTCTGTTCCTTCAGAAAAACGATTCATTGCTACATATCTCGGATGAATTCTTCCGGTGTATCCCAATGCTAGTTGTTTTGGATCTATCAGGGAATTCAAGTCTCCGGAAATTGCCAAATGAAATATCCAAGTTGGTCTCCTTGCGCTATCTTGACTTGTCATGGACATGCATGAAGTGGTTACCTGATGGCTTACAAGAGTTGAAAAAGCTCAGATATTTGAGATTGGATTACATGAAGAAACTTAAGAGTATTTCAGGGGTATCAAATTTGTCAAGTTTGAGGAAATTGCAACTTATACAGTCTAAAACGTCGCTCGAAATGAGCTTACTGGAGGAGTTGCAGCTCTTGGAACAGTTAGAAGTTCTAAACATAAGTATCAAGTCAAGCTTGGATGCGGAGAAGTTAATACATGCTCCCAGGTTGGTGAAATGTCTTCAAATTGTAGTGCTTAGAGGGCTACAATCATCTGGGGTGTTGACTTTGCCAGATATGGATAATCTCCGTAAAGTCATCATTAGGAAGTGTGAAATGTGTGAGATAAAGATAGAGAGGATAAATGTATCATTATCATGGAACCGAATTCCCACAACTCATGGCTTCCCAAACCTCTCTACTGTGCATATTCGTAGCTGCGATGGTCTGAAGGATTTGACATGGTTGTTGTTCGCTCCTAACCTCACTAGTCTCGAGGTTCTGGACTCAAAACTAGTAGAAGAGATAATAAGCCAAGAGAAAGCTACGACTATGAGTGTCATCATTCCTTTCCAGAAACTAGAGAGTCTACGCCTACACAATCTACCAATGTTGAGGAACATCTACTGGCTACCTTTGCCTTTTCAATGTCTAAAGACAATACACATAACGAAGTGTCCTGAGCTGAGAAAGCTTCCATTGGATTCGAAAAGTGACATGACGGTTGAAGAACTTGTCATTAAATATCAAGAGGAAGAATGGTATGAAAGAGTTGAATGGGACGATGAAGGCACTAGACTCCGTTTCTTACCTTCCTTCAAGTTCTTTGGACCTGAATGGCAAGTTATGTATGTGCGGTAGCAATTTTTAGAGTTGAAGCTCTGTGATGATTCAAATTTTGTGAATGACAAAGTTGTTTACTTGTTTTGATAAAAGAGGTTACGCATTGTTTTGAACTTTTGATTATGTCCAAGAAGTATATAGAAACAGAAATGTAAAGCGACCAATATTTCACAAGACATACAATGAAGGATCTCAATAGAAGTGCTGTCAGAATAGTCTGAAAATTTGATTGCACTTTGTACGGAACACATAAAAACGTCGGCAAACCTGACCATCCTGTGTTTTAGCGGGGTCACAAAACTTTATAATTGTTTCACATTTTGCAAAAATAATACTGTACGAGGGAAAAAGAAAAAAAGAATCTGCAAAAACGGATATTTGACTTCTGAGTTTTACTTCATCTGGACAATCCCAGCGCTAATAAGCTTTTGAATCTTGTTCATAACCATTGGATTTTGCATGTGTTTTTGTGATGCGCTTGGATTCTCCTGAAGATCGCTCAGTACCTGTTTGGAGAAGAAAGGTTTCAGGTGGTTAAGAGGTATAATAACATGCAAACTCAATCCAATAACTAAAATATAGACAGATCTGTCGAGATATCTCAGGACAGAGTGTAACATTGGTCGTAAGAAATTCAATTCAAACAAAAATTGCTCCTTTACCTGTCTCATTACAGGATCTGTAAGGATGTTCTGGATTTCTGGGTCTTGCATCCCCTTTGCCTACACAAACAAAAGGAGAAATCCAAGTTTGCTTCCTGGGTACTCTTTTAATCAGAAAAGAGGGGAAAATACTTGAGAATCATCAGAATGTAACCTGTCTCTCTTTCAATTCCTCAGGAGTAAGGTCCCCGCGATTAGCCTTGTTGATTTGTTGTACACATCTGCACATTTGAACGACATTAAGCAAATTCATGGTATAGATAAAGAGTTAATATCTTGTGTATATCTATCTATATACCTTCTAACACCATCAAGAAGTTCCTGATTATTAGGATCATGCTTGAGCCCCTCTTGGTATGTTTCCATTGCGTTGTCATACTCCTTCAGGAAGAATTGGACTGCAGCTTTTCTGCTATATCCTTTCGAGAAGGTTGGATCGAGTTCAATACACTTGTCTGCATCCTTAAGTCCGTCAGGCATTGCACCAAGCTTAGTGTAACACGCAGATCGGTTGCTATATGCCTAACAAAGGGTGCAAAAGAGTAGGAAGTTAGTCAAACAGTTAATATAATGAATCATTGTACAAACCATGAAAACATATGAATGACAAAATGGCCTTACTTTTGGGTCTTTTGGGTTCCATTTGATTGCTTCATTGTAATGTTTTATAGCATCAGGATACTTCTGCTCTTTGAAAAATTCATTACCTGCAATTGAAAAAACCAAATCAGCAGGCAGTAAAAATGCTAATTTGTTCTTGTTTCCTTATTCTCTAAGCTTTCTCTTTTTCCACACAAACAAGATAAACTGCAAAAGCAAACACCTTTTTCACGCTCTTCCTCCCCAATCTTAGGGTCGAAATACTCCTTCTGCTCGCACTCTTTCTTCGCTCGTTCTGCCTCGTGCCGTTTTTCCAATGTATCAGGGTTGCGGTGCTCTGTAAGAGCTTTCTGGAAAGCTTCTATTGCAGGTTCATAATCTTTAGCGCATTTCGCCAACTTGGTCAAAGCAGTTCCTTTCCTAGTCAAAGCTCTAGCTATCATCTTGTAATCTGACCTAAGCTCTCTACCCCTTTCCACTGCCTTGTCACAATCCTCAATGCACGCATTGTACTGGATCAAAACACATTGACATTTAAAACCAGTCACCACTGTCACTCATACCTATCAGCAGAAAAAGAGCACTATACATATGAAAATTTTATACCTCTCCCATTTCAAGATAAACAGCAGCAAGATTTGTGATGTATGAGATATCTTCATCATCAATCTCAATAGCTGTAGAATAATGGTGAATGGCAGTTTCGAATTCCTTCTTCTTGTACGCAGCGTTCCCAAGCTCTTTCTCCTTTTCGGCTTTCTTTTTCCTCTCTTTCTTCTCCTTTGCTTCCGTCACCTCCGGCTCAGGTTCTGGCTTCTTCTCAACCTCAGGCTCGTTCCTAGAACTCTGACCCATATCAGACTCAGCAACCTCCGCCTCGTCTCCCGGAGGCTGCCTGAAATTAACATTCAATAGAACACCAAGAGATTGCATCACTCTCTGGTCCTTCAAATACAAATTGAGATTGCTAGGGTTCTTCTGAATCTCCTGCATCATGCTAACAAAATCAGGCTGCTGCAAAAAGACTTCAACGCCTCGTTAGTCGGATCAATATCCAAACCCTTCTTATAAGCCGTGACAGCCAGCTCGAACTGGTTTAACCCTACGTGAGCAGCGCCGAGACGACTATAACCTTTAGGCCAGTAAGGTTTCTCCTTCGCGTCGGAGAGAGCATCTGAGTATTGGTGAAGTGACGCATGAGCAGCGGAACGGTTTGAGTAGAGGACGTGATTGGTCGGAGCAAGATCAATAGCTTCGGTGAAGTGACGTATGGCGGAGGTGAAGTCACCGGAAGAGAAAGCAGCGTTGCCTTTAGCTTTAGCTTCTTCCGCCATGGTTGAATGTGAGATTATGCAAAGTCTCTTGGAGCTTCCTTGGCAGAGACTGAGAACAATACCGTAAACAAAGACTTGTGTTTTTTTTGGGTTTTGAGAAATTGCGGGGACTGTTTAGGTTCACCGAGACTAGAGTTTGTTAGTGGATCCTAATCCAGGTTTATTATTATACTCGTTGCGTTTAATTGTGAGATTAGATTACTACAAAACGGCAACGTTTTATTATGTTATGGAGACTCCGGTTATTAGGAGACCCACGATTTAATTTCCGGTTCAATTTCTTTTGGTACCCTCTTTATTTTCATATGAACCTCTTTTAATCGTTCCCGAACATAAATAAAAAACAACTGATCGGCATTATTAGTTGAGTTTATTGTTTATCTCTGGATTTGGGAAATAAAGTTATAATCAAAACTAGTTAATTAATGGTCGTTATTAGTTGAGTTTGTTGAGTTAGTATTCGTCGAATTAAAAGTTCATCCAGTAATTTTTTCTCACTCAATGATTCATTATCGCATGAAATAATTAGTCGTTTGGTGCATGTTATAGTGATTAAAGCCATGCATTTAAACTATGTTTACGTATAATAATTAATGATAATTAGCTTACGAAAATTATTAGGAACTACTAATTATTAGAATTTTATGTGCGCTTATTTATCATATGAAAATACTGCATGGTGGGGCTAAATATTATTTACTGGGGCAGATCTAACTTAACATAAATTTTCTATGAATTAAATTTCTAATACCACAGTAGATTATATCATTTCTTCTAAACATATTAACATTTACAGTATCAATTTTGACTCTCATAACAAAAACAAGTTCATAAAATAAGTTCACAATTAGGACCGTTTTCATCTGTTTACATGCTTGGAACATAGTTTGTCTCGCACCTTTGTTTTAAACTACGTACATAACACCTTCGGAGACTTTGGATCGTTCTCGGTTTGATCTTGTTTCTTTTTTCAAGATTCATATCTGATCTGATTTCAGCTATGTGGCCATTTCTAGTCAGCTTGAATTGGTCATATATGAATGGATCTGATTCATCTGATCGAAGTTGTGTTTTTTTTTTTCCCTTAAGACACTAAAATAATGTTCGGCTTAATCTAACCCTAAAACTAACGAGACCGATTTGACAGCTTCGGCTAGCTAGCTGTACATCATCACTATAGTATTGGTAACTGTAAGATCAAACCAAACACTAAGTAGGATGGTAGAATGAATCTTTCACATGTAACAAGTGTTTCTCATGGGACAAGAAACTGACAAAAGGAACAAACTTTCCCACGTGGTTTAATTCTTAGGGCTTTTCGTAATGATTAGGGTTATGGGACAAGTTGTGATGAAGAAATTTATATTCTCCTCAAATGGACTCACAACACGAGTCATGCGCAAATTCCCTCTAGAGCCCTAGAAGAACTAAATTAAGAAAGCTTTGGACTTGGACCGTTCAATTTTTTTTTCGATTATATAATTAATAATATCAACAAAACTTAAAATAATTTTTTAGGCCTTGATTACTTGATGTGTCATGATGATCATTGTAGGTTCTAAGATAATATATTGTAGCAGGCTGGAAAACTTTTATAAGGTAACTAAAAAAAAAAAAATTTCATTTTATAAGAAAATGTATGCCACCTTGGCCCATGCGTATATAGGATAGTATAATTAGCTGTCTTGAAGGTATTTTATACACTCAATTGAAAGTTCTTAACAAAAATACTATCCATTGGTATTCATGGAGATTCTTCTTCTAGAATCTCGAATTATTATTTATACACATCTTATATAGCTAGTGGTAACTTGCAATTTCAGCAGGATCTATGTGAAAACTAAAAAGTATTATTATATATTGACCGTTTTGTGGGTTAATTGTAACGTATAATTTTGGATTCTAGATGTAAAGGAATTATTATTATTTTTCTAGTTTTAATATTCGAAACAATGGTAGGTGGTCCAATGAGAGCTCCCCATTCACCAATTCAAACCAAAACTTATATTAATAATTAGCATATTTAACAAAGGAAAATTAATTAGTAAAACTGTAATTTATGCCTTAAATCCGACCATTATATAGTGTCAATCAAACAAATGCAGAGAACTTGATTGATACTATATATGGAATGGCAAACAAATGCAGATATTTTAAAACTTTTTTTTTTGTCTTACATAATCAAGTAAAACGAGAACTTGTATTTTATATTTACCATGGTTTTGCTATTCCGCAGCCAACACATTCTATATCACAAAAAAAAAGATACAGTAAATAAATATATGGTTTGTGCAAGACAAAATAATATGATAATCTGAAAAATCGAATAGGTAATGGACAAGAGGCGGAAGTGGGACCAAAAACGACACTTTTTGGGGATCAAGGTCTTTACTTTTGCTTCACTTCTATGCTTCGTTTCAACAACACACAAAAGCTAAAATGAAAGGTATATAAAACAAAAAATATATATTTATATATACAATAATTTCCTATATATATATTTGTAATTCTTTACTGTAGTTTGATATGAAAGTGTGATTTTTGTTTAGACAACAAAACTTTGGCCTGAAGTCCCAAACGTCAGCCGCATAAGCATCCGATATTTGATGGAACTTACCTAAACACAATGTACTACTATATATAACCCTATATATATTCTAAAAATATAACTTACCTTACCTAATATGTATTTTAATAACATTATCCTGTTAGTTGGTTAGTTAATTAGTTAAATGATTACACGATACTCTTATAATATATAAGGGTCGGGACCAAAAGAGATAAAAGAATAGGGTACCAAGTTCTGTTTGTTGTACATGTATAGTTTCTTTTCAAATATTTGAATGTATATATTACTGTAAAATCTTCGCTAATGGGAGTAAAATTTTAGAGAATGATGATCAGGCTCATAGTTTTATTGTGTCAACGTTAATTGTTATTGTAGACACATTCATAAACAAGTTTTATGAACCAGGGTAGAAATCATGAAGGTATATCTACAGATGTAGTATATATATACAGTTCAGTTCACATGCATACTGCATACAGCATATCTATATATATATATATATATATATATATATAAAGAAGTTTTTGTGTTGAAGCAAGTAATGATAAGTCACGAATTTTGAAGTATTTTTTTTTTTCATGTGGAATATATAGATTTTTATTATTAACATGACCTTTTACTATTATCTCTTTTTGTTAAATTTTATATATATAAAAAAAAAAAAAACACAATATTTGAGATGAAGAGAAAGAACGGTGAAACGGGATGGGGTCCATGTGACCAACCGGCCTGCCAACAGCAAATCGTGAGACTAATGATCGATGGCTCACGCCTCCCCCCTCGCCACGTCATCACATCATTCCGTTTTGTTTTTTTTTTTTTCTTTCACGTTTGTAAAATTAATTGAAATATCTGAATACATATTCTCAACACACTAGCTCTAGAGATACTGTATGTTTTGCTTGAATGCATTCTCTTTAATTTGTTACTTCAAATGTTTTACATATATAGAAACTATATATCAATTCTCGATTACTTGGATTTAGTTGTTACTTTATATATGTGTACCATGTGTTATATATGACAAACTTATTATCTTTCGACTGAATAAAGGTAATCAATTACCTCAAAACTTTGTTTTAAAAGTTCTACTTAAGACTTTAATTTATTAATTATATATATATGTGTGCTCAAAATAGCTTAGTACGTAGTTTAAGATGGATGAATCTTTTTTATCTAGTCATTTCGAACCAAAATAGTTACTTTTGAAGTTTCCAAACGATGAAAACTGTTCACATATATGTAATAATGTAATATAGACAGTAATTATTACTTTTTCATCAAAAATATCTTATTATAAACTTATTTTGCAGGTTATTATTCTTCAAGAAGATACATTCACTTTCATTCTAATTTTTTGCTATATATGGTCTCCACATATATATATGGCTGTTTTTTTTTTTTTTTGGGAATTCCCACTATACTGGCAATGCGTTCCAGCGCCCCCTCGTATGTAAACCTTGAATTCAAGAATTATCATGTCCATGGTTTACAGAGATATATATATGTCTGAACAATTCTGGTATCAACAAGATTTTCTCCCAAACCTACCATCAAACTGGCAATATCGTTGGGTGTTTAGCTAGTTGAGTTACTTCATTATGAATATAAGACATTCAATAGGACAAATGTGAAACTACTCCAAAGTAAATCCAAGAAAATATAACCTTAATGCGAGGACAGATAAAGAAGAAGCTTGATGTTGATGATCAAGCATATCCATCAAGAGCTGGTGGGTGGTAATGGATGTTGCCACCTCTCTCTCTCTCTCTCTATCTCTCTCTAAATCTCTCTCTCTCTCTCTCTCTCTCTCTTTCTTTCTCTCTCGGGATCTGATATCTCTTTACAGTAACCTATTCCCGAGGAGCACTGTCAAATCTTGTCCAGTCTTTGGTCTTTCAGGGATCTCTCTCTTTATCTCTTTAGTGCTTGTGTGGTAAAGAGTTCAAACTTCTGATAACAAGCACGAGGGGATCACACAATAGCCGGAACATAAAGCTTTGTTAGGAGCTGTTCAAAAAGTTTCAGCTGGATCATCTTCTATCTAGAGTTTCTTCAGGTAAAACCCTAATTTTATGTCAACTTTGTATTCAATCTCAGATATCGTCCTCTTCACAGATAATTTTGGTCGTTTTTTTTGTCTTCTTTAGGCAAAAGTTTTTGCTTTTAAACCATCCTTGATCATCATCTTTATTAATCACCTTGATCATCATCTTTATTAATCACCTTGATCATCATCATCATCATCATCATCATCTCATCATACTCATCAATGTTGCTGATATCACAAGCAAAGCAAAATATTATGGAAACCTAAATTAATTAATTAATTAATAAATAAACAAGTTAATAGATCAAGGTGGGGATTTTTGGCTGAGGTAATTTAAGAAGGCTTATTAAAATTTTGTACAACAATCTAAAAGATTAATCTCTTGAGATGAAAATCATCACGTAAAGATTGCTTTTCTCTTCGTCTATTAATAATATACTTGTTTGGTTATACTAATTATATGACAGAAATTAAAATTTGCTTAATCGATCTAGTATTTGTTTTTTCATGTTCGGCTAGTTAATTTTACTGAATTTTGGAAAATTCAATTCAATTCTATACCATGAATCTGAATAAATGAATTTTAATTATTCTCAAAGAAACTAACTGGTCTTGATCATATCTTAGATAGTTCTCTTTTGATTCTAATTCTCTTATAAACTAAGTACACTGTATAAGATGATAAGACGTACTCATGTACTAATGTTTATGTCGAAATTATAAACCAACACAGACAAATCACATAACGTATTACATGTAACTAGCTATACCATAATCTTATGTTCGTAATTTCTTGATTTTAACTGATAACTCTTATAGTCAGGGCTATCATCGATCAAGAAGACTAAAAAATGAATTCATTTTCCCACGTTCCTCCGGGTTTTAGATTTCACCCGACAGACGAAGAACTTGTAGACTACTACCTCAGGAAAAAAGTCGCATCAAAGAGAATAGAAATCGATTTCATAAAGGACATTGATCTTTACAAGATTGAGCCATGGGATCTTCAAGGTTTACTTTAATCCCATCATCTTTATCCTTCATTTCTTTGTTTCAAATTTCTAAGGATATATAGTATTAAAAAAGGTTTTTTTAAAAAATTCTTTTTGTGGAAATATATAGAGTTATGCAAAATTGGGCATGAAGAGCAGAGTGATTGGTACTTCTTTAGCCATAAAGACAAGAAGTATCCGACAGGGACTCGAACCAATAGAGCGACAAAAGCAGGGTTTTGGAAAGCCACTGGAAGAGACAAAGCTATATATTTGAGGCATAGTCTTATTGGTATGAGGAAAACACTTGTGTTTTACAAGGGAAGAGCCCCCAATGGACAAAAGTCCGATTGGATCATGCACGAGTACCGCTTAGAAACCGATGAAAACGGAACTCCACAGGTATTTATAACCAATCCTAAAACGTAACTTCTCTTTACAATATACATGCAGTACTTTTATCTTATGGTACACTATCTCGAACTTATATTTGATCTCCTAAACTTATCAGAAGTTCTCTCATTATATGATCTTTGGGGTGTAGGAAGAAGGATGGGTTGTGTGTAGAGTTTTCAAGAAGAGACTGGCTGCAGTTAGACGAATGGGAGACTACGACTCATCCCCTTCACATTGGTACGATGATCAACTTTCTTTTATGGCCTCGGAGCTCGAGACGAATGGTCAACGAAGGATTCTCCCCAACCATCATCAGCAGCAGCAGCACGAGCACCAACAGCATATGCCATATGGTCTCAATGCATCTGCTTACTCTCTCAGCAACCCTAACTTGCAATGCAAGCAAGAGCTAGAACTACACTACAACCACCTGGTACAGCAAAATCGTCTTCTTGATGAATCTCATTTATCATTCCTCCAACTTCCTCAGCTAGAAAGCCCTAAGATTCAACAAGATAACAGTAATTGCAACTCTCTTCCTTATGGAACAAGCAACATCACTAATAATTCAAGCCATAATGCTAACTTGCAGCAATCAAATATCGCGCATGAGGAACAATTGAATCAAGGGAATCAGAACTTCAGCTCTCTATACATGAACAGTGGCAACGAGCAAGTGATGGACCAAGTCACGGACTGGAGAGTTCTCGATAAATTCGTTGCTTCTCAGCTCAGCAACGAGGAGGCCGCCACAGCTTCTGCCTCTTTACAGAACAATGCCAAGGAAACAAACAATGCTGAGTACCAAGTTGATGAAGAAAAAGATCCGAAAAGAGTTGCAGACATGGGAGAAGAATATGCTGCTTCTACTTCTTCGAGTTGTCAGATTGATCTATGGAAGTGAGAATATTATTCCATATAAATGCATATATACATATATATATATAATATAATATACGTACAAACGGACACAGTACTAATCAAGTGTAGATGATGATGGTACAGATTTATATTTGCTTTGATTGATTCTTACTACATTATTGAACTTATGTTATATGCATATGTACATTGCGTATTTATGCATGTATACTTGTACTCAATATGATTAACCATATATAAACTCTAATCTAAATGTAACTTCAATATTTTTTTAATAACAATTGTCTATTCCTATTATTTTAGTTTTACACACACACTAATATACACAAAAGAATAGATATATACTTCAAAAATTTATCTGTCTCAAATTCTCTATGTACTATATCCACATCTCAATTTTATTTTAGTTTTGTTCACTTTTAGGATTACAATTTTCAAATTCTGGACAACTCTTCATGAATTCTATGTATTTACTGGATATGTACAATAGTAACATACACACAATCTACACAAGTCATAAGCATATATAGCAAATTCAGAAAATTTATGCAAATAAAAAGTTGGACTATAGCTAGTGACATACCGGAATTGAGTTCTTGAGGATAAATACTCCAAGGAAGCTTGAAGAGTATGTATAGACATAAATGGTGTAAAAAGAAAGAAGGAGAAGAATGTGGCCTTTGAAGGACATACATAATTTTTAATGACATGTTGGCTGGAGTAGTCAGTCAGGAGATTATGTTATATAGAGACAAAGCAGTGGAGAAAGAAAGAAGAAACCTCTTTTTTTTTTCAATTGGGTCACAAGAAAGAAGAAGCTAAAAAGCATTTACTTTCTCATGAAGAATTTTGTAATTATTTTGTTTGATTCAGGTCGGGACAAAAAGAAACCGTAAACTACAATTTTACTTGGATGAAAAAAACTTAAATAAAAAAAAAAGAAAAAGAAAAAGAAAAAACACTGCGATCAATGGAATATAATTTGTGTTTAAATACTAAAACATGAATTAACTTAGACGACTACGTTCTATTGATGATTGATCATTAACACAATTCATCGTAATTATGGTTAAATAAATTCGATAATCCATCGTAAGATTGTGACATTCCATCAACAACTAACACTTCTCCATCGACAAGATATTTATCTAACACTGACAAAAATATTATTTCATTTTTATAGAATGTTGAATTATTTTTAAAAATCTTATTTTTTTTATCCATAAGAAATTTGAGGAATGTGATCCAAATATCTTCCGCATATAATTTGGTGCAAAGGAACATCATGATTTGGGCGTGCTCTTTTGGTTTGACAAAACACGGTCCAGAGAAGTTTGGATTATTCTCCACAATTATCAATTTCAAAAGTTAAATTACTAAGCAATTTAATCCTGAACAACATATTAAGGAGCATATATGAGACAATAGCATGTGACGTATCATCATTAGTGTATTTCTACCTTTTCTATAAGCCACAAATCCCAATACCATAATATGTTGCTTTGAAACACTAATGATTATTTTATTTTAACTAATTTTGAACATTGAAGTAATTATGTGTTCAATTGCTCAGCTTTTAATTAATACAGACATTGTCGCCTTCCGTAATACACTAATACTATTAACCCATACGGTAAAATACGCTATTTTTTATTTTTTATTTTAAGTTGGTTGTGCAGCTTGTGCTAACCATTTCGAAGAATACGATTGAAAAATATATACATGGTTCTAAAATATTAAAATATTGATCTGACAAAGTGCTAGGGGGACAACCTAGGTAGAGACATTCACCAGCTAAACAGACTTTTATATCTTTTGTCTTAAGAGACAAAACTGATCATTATCTTCTTCTTTTTCAGTATTTCAGTGTTCTTTTTGTTTCCAGTCATTTACTTACAATGCAAAACATACATGATTAGTGTTGCACAACATATAAAGATAGAAATGATGTATCTGTATTGTAATCACACATGACTTATAACATACTGAAACTACTTGACATCACAGAGTCCGGTCTTTTCATCGCAGAATCCATCACGGCCGAGTAGACGTTGAGGTGGTGCACTGAGAAGAGGAGAAGAAGGCGAGCCATATGCATTTCTCCGGCTATTTCCGCAGCCAAGACTCTTCCTCGTGTCCACTCCTGTCAATGGGTTTGTTCCGGTTGCGTATTTACACAGAGCCTTCACACACAGATTGAAACTATTTGTCAAGTGGCTGTTTCAGCTTTTGATAATGGAAGCAATGGATAAATGTAATGGGGATAACAATGTTACCTGTTTTTGAAGAAGATCAATCACAGCGTCACTAAAATCGGCACCTTCGATTTTGGCACCACCGAGGTCACTTCGGGTTAGCACTGATCGGACCAGTACCGCATTTGTCAGATTTGCCTCATTTAGCACCTAATATCGCCACAAAGAATCGAGCTTCAACCGAAAGATAAATGCCTCATTTGCAAGTATGGATATATATGTTAAAAAGCAGGGTGTATAATGTATGGTGTTTACCATGCGGTCCATCAATGTATCACTCAAATCAGCACCTGCCATTGATATTCACAGCTTTCATAAATAAAAACTACATTACGATTAAGGTACACGAGAAGAACTATTGTGAATGAAATTTTCCCTCAATATATAAATCCTCTCAAGTGAAGAATTCTTGGCTTTAGTAGCTTACAGAACAACAAAACGGCCAAAGAGCTGTTTCTGTTCATAGATACTCGTCAGATTTTCATGGGGAAAAGAATCAGATGAAGTACTCAATTCTCAGATTCTAAGGCTAGCCTTCTAGATTGAAAACTCGGGAGTTGAATGTAATGGAGGTTGACACTATGAACATTATAAAGTTTTGATGAAACGATTTAAAGAATTGAAGATATATCCAGGGTTCTAAATGCTCAAAAAAAAGTTGACACATCAAAGATGTAAGATCTAATCTAAGGATGCAACATGTAGAGTAACTGTTACCGGATTCAAAAATATGTCAAAGTGCTTGTGAAGGCAAATGAATTGAGATTCAAAGAAATTTAGTAAAAGGGTACATGTGAACAGTGCATTATGATTTGTGGAGTCTGTTCTCGTTCAAAATTCTAATACCATAAATCCATAATCATTGCAAAGAGAAAGCAAGTGATAACAAAATTGAGAGAGACTAACCTGAGAAGTTAGCTTTGTATGCAACTGCTTTCTCAAGATATGCACCATTGAAGGTCGAACCACTGAAATCAGACTCTCTCATGTCTGCAGAAGTGAAGTTGGCTCTTCTGCAATAGTCAGTAAACCACTACACACTATTAGAACAAAAATCTTGCTTCTTCAGATTGATGGTTGGTTGATTCAAGATTTCATTATGTAAAAATTGAGCAAAATCCAAAACATCTACTTCCTAAAGATCACAGCTTTGAACTTTGTTATGTTGATTCCAATCTCTATCACCAACTAAAGTAAAAAAAAAAAATATTACCTGAAGTTTTCATTGGAGTGAACTGTTTTGCTGCAAAACAAACAGTGTTCATCTCAGCAAAACCTCTAACATAAAAAACAAATGAAAATTCTCAAATAAACTTTAAGACAAGAACACAATATGATACCTGAGATCAGCAGAACCGTACTGAGCAGCCGAGCCAATCCCGAACTCGCCACGCGTATCGGCCTCGAATTTGTTAAGCTCTGCCATGGCCGGCACGCCGGAGCTCGAGACGATAACCGCAGCTGCCATTGCGGCGGATAAGATCCTCTTCCACTTGTTTGATTCTGCGCTGGAACAACAACCTTCCCTTTTCGAAGAACAGTATTAATGTCTTAAGCGTCTGAGAATCCGAAATTGAGAAAACAAGGAAAGCATTGAGACCATACGTTTGATAGTGGAAGCATTCGAGTCTCACCTAGTGTTTGATGAATCTCTGATTTCTGAGTTTGAACGAGAATTTAGCTGTAGACGTCTCAATGGGTATCTCTGAAAATGGTACGGTGATATTGAGAGAGAAGATGAGGATCTTGAAATGTCAAGTGACTTCATAGGTAGAGGGGAGAGAGAAGAGAACGCCATTGTTAAAGGTCTAAACTTTGCAAGCGTAGAACTCGAAATGTTACATTCAACTTGGTTGAAGAAGAGGTGATCTGGTGGCACGTGTGACGGATTTCCAACTTTATCCACTTTGCTTGGGCAAGGTGTGCACACGTAGGTCACTTTTGTTCACCTGTTTTGGTCTTGTCTTGGTTTCAAAACTTGATTTCAAAACTTCCAACTCTTGCACACAATTTCACTTAACACAGAACACAAAAGCAGAGGAAACGAAAAAAAATTTGGATCTTTTAGTTTGATTTCAACAAAATTGCAGTCATGTGGACTAACTCATAAACAATCGTTGTAATTCTATACTGATCACTAAAATCATCAAAATGTGTAATACTCTTCGAGTTTGTCCGGGTTAAAATCAGGGTCTACAGATGCACCGCTCTTGATCTTCTCCTGAAGCTCTAAACTCTTGGGAAGTATAATCTCAGCTCCTAAACCTTGCCTAGAGAAATACCTCTCCAACAATATCTGTAACATAAGATTCAATAAGAACAATAGTAGTTACATTTCAAGAACTCAAAAGACCATGGTCTCATCGCCTTACCACAGCAGCGTATGCATCTGATCTGCTCTGTCTTTCACTCTTGCTGAGTCCCCTGAAAGAAGAACAGAATGTTCAAACAACAATTCACACACAAAGTTCAATCTTTTAGGAGACACAATGTATTATAATGCTTAAACCAAGAACAGAGAGACTAACATTACAATCATTCTGTCTGAAGCTTCTGATGTTGTTCCATGTTCATCAAATACATAAACTCTCCAACCCCTGAAAAAAAGCCAAGAACTTTACAATTTTATCACTATTCATCAATATATAAACATATGTATGTGTGTGTGTGAATGTGCTTCACCTCTCGGCGGCTTGAACAGCAAGCCGTCCAGCAACAGAACGGATTTTGTTGGACTGAATCGTTTCTTTCCCATCAGAAGATCTCGGCAACCCAATTATGAATTCGTCAACCTCCTCTTCTTCTGCAATTTCTAATAGCCTAGTCTCGAGCTTTTGTCCTCTCGATTTTAATACCTAAGCCATACCCAAAGCACATCAGTTTCATCAAATCGTAAACACAATAACGAGCTAGAGCAATTCGAAGTTACCGTGAGAGGTTTAACAGTGTAGCCTTTACTAATAGCGATTCCGGTTCGAGATAGTCCTAAATCTACGCCGAGACTGAACCCACCTCTCCAGTTCTGGTCTATTTTCCGGCGAACGGCATTAGGAGGGATTTCGTCAATTGACGTCGTTGCCCTCAACGCTAGAGGATAATTACGGGTTCCAATAGGAGATAAACGATGAACGAGAGGGGTATGTACGTACTTTTGGGTTCTGAATGATATTGATATGGGAGAACAATACTGAAGAGAGCACATTGCAATGGTAAGAAGACGAACAGTCCCAGACGATGAGCCAAAAAAGACTCTGTTCTCGAAACCCTCTCTTCCATTCCAAAGGTCTTATTTATTTCTCCAAAAGGAAAGATAAAAACATTTTAAAAATAATAATAATTTATTTCTCCAAAATTGTAAATTTGTAATAATGATGTTTCAGTGCCCTTTTTTCTTACATATGATGAATCAAAGATCAAATAAAATATTAATAATTAAACGGCTAAATTGGAAAAGAACCATAATAAAAAACATTATTTATTACAGATAAATCTATATGTGAAAAAAATTGGGGGAGGGAGGGAAAAATAATTAGGCGCGGGTGAGAGCACGGACAGCTTCCTCAGAGTAAGGATGAATGAAAGCACTGTTCATTTGCCATACTTTAAACGACGCCGTAACAGTTGTATCGAGAGCGTTGTTGAACAAGAAGAGCTTCGCTGCTCCATAGATTGCTGTTGTTGGATAAACTCTTGATGTTATGCATGTTCTTCCACCTTGTCCAAATGCTTCTACTATTGAATGATCCACCTATTGAAATAAATGAAAAATCATACAAGTTCAGTTCCACATTATTTTGTATTAATGGAAAATTTAGATATTATATCAAAGTATGATTAGAGTAAATTACCAAAATTCTCATGGTGAGTTTCTCTCCTTTTAGGACTGGTACGACGCTACCGTATATTGGTTTGATGACATCGTTTGCAACAGATGACCTGTCATAGGAAAAATGTTGTTTTCATATAATCGAATGATATATATTATGGTTTGGATAAAGAGTTATTGTAGTAGTTTATTTGAAAAATTGATACCTTGAGGTGTCTGTGCAGAAGAATGTTTTAAGTTTTGAATCTTTTCCCTTAGCTATATAGAAGTAAACCGGTGTTTGCTCCGACAAGCTCTCAGTGGCGAGAACCGAGAATCCGAATGGCCCTAATGCACCACGGACGGTGGAGCCTCCGCTCTTCTCGCAGCTGAATTCCTCAGCCTCAGCCACCACTGAAGAGTCTCCGAGGATTTTCTCGAGGGATTCTTTCTTGATTTCAAATTCTGCTTCGATGTCTAGTTGAGTCGCGGTACCCACATCGACCGGTACTACTGACCCGGGACTGACTTCGAGATCGAATTTCTTGCTGCTTAGTCTAAGAGATTTGATTTCTTCCACTGGCCATTGGACCAAGTTCTTCCCTGTCTTTGTGTCCAGGGCAACGGTTCTTGGGATACCCTGATGATCGTTTTAACAAAAAACTTAGAAACTTGAATTACAAGTAACTACTACGAAAAAACTAACTTTAACAACAAAATAGAAACAGAACATACCTGAAGAGAAGACCAACCCTTTTGTACATCAGAAGCCTCACTATCAGATTCACCAATCCAACTCCACAAGATTCTTCGACCCTTGTTCTGGTCGTAAAACGTCTTTGAAGCATAGAACTTTCCGTAATCATATCTTAAACTGGAACTCATCCCGACATCGATAGTAGGATCATCCGGGATCCATGTTCCGTTTGATTCGAAATACGTGCCTACGGCATAATGGTCGAACCTTGTGTCGTCCATGCTAGCCTTGACGATGTGCTTCACATCCGGTCCATTGACAGAAGTGTCAAGCCCATTGCTCTCGGTCTTAGACACCGGGTAGAAGTCAACGCACTCCCACATACCCGTCTTGGGAACTCCGTGCAACAATGTGTCAAGTTTCTCGTATGTTTTAAAGTCGGTGGTGTCGTACACAAGTGAAATTCCGGTTTTGTTGATCTTGGAACCAATGGTGATCCGCCATTTTCCTTCTGATGTTTTCCACGCCGTAGTTGGGTCACGGAAGTCCTTGGGGAGAATACCGGGAGGTGGTACTAGAACCGGGTTTCCAGGGTACTTGACCCATTTCAACAAGAGTGGGTCGTTGAGGTCCTCAGGGTAGGCAAGGTTTTGGACCTAAAAACATTATATGACAATCATTGATAAAATCATTAAACCTAATTAACATGTTCTGTGTCTAACATACCAAAAATATTGGTATACAAACTTATTAACTCTACTATTAGCCTAACTAATCATAACTTTTGGTATAACTAATCAGAAAAATTTGTGTATACAAACGTACTAGTTTGGTAATATATCTTATTTATAAAAAAAAAATACATACCTGCACGGCTTTGTCGGTGGAGCCGGTGTAGAGCATGACTATAGAGCCATCGGGGAGGATTGTGGCTGAGCCGGTCCACACACCATTGGAGTCGTACCATTGATCAGCGACCATGGCTAAGGGCAAATGGACCCAATGGATTAGGTCCTTAGACACGGCGTGACCCCAGACAATGTCACCCCATACAGCTGCGTTTGGGTTGTATTGGTAGAAGAAATGATACCATCCCTTGTAGAACAATGGACCTGGACACAATAAATTTTATTGGGGTTAAAATGAGAAAAACTTGGAACTATTGGGGACCCAAATAAGAAAATGTATATACCCCACACTGGCTTTATCCAAATTTGAGACAAGATCCAAACTTTGCATTCATAAGGATTTTACACAATCAAGATTACTTTTCTATGGCAACCAATGATTTCTACACATATCTTTTTAGCATGTGTAAAACTCACGTGGGTTACTACACACTTAGTATTATTGCCATTGGTTGTGAGGGTAACTCTGTTCTGATTTTGTCTGCGAACATTTTTTACCTTTTCAGTTGTAAGGTACATACAACACAAACTGGCAAAATAGAATTTAAACTAAACAGTTTTGCAATTGGTCGTTGAGGTAACTCTGTTCTGGTTTTGTCTGTGAACTTTTTAGCTTTTATAGTTGTAAAATTAATTAATTAATATATCTTTTGCTGACTGACATTAAATATTTGGTTTCAACGTGAATCGTGTGATTTGCTGTTCTGTGATCTACTACTTTTTGTCCCTCCAATTATTTTTTATCTTAAACATTTTTTTCATATTCAACAGTGACAAAAAACACCAAAAGTAACGGGATCTAAAAGAAATTCAATTTTCTTAAAACAGAAAAATTCAGGGAAAAAAAGGAAAGTGAACTTACCATTAGGATCTGCAGAAAAAGATAAATCCAAAAGTTTCCATTGAGCAGCAACACCATATTGGATCAAAGGGAAACAAAAACAAGAAACATATTAGAGATGTTGTAATTACATATCATCATAGAAATGCTCTTTGATTTGAAGATCTCTCACTGGATTTGAATGAATCAATCACATGTTGCTTAATTTGGAAATTAGAATATGAATTTACCATAATATCTCCAAGATTGTGGAAAGAACAAAGTAAGAATGAATATTCTTTGAATTTGTAACAAAAAAAAAGTGTATATACTTTTTATTTTTTCCTTTTTTTTAGCTCAAATTAACAAATAATTAAATTCACTAATTTAAAATAAATGAGCGTACCGTTCATCCAATTCTCCTCAGGCTGGAAATGAAACGCCGTTCGTTGCCACGACAACATACTGTTGTTCCATTCGAACGCCGGCGTGTTCCGGTCACCGGAAAGTTTCCACGACACATCATTCCTTTTCTCCGACACACCAGCGAGACGTGCACGTGACGACGTTTCATCGACCGCAGCTTCGTTGGATCTAGATCCGTCGTGCGTGGCGATGAGGGCGACGTAGAAGGCGATGAAGAGAAGCCCGAAAGAGACGGCGAGGAGACCTTTAAAGGGTCTTCTCCGGGGATGGGTTTCCGGGTCGGATCTTGAACCGTCGGGTAATCTCGTGTAAGGGCATAATGGGTCTTCTTCTCTGGCGGAGATTGGCAAGAGAGCATCGGAGCTCGCCATTTTCGTTTTCGAGTTTTTTTTTTCTTTTTCCTCGTTCTCCTTTTTCAGATTTGGTGACACGAGAAAGAGCAATTGTGTTTATATATATTTATAATATTGAAGAAATGTATTTTTTAAAATAAATAAGAAAAGTTGGGTTTTATTATTTCTGTGTTTTCCTGCTTCGCTGGAAGAGAGAGAATTTGGGAACAAATGTCAAATGCAATATAGAGTTTGGTCTCTCCTAATTAGAACTGTAAAAAATATAAAAAAAGAGTTTTGTCTACAAATTAGAACTGTAATTTACTATTTGTAATTATGCCTTGTTATTAGTATAAATCATTATATAGTATATACTAAAAAAATGATTTTCCAGTGGAGAGAATTTTTTTTTTTTTGAATTTTATGTACTTTTGTTATAGAATATTTGTTACCATTCTACTACTACACAAAGGATTGGATCAAGAAACGTAAACTAGTAAAGTTTCATATACATAAGGAAAACAATCTTATTCACTATTCGTTCTTATCGGATTATATTAGTCCTTTCTTTGTTTGTTTGAATGGGTATGAGTGTGACAATGATATGTACATTGAATTGTCCACGTAGTTTTTTTTTAATACATATCCGTAAATAGATAGTCTTCTGGATTTTTAGAATACTGACTTGGTAGGTGACTAGATGTTGTTCCTAATATGAATATGGCCATTTGTGCATTTGCATATATTATGTAATTTATCACAAAAAAATTAATTTTAGTAAATAATGTTATATCATTACATCCATGAAACCAGGTCACTGAACACAAACCTATAATTATGATGTTACTACATTTTATCACTTAAGATTTTGGAGAGTAATTTAAAATTGTTAGAATGAAATAGTGTAATTTAGTTACAGTAAATGCTTAAGTTGGTTTGTTGAGTAATTAATTGTTTGCCACAAGTTTGATTTATTGTCTATAATTGGTGTAAATGTGTAACCTGATATTTTTGCTCCTCCGATGGATACTAAAACCACTTTGACCCAAATGTTTCGTAATAGTAGTAAGTAAATACTATAACATTAATGCAAACTACGTCATCGTTAAAAGAAAAAAACTACGTCACCGTCATCACATAAAAACACTATACAACATACTTAGTATTATAATATTATGTAACAGGAAAATGGCATATATGAGAGGATTTACTGTGTCATTTTAAATACGTTGGAAAGTATTGAAACTATTTCGAACAAGTAGTGTCATTCATTTTACATATACTAATAATACAATACATAAAATTTGACTTCAATTGTATACGAACATGTTTATGTTTTTAACGACACTAATTTATTCTAAGATTATGAATTCCGTGTAATAGTGATATTACCAACTTAATTAATTTGACTTCTTTTAAAGTTAATTTTACAATAACTTATCTAGATTAGAGAAACACGAGAACATTACCGGCCAAATAGTTACAACACCGGCCAAATAGTAGTTTACTTTAAACTTTCAGATAATAAAGGCCTAAACCAACAAATAAGTCCTAATTAATTCTTATGTATTTCGAGTCGATATTAAGAGCTAAGCTAGACTCCAATTAGGTCTGAGATCTCAGATCTATAAAAAAACATGGGCTAAGGAAATTTATTATTAAAAAAAAAAAAAAACTCAGTACGTAAAAAAGAAAATGAAGTAATCAACAATAATTTTAGGTTCATTGGGAAAACAAGTAATGCAATTTCATATACGTTTAACCACTTGTTAGTTTGGCCAGGCACATGAATTATTTGTTTAAATAGTAGTATATAATACCATTGTCTCAATCACAAATCGTGTGTCAGAATTAGTGCCCAATAATGATGAAAAGAAATGGACCAACGCCGATTTATACAAAAATTTAAATATACAATAATTATATCATGTGAGACCTCTTGTTGTAGCCACATTAGCACTTGCATGTGGAGTGGAAGGATGATATACTGGTAAACTACCAACTAGCAAAATCTGAAATTAAGGGCCCTTTAACTAATATCGCATCCACTAAGTAAGTAGAATACGATTTTTAAAGCCTACAGTAGAAATTTGTTATATTTGTAGACATTTGTTAGTACTGTTACGTTAAATACACAAACACGGTTCAAAAGCCATGTGAAACAATATTTAATTTGTTTGTAACAAATCTACAGCCATTTACGTTAAATCAACGAGGTGGAAAAGACAAGCTGATGTTTGTATAATTGTAGGATGTGGGAAAACTAGATCCACATGTAGAAGAAGACCAGCCGATAGGGTTGTTTTGGCAGACATCATGTGCTCTGTCTCCTCCTAGAAAAATAGAATCTATGATTTGTTGCTAAACAACAATTCTATAAAGAAAGAAATACGTAAAAAAAAATAGTCCGAGGAAATTTGAGAACCTTGTAATTTTCGTATTCCAAAAAGTAACAAAATTTAAAGGATAAGTGTAATCATCAGTCTGTCACTCACTCTGTTGCACTCAAACTATTCGAATTAGGTAATGAAGTTTACATTGAAATCGAGCTATATCATTGATACGAACCCACAACAGTTTACAATCACACACGTCGTCAACAGACGAAACACAATCACACAGGGAAAATGATTAAACATAATAAAACCATACGTTTCTGCTTGCTTGTGTGGAAATTACTAAGTTGATAGAGAAGTGTGACCAAAGATCAGATAATGCATCTGACTGAGACGGATAAGTTTATGTTCAGCCTCTTCGTTTGCTTTTAACTTTTATTGAACCGATCGATTCGATTTTTGTTCGTATAATTCGATCGGTGCCATGCATTATGACTCTCAGAGATCATTTTACTTACTAAGTCAACTAAAGAAGAAAAGAAACCCAAAGTTTCGGAGTTCAGACGAAACAACATGACAGAGATTGGTTTTATTCTTCAACGTAACTAAAAGTCTGGTCTTATGGCTGAAGTCTTAGACCAGAAACCATGATGAACTACAGGAGACATTAGACACGAAAATAAAAAAAGGGGAAAGAAGATTAGAAGGGTAATGTTCAAGTAACTTGGGCTTTTTATGTTCTCTTATGGATGCAGATCCTTATTGATGAAGAGAGAAGCTTTGTTTTAGACATTAGGAGGTGGCCAAATCTTTCCAAAGAGCTCTTCAACACGTTTAGCTTGGTTCGCATAACCTTCGACACCAGCTGATAAAAGCTCCACGGATGCTGGACCCATAGCTGAAGCCAAGCTTAGCTGGTCCCATTTGACCAGCTACACCAGAATCAAACAAACAGGGTGAGACAGTATCGGTTTTGTGAAACCAGAAGCAAAAAGAGTGTTGCCTAGGCTCAGAACTAACCTCTTTGTTGGTGAAGTTGTAATGTGTTGCTGTTTCAGGAGTAAGTTTCCGAACGAATGAGTATTTTTCATCGTTGGGAATGGCAGGCGAGTCTTTCAGAGATTGCAGTACCTTTAATGGTGCAATCACATAATCGACCCTGAGATCCAGGAGAACACTGAGAGTTAGAATGCGATCATAAACTATTGATGGTCGAAGCTGTGATTTGGAAGTTTGGGTTTACCCCAGAAGACTGAACAAGTCTTGTTTGTTCCGTACAGCAGCAGCCATCAGCTTGGACTTGTAACCATACTTGTGAATGTAGTTATATGATCTTCTGACCAAGGCCAAACCAGGATCTTCTCCGGATTTAATAGCAGATTCAATCTCGGTATCTCCCGAATGATTACGCGCCCAATCCTAAAGATTTTAAGATATTAACTTTACATATCACTGTAATTACTAAGCATCTGTTATAAAAAAAATTGGTTACCCTGAGGCGACCGACGAATATCTGAATGACAGAAGCACCGGCTTGAGCAGCTGCAGCAGCTTGAGCAAAGCTGGTGATGAATGCAAAAAAGATATTATAAAGAACATAAATCAGATGAATGAACAATTTCAAAATTAGAGAGTTAAAAGGAATGTTTTATGGTACCTGTAAACGAAGGTTATATGCGTTTGGATTCCCTCAGATTCCAATAGTCTTGCAGCTTCAATACCCTATCAGAGCGATAAGCACAATAGTGAGAGACCAGTGACCAGTATAAGCGGAAGCTTAGTTATTTGCTGAAACTAATCTTACTTGCCAAGTTGCAGGGATTTTGAATAAGAGCCGGTCGTGTGGTACATCGATCTCATTGTATAGTCTCAGCAGATCATGAACCTACACAAAAAACATCATCACATCAAATGTCAGTGATTTGGTGATACGGGAAACATATACCCAAACTATACAATATTTGGTCTAATAACTACCTTGCGGATAATGCCGTTTGTGTCATAAGCAAGACGTGCGTCCACTTCAGTTGAAACTCGACCTGGAACGAGTTTGACAAGATCACCACCTACATTGACCATAGCCTGCACTACTCTCGACAGTTATAAGGCAAACAAACTCTTTAAGCAAGCAAGGATCTGTATGAGGAAAAACAGATAAGGGATGAGAAGATTAACCTTATTGAAAATGCAAGAGAGTCGAGATTCGGTGGTTTCAAGCCCTGCACAAGAAGAATCCGCAAGAGCCATGTCCACAGCATTCTAACATGATATAAAAATGCCAATACTAAGTAAGCCCAAAACAAGAGATGTCATATACTATCATCTATAAATATCAAAACTCCTGAAATGCTTACGCGGAAAATTGTATCAGGCAGCCCACAGATGCCCAGAAGAAGAGCAGAGCTAACAGTAGCTGCAGTCGGTGGAAACCTGCAAATCAGCCAAATACAACAAAGGTATTGATCCAGCAAAATTAGAAAACCAAATATCTATACCATCTCCAAGCCAAAGATAGAATTTCACAATAGCTAACGGTTAGAACTTAGAAGTTAGACTTGTGAGACATCTTAAGCTTATGTCTTGTACCCTCGATCAAGACATAAACTTAGTAGAATCTCAAGCTATAAGAAAGTATGACTCCATATTTTATGATATACTATTGTAACTAAAGTCTCATGAAATAGAGATATAGCATACCTCTCAAAGTCATCGAAAACGACAGTATCAGGAACAATCTCGCTAAATGCTGATACAGCATCTAACTCATTGTTCTCACCTGGAAAATCACAGGTTCAATAAATTGTTCAATGATGGTCCAAAACGCATTCCAGAAAAGTAGAAAGTTCAGAACTTTAAGAAACCGATCTCATCCAAGCACATGATTATACACCAAAGGCACAATTTGTTGCTTATACCTCACATGCAACAAATCAAATTCAACCATAAGGCAACACTGTTCACCTAAGAACTAAGGCAACCAGAAACAACTGTATCTTCAATTTTAGACCAAAATGGGATTCAAACCCCCCAAAAGTAAGAAAGGTCCCTACTTTCAAACTAAAGATAACAACTTTGTCATTCCTAACAAGTGATTCAAGACATTCCAAAAACAAAACCCACATCAAATAAAAGACTGAACTTTAGTCAATCATTCAAAAACCATATTGATGAATGAATGATAAAAAAACAGAATCAACTAAGCTAAACAAATACCAGCTTCGAGAGACGAAGACGACTGAGAGGGGGAAGAACTAGCGGAAGCACGAATCCGAGGAATAGATCGCCGGAGACTGAAGCTAACTGCTGGAAGCGGAGTAACAGAGAATCCGGCAGCGAGCATCCTCCATCGTCCCTTCTGCGAAGTTCAGTGATCGCATCCGTTAATGAACTACACATTACATACATGCGATTGAAAAAAAGAGAGCAAAAGGTAGAGAGAGGAGAGTACTTGGATTGAAGCAGAAAGAGTTACACAAGACGGAGATTGCAAAGAGAGTGGCATTTTTTTTTTTTTTTTGGTTTACTTCAGTTTGATCAATCTCGGTGAACTCATCCAGCCGTTGATATCTTCCGACTAACATGGGTCCCGCCACTTTTTTTATTTCATTTCCAGTTTATCCGATAAATGTCATAAGATAATACATACTGTTAATTTATTACTATTATTCTATTGTGTTTATTTAAAAATTAACATGATTATATGATATGAAACAGGACAAGGATCTGGTTAGAAGTGAACAAAATATATACGATTGATAAGACCCAAAAATTACATCAAACACTACACGAGAACGGTTAGCTTTATCTGATTATCTCTCTCGTTGATATGATTAAAACATTCTAAGAAAGCATATCCAAAAAGCTTTTCTCCAATCTACCATCTGATAACATATCCATAACCATCTTTATAGTCGAAGCATCAGCAGCGAACCCGCTCCTCTTCATTTCTTCGATGAGTTCTGCTGATGTAATCACGCCACTACCTCGGAGATGTGCTCGGATTAGAGGGTTGTATGTACGATCATTTGGCGCATGCCCATCCTCTTCCATTTTTCTAAACAATTTATTTGCTTCAGAGAGTGACCCTTTCTTACACAGTCCCCCAATCATTATGTTGTATGTCTTAACATCGGGCTTCACTCCTCTAAGAGGGAGGCTACAGAATAAATCCCAAGCATCATCGACCTTCCCAGCATTGCAGATCCCGTGAATGATGATATTATATATACCAATATCAAGGTCCATCTTACTCTTCTCTATTTTTTCAAAAATTTCCAATGCTTTTTCTAGCTCCCCATTGTCACACAACCCATCCAGCAAAATTTTGTAAGTCACGATATTTGGAGGAACACAACGAGAAACCATCTCCTGGAAGAGTTCTTTGGCAACCTCAAGTTTTCCCGATTGACAAAATCCTTGGATAAGACTGCCATAAGTGACTGTATTTGCAACCACTCCTCTCATAGACATTGTGCGGAAGAGTTCAAAACCATCGTCGACCCGCTTAGCCTTACAATATCCATTTATGATGATATTAAACGTCACAATATTAGGATCACACTCTTTGCTAACCATCAGATCCAGCATCTGGTTTGCCTCATCTAGGCGGTTCTCCTTGCAAAACCCATCTATCAAAGTACTGTATGTAACAGTATTAGGAGATATACCTCTTGTGATCATCTCCTTGTGCAGTTCTTCGGCCTCTAGAAGCTTTCCCTCTTTCACAAAACTATCAATCAACGCGTTAAATGTGACAACATTAGGGGTAATTTTCCGTGTGATCATATCCCTCAGCAACTTCGCACCATCATTCCATCTACCAGCATTACAAAAGCCTCCTATGAGAGAGGTGTAGGTAATAACATTTGCTTTAATCCCTTTCATCTCCATTTCATTGAAAAGTTTGAGTGCATTGTCGAGGTTCTCGTCTTTGCAAAGACCATCAATGATGATATTGTATTTGGCTGCATTGAGCTTGATATCTCTTTCTTCCATCTTTCTGAGCAACTCCATGGCCAAGGCAGTTTTGCCGGACTTGCACAATACATTTAAAACCGGTCCATAGGTAACTTCACTGGGCTGACAACCATTTTCAACCATTCGATCTATCAAAACCACAGCTTCAGACACCTTACCTTTGAGACAAAGTCCATTGACCAAAGTGTTAAGCGTTATGAGATCGGGTGTATGTCCCATTTCTATCATTCGATCAACTAACCCCACTGCTTCAGAAACTCTGCCCTCGAGACATAATCCGTTGAGTAGAGTTGAAAATGTGACGATGCTAGGCTCATACCCAAGTTTCAGGATTTTTCCCAAAAGAGAAAAGGCAAAACCGAGTTTTCGGCGTCGGCAGAAGCAATTGATCATAATACTCAAAGAGTAGGTGTTATGAGCAATTCCATTCAATTCCATTTGCTTGGAGAGAGCTAAAACAAGATCATACTGTTTAGTTCTGGCAACACCACTAAACAATCTACAGAAATCAATGACACTGGGAAGAGGACGAGACCGAAGCATCTCTTGAAACAGATTAACAGCATCTTCTGCTTTAATATTATCTACAGAACCATTCCTTAATCTCTCTCTGTAAGAGAGATTTCGATTTCGATCGCTGAAACCAGAAAATTCTCGTCGGCAGCAAGAAAATAGCTCATTTAGGTAAGGGAGGAGTAAAGCATTTCTCAGAGTACCTGTCTCCAGGAGGTGAGGCGGAAGAAATTTCAAAGCTTTAGGAGTCCATCTCTGTATCATCAACTTCATCATCTCACCTATTCCACAACTCACTGTGTCTTGAATTTGCAAACCCTACAGGCTACAGCCTACGGACAGCCCATCGCACGAGCTTATTAGAGTGTAAATAGAGAAGACCCGAAACTTATTAATTAAACCCCGTTCAGTGAAAGATATACCGGAATTGGTTTAGCTGACTTTTACGGTCGCGCGAATAGAATGGGTCAAATTAAATCGTTGGAATATGTTTTAATTGTTTTCCTTGTTCTGCAATGACTTTAAAACTTGGGATGCTTTTATGACTTTTAAAAGACCTGTTGCGGTATACGTGATTGTGAGATAATCTTTGTCATGATATAATAATGTTCCTGATGATGTCTTTGTCTCGATTGTTTTTTTAATGACTTTAAATCTTTGTCATTCATTTAACTCATTTGCTCTGTTCTCGTCAAGAATTGCGAACAGACATCTGTTTCATTTTCACTCGTTTGCTCTGTACTCTCATTCATACACAAGAAAAGATGTGCTAACTGATGTCATGCATGATGAGTGGTACAATCATGCAATGGCGAATTTGCTTTTTCCCCTTCTGAAAGGCTCACCGCATTATTAGATACTATTATATAAATCATTCCAAAAAATTATTGTTTTTTACATTTAGTCCCCATATTTATTTTGGAAACATATATACCATACCAACCACACAAAAACACTTTCCCAATTACAAAACATACCCATACATATGTAACAAAGGTCCCAACGTCAAATTTATCAACTTTAGGTTTTGAGCATCGGCAGAAGTTCTTGATAACTTGACATAAATTTGACGAAATCGTCGTATGCTTCTACGATGAGATGATCATCGTCCCAACTATCCCTGTATGTAGCGGATTGAGCATAGATTCTCTTGAAACCGATGTAAAACATTTGTTCTCTCCATTTCTCTATTCGGGGATAGTCACATTGATCCGCAAGCCAGTTGTCATATTCAAACTGCCACAAAATACATTTTGTTATTTAGATAAACGTTATTGTGAGAAGTAGTGGTAATTAAAGATATGTGTACCTGAGAGTCATCCGGCATCAAATGTGTATATCTTTTGGGAATACCCGAGGCTTCGAGCTTTTCGTAGAACGCCTTAGTGTCTTCCATCATCTCGTCTTGTGATGGGAGAGATACTCGCCCTGACAAAACCGCTGCGACCCACTTACTCTGAAGCTCAAACATCGGAAAGGGGGTGATCTAATACATCAAGTGAAAACCAAACAATGAGGTCTTACGCAGAACAAGTATATTCACACCAAAAAAAAAAAGGTAGAAACATTTTCAAGTTTATAATCAACCTGCCAAGGTAAGCCGATGAATGAAAGCCCTGGGGAAAGTCCCGGAGGAAATACATGCTTATACAATGGTCCGACACGATTATCATCTACGGTTACTTGGCCTTTCGTGTCAAGAAACGGGAAGTAATACTTGTACCTGAAAGAAAATTAACAAAAATTGAAAAGGGTAAAAAAATATATATATTTTGAAAACACATTCACATATTAGCTTATGCTCTGTTCCAATGTTTTAAGGTCACATAGAGAGAATGGAACTATAGTGTAACTTACCCGGTACAGTGCATAATGGTATCCACGTAAACCGTCTTCCCGTTTTCGAAAACCACCGAACCGTCTTCGTTGGCAATTTTAATCTTTTGTAGAATGAACGTTACCAAAAATCATTCAACGGTTCAATGGAGTAACTGAGTTATCAAAACAATCAACATCATTCATTAATGGCATATATACCGTTGGGTGAAGCCATAGATTGTCGTAACCGGGAAGCTTCTCATAGGTCTCCCGTGAAGTCGACCTAGACGAAACATGGATTTCTTTGGCGACCTTTGCAATATCTCTGCTTATATCAACTCCACTCGCTGAGCTTCCGATCACTATAACCACCTGCAACACACAACATAAAGGAAACGATTCAAGTATTAAAAGTGTATAATGAGATCACAAGATTCAATATAGTGATGAGATATCTATGTGAGTACCTGATCTTTGAATTGATCAGGAACACGGTAATTGTGACTGTGAATTTGCTTGCCTGGCCATGTATCTATGCCTGAAATAGAAACGCAAATTATCATTAGTCTTTCCCTAAAGAAAAACCTACAATCTTGTTTTTCTTTGACGAACTCTGTTTTTTGTATATATTTTTATTTTTATTTTGGTATAAAGTTTTCTATAAATATTGGACAACTCAAGGACACTTGCTTATTTACCAGCGATAAGAGCATGACGAGGTTGTGTATAGTGTCCGTTACAAACCATGACGGCGTCGTATATCTCGTCGGCAACACCATCAGAGCTTCTAGACTCAACCCTCCACTTTCCTCTCTCCTCCTCCGCCGTGGCCGGCTCCGCCTTAACAACCTCAGTCTCGAACCTTATCATCTCCTCGATATCGAATTCATTAGCAAAGTCTCGCAGGTAAGCAAGAACCTCAGTGTGAGCCGGGTGTCTTCTCGGATCCCTCGACCCGTCGTGTGGTCGGGTCGCAAAAGGGAAGTCGGTGAAACCCATGCATTCTCGAGGGATGTTGGTGCGTAGTGATCTGTAGAGGCTCGAGTGGACGACGGGTCGGTTCGGGTCGAGGCTAAGCGGGTCTGGTTCGACTTGAGAGGTGTAAGCCCACACGCCTCCGAGTTGGCTCCCGCGTTCTAAGACGACTACTGAGTGGCCTTCACGACGTAGCTCACGAGCAGCCACGAGTCCCGCTGCTCCGGCTCCGATTACTGCCACGTGGCGAGAGGTGGCCCGATCAGGGTGACTCGGTGACATGTTAGGTTTACTGGAGTATTATTTAACGAAGATGAAGAGATTGTAATGTTAACGAAGAGAGAAAGGTGATGTTGAGTGTTTCGATCATAACGATGTGCCTTTATATACTAGGAGAAAATGGTGACTTCAAAGATGACGTGTCACTTGAGAGTAGACAATTCTTAACATAATTTTGTAGATATGGTGGATATTAAATTCAATTAAGTTGGTAGCATACTAAAGAATTAAGTATCACTCTAAAGCTGATTAGAATGTTTTCGGTTTCTAAAAACAGCATAAACTATCAATGTTCTACAAGAAATTGAACTAAAATTAATTATACAAAAGATTTCGTTTGTAATAGACTTGCCTTTGTAGTTTTTTTTTTTTTTCCGACGAAGATTAATTGGTTACGTATTTTGAAGTGTTGCCCAATGTATCTACCACCACAACAGTGCCCAGGACCATGTGTACTATTCAAAGTGGTGGCATACCGAAAAAGAAACTTTCTTTTGCCATTATAATATGTGTAGGATCAAACCAATTCTAGTAAACATTATCTTACCAGTTACCACCATCCACATCATATATAAGCAATGATAAGATCGGTAAAAGGAGTATAATAAAGACGGCAAATATGAATGGACTGCGTCACTGTTCTCTAAAAATGAAAGACGCCAACTATGAAAAAGATTCATCAAGTTGCAAGCAAACCCATTACAAAAGTAGTTTGAAAAAAATGGACACTTTCGTCGTTTTGGACAAAAAGACTAGTAACACTACACCAGATGATTTATATATATCAAACTTCTTGAAAGATCTACCAATTATTGGATTTAGCTTACAGCATAATAATATATGGTTGAACTATATTGTACACGTACGACACTATAATTTCCTTTATCTATATTTTTTTTTAATAGTAGTTATTTTAAATTTTTATGTGATCTTTTTTTTTTTTTATCATGTCGTTTTCAAATAAGAGAAAAAAGATTATCGATAGAGATCATATTCTTGTGAACTTTATAATTAACATTAGTACCATTTGAAAACCAATAAAATAAATTATAGAACTGGTTATAGAATTGGAACGCATGCAGTACGGTACGATGAAACAGGACAAGAATCATAGAGAGATACCAAACTCCAGTAAATGAGATATTTGAACTCAGTTCAGTTTTAACTTGGTGAAATAACCTCGATCGTAAAACTAACATCTTTTTTCTCACAAATCACTCAGTGAGTCAAGTGCACTTTTCCACGATCCAATCAAAATATTTTGGAATATTTTGGAAAAAATATTGGAAAGCAGCCCTTTCTCATGAGACATCATTATCGATTGCAAAGTACTCAAAAGAAGAATTATTGAAGCCACATAACAAAGTAAATAAAGAAACTATAAAAGAGGGTAAATGCTTGCTTTAATGATTGATAATGCACGTCGTCGTATAAATGAAATTTTGCAAAAGAGCCTTGCTCAATTCTGAGAGTAAAGTCGCGTTGGTCTCTAGTCTGTTCGAGATGTAGGTGGCCGAAGATCCAATTAATTTTATTTTTTTAAAACAAGAATATGATCGAATATCAAATTTTAAATTTTTTTTTAATGAAAACATATAATCTAGATATATATGTCATGGAATTAACTACAAATCTTAAAACATATCTTAAGATAAAATTTTAATTGACTAACTTACTATATATCTCTATATATACATTAAAATATTGAATGGCCATATATACTGTTTGTATATATAAAAATATCTAATTAAAAGTAGATTTATATCTTAATTTATGTAAATACATTAATTATTACAACTGTTGTCTTACAAAGAGATAAAGTATACAATATCATATGTTGGAAAGTTTATCTGACTTCAGAAAAATATTATAAATTTAGAGTATGCAAATTAATTCTTCTATTGTAAAAGATATCCTTTTGTTTTTCCCACATCTTATTGATATAGATTGTACTATGTTGTTTACCTTCATATTATAGTTAAATCAAAGACCAAATGTTGCATGAGAATCTTCCCGGGGAATTGATGGAGGAGATACTCCATCGTGTTCCATCTCTATCTCTTTCCCGGTTCAAAACCGTTTCCAAAGAATGGAACACACTTTTCAACGACAAGACATTCATCAACAAGCACTTGGCTGTTGTCCGTCCTGGATTCCTTTTATGGACCAATTCCAAGGTTTATTCCGTAGGTGTCAATCTCAACGATGATCCAAAAATAGAGCTACGTGAGTTGACCTTAGGTATTCCAGATTTTCCTGATCATAAGACTACAAGCTTTCTTCCTTGCAATGACTTATTGTTTTGCGCCTCATGGTGGTGGCAAAATAAAGCGGTTGTTTGGAACTCGTCGCTGAGACAAACTAGATTTATTGAGTCGGAGGAAAAACATTTCAGGTTTGGTGGCATAGGATACAATGGTGATGAACCCGGAGAGGGTTATCATATATTTGGATATAGTAATAGTCGACGAAGTAATCATTTAGAAAAATCTATGTTTTACAAAAAAATGTCTATCTACAAGTTTGGAAGCAATGCGTGGAATTGTATTAATGATGTTCATGAAGAAGAGACTTTCATAGGAGGATCAGATTCATTAGAAAACAATGTGTCTTTGAATGGAAATTTGTATTGGGCTGTTTCTAACTTCACGATTCCTGAATATGTTATCCACAGTTTCGATTTTTCGAAAGAGATGTTCAAAATCTTTAGCGTTCTACCATGGAAGAAGAAGAAATTTGATATGCCAGTACTCTCAGTTTATAGGGGAGATCGGCTTTCAGTACTAAATAAGTTTAGAGGAACAGGTAACATCGAGATTTGGGTGACGAAGAACAAGGTTAATGAGGACGTGGAGAATGTGGTGTGGATGATGTTCATGACACTTTCAATACCTATTTATAAGGGCACTTGCCCAAGTTACTTCATCAATGATATCTACGAAAAGAGTCTCGTCATTTGTTGTAGCGACGAAAGTGGAAAGGGTTGCATTTATATTGTGAAGGGAGATGCAACGAAAAAGATTCAAATAGATTTTAATGTTATTGAGTTTAGTCATTGTTTCTATGATCCCAGTTCGATTCCTATCTCTTCCGATCCAGAAACAAACAATAATTAGAAGTTTACCATTTTTTTTTGGGCTATATATTACTTTGCCTATTGGCTTTCTTTCATCTTTTCAAGAAATCCTAATAATTATTTATATTTATTTTGTGGAGCAAAAATAATCCTAATAATTATTTATGACAAAAAAATTATCAAGAATTTGATGGTGTTTCATTTCATGTAATTCTTCAAGAAAAAAGTTACACGTTTTGATTTAGCCAAATAGTAATAACTTGTTTCCTAAAGATAGAGTTATGTAAATATTTTAAAATAATAGCTTACGTTTGACCCCAAAAAAAAAAAAATTCTTATGATGCGAAAAATATATAAAAACAACAGCAAAGGAAATGAGGAATTAATATGGTCGTCAAAAAAAAAAAGGAGAAATTATCCCTATATTAGTAAAAGAGAAGTACAAAAAGTGTTTCCGGGTCGGGTCAATTTGAAAAAATTACCCGAAATTTATAATTGGATCTTTTAAACTTGGATAGATAAATGGGTTTGGATACATACACCGGTTACTTTCCAAATCTAATTTTAGGATTGTATTATTTCTATAACTAATTATAGGATTTACTATTATTTCTCTAGCTAATATAATACAATCTATTTAAAAAATATTATTCTTCTTTCACTTTTATTTGATATTGTTTTTAATTTATGATATTATACTATATAATATATATATTTAATAAAAATTTAACTTTTTTTTGCATATGTTGCAATTTGAATTTTTTAAAACGGACATATAATACTCAACTACACTCGGTTAAATATTTTGGACAATGGTTTAAAATCATTATAAGTATGACCAATATTAAAACCATTGTTACATGAGCATATTTAAAATTTCAAATAGTTTCAAAATATTATAAATAAAAGGTTCAAATATATAAAACTTTTAGAATTTAAAATATTCAAATATTTTTTTGAAGACATAAATGTAATTTTGGAGACATCATTTTTATTGATAAAATATATTATATATCAAACTATGTAAATTTTAGATAATTCACGGGTAGTTTGTTAAATCACAATTATAATGATAAAGCGAGTTACGAATAATGTTTTTTACGAAATGAATTCTGTTATGGGTTGGACTTTCAAAAAATATATTGTAAATATGTAATTTTTACGTATATTCCTACTTTTACTACAAAAATAGTCAAAATGAATAATTTATCGACAAATATTATTTAGTGCTGTTAAATTTTCCCCGTGTTTTTAATTGTATCAAAACTCAGTATATGATTATTTACTCGCTTTTTCTTTTATTATTTTTTTTTAAACTTAATTGTATAAAAACTCAGTATATGATTATTTACTCGCTTTTTCTTTTATTATTTTATTTAAACTTATTATACAAATATATAATTTACCGTAATCGACTGCACTTTAACAAAATTAAAATATAACATAATCTAATCCGTTAAAAGTTATATATATGTAATTATTTCCTCCGCGCTGTAGCGCGGGTCCGAACCTAGTCTCTACGTAAATTAATTGACTAGTAAAGAAGTGTAGCGGCCTAGATTAAGGGAGATCCCATGGGAATTAACAGAGTTAATCTATCAGAGTTAATTAATTGACCCCCCCCCCCCATTAGACACACGGCCAATCAATTGTGATATATGAAATTTGGAATTAAGTAAATTATAAGTATTTAATTAATATTAAATCTATGACATGGAGCTAAATAATATAAAGTAACAACATTTTTTTAAAATTAAGCTAGAACCTTAATTTATTTATTTAGAATCAAAATTTTAAATTTGAAACCTAGTTAATTAATGTTATCTCTGTATAATATGTAAAATCATTAAAATAGCTAGATTATTTCAATATCACATTATCTGCTATGTACTTTATAAAGATGTAAGATATATATCATGTCTTATCCTAGAGAAGGTAATCCTTAAGTTTTAAGCTCATATTATGAATTTAGAATATATTTCTCATCTTTAATTAATAAATCTCCTTTTTTCTTGTTTTCTTTTTTTCCTAGTTAACTTTTTTTCTTTACAATTTATATATTGCATATTATGTGTTGTTAGCTTCATCATTACATCAAAGACCAAAATGATGCATGTAGAGCTTCCGTGGGAATTGGTAGAAGGCATACTCTATCGTCTTCCGCCTTTATCTCTAATCCGATTCAAAATTGTTTGCAAAAAATGGAAAGCACTTTTTAAAAGCAAATCATTTCACAATAACAACTTGGTTCGTATCCGTCCTCACTTTCTCGTATGGACCGATTCTAAGATGTATTCAGTAAGCATTAATCTGAGCAAGGATCCAAATATAGAGATGCATGAGTTATCGTTAGATATTCCTTCTTTTCATAATAATAACATGACTACACGTTTTCTTCCTTGTGATGGCTTATTGTATTGTGACTCGTTGTCATGTGAAGCTGCGGTTTGGAACCCGTGGTTGAGACAAACTAGATGGATCGAGTCTCAGTACAAAGATTTCACGTTTCGTGGCATAGGATACGATAGTGGTAAACCTGAAAAAGATTACTACATCTTCGGTTCTACTGCTATTTACACGTTGGAAACTAATGAGTGGAAGCGCACGAATGCATATCTTGGAAAAATGTTCCCCACATATAATGATGTGTCTTTGAATGGAAATTTGTATTGGGTTGTTCCCGATCGGAAGGCTGATGAGTATTTTATCCAAACTTTCGATTTTTCGAAACAAATATATAAAGTTTTTTGCGTTCTACCGTGGAATATGATGAACTCTTCTTTTCCAGTCCTCTCAACTTTTAGAAAAGATCGGCTTTCCCTGTTAAAAAAAATGAACGGAACAAATAATAATATTGAGGTTTGGGTGACAAGAAACAAGATTAATAATAACGATGTGGAGCATGTAACGTGGATAAAGTTCATGACAGTTTCGATACCTATTAGTACCATCTGTCGTCCAAGTTTCTTTATCGATGATGTTTACAAAAGGAGTCTCGTTATGTGTTGTAAGGACAAAAATGAAAAGCTTTGCATTTATATTGTGAGGGGTAATGTGTTAACGAATATTCAAATGGACGTTGATGCTAAATGTGCTATTAATCATTGTTCCTATGTTCCCAGTTTGATCCCTATTCCTCCTCTATAGAGTCCAGATTTTCAAGAACTCAAGTTTTAGTGTTTATTATTTTGGATTACTTGTACTTTTTTTCTTTTCTTTCTTTAGCAGTTACATGAATTGATTTTAAAAGTATGTCTTCTCCATTCAATATCTTTTTCGTTAAAGTATATATATATATATATATATATATATATGTACTAATGGCGATGATGATCTTTATAGTTGCTATTTATAGACCGGAATGAGGTATTTTGTGTCTCCATTGTGTGTCGATCAGCCTTAAACTTACACCAACCTAATGAACACATTTCAATACGGAGCAATTCAACCTTAGATTATGACGTCTCACTTATCCTAATTCAATTCTTTTATAGTTCTTTTACCAAATCCAATGAGTCTAGCTGACTCCCCCACATTAGACACACGGCCAATCAAATTCTGATATATAAAATGTGGAACGAATAAAATTATAAGTATTTAGCTATATATATGAAAACTTTAAAGTATTAAATCTATGACACGGAGCTAAATAATATAAAGTAACATTATGTTTTTAAAATTAAGCTAGAATATCTTAATTTATTTAAAACAGAACCATAGATTATTGTATTACGAATAAAATTTTTAAATTGAAACTTAGATAATTTATGTTATATCTGTATAATATGTGAAATTAAAAATAACTAAATTTTTCAATATTACATTAACTGCTACAACTATTTTATAAAGTAAGATATAATATATATATATATATATATATATAATGTCTTATCCTAGAGAAGGTAATCTAAGTTTTAAGCTCATATTATGTTTTAGATTATGTAAATTCTTTAATTAAAAAATCTCTTTTTTCCTAGCTAATTTTTTATTTGATCCTATGTTCTTTCCTTAAACACTGTACCTATGTTCCCAGTTTGATCCCAATTCCTCCAGATTCCTTAAACATTGTACCTATGTTCCCAGTTTGATCCCAATTCCTCCAGAGAGTCCACAGATTTTCTTTGTTTTATTCTTTTATTTAGCAGTTACATAAATTGATTTCAAAAGTATGTCTTGTACTCTTCTTCATTCAATATCTTTTTGGTTAAAGTAATAATATATATTTCAAAAAACAATTGATGTACTATTATCTTTAAAAAAAGGTAGAATATGAGTAAAAATAAAGATAAAGAGTAGATGTTTACATGAACAGAAGAAAATGTAATAAGTTAGATAAAGTCCAATTTTTCGAGCAATTTATGTAGGTGATAATATCTTACACGTTACATCTGACAATGAGATGTATTGTCATATATACATAAAATTATAAGAAAAAAGACTCATTCGAGCGCAACTTTCATTTTAACATATTTAGAATTTAGTTAAGATTTTTTTTTCGCAATGAATTTGTTTTTTTTTGTGTGCCAACAAATGAATTTGCTTCTACTATAATTCTATGATAAATAAAATATTTAAATCTTAGAAAAAATTGCACAGCTGGTGTAATTAAGTAGGTGGCATGATGTGTAAAATGATCTATACAAAGTTTTAAATGCAAAAGAAAAACGACTATTTCCACTGCAAATGGTTCATTATTTTAAAAGAGAAATTCACAATATTTAAACTGATAGATTTGTTTTTCCAAGGCATTGGCATCAGCTATAAATAGAAACCGAGCCTCCCTCTTTGATCAAATATATTCACTCAACAAAGAAAGCATTATAACAACACTTCATACAAATTCCATTCGTCTTCAGCGACAATGAGTAGTAGTCAAATAATCGAAGGTTCTGAATTGGACGCTGGCCTTGTGGTAAAGATTATAAATATTTCCTAAATTTTATATTACAAATTTTACTTTTATCATCTAGTTTAGATTTGTGTTTTTCTTTACCAAGAATGTTTTTGATCAATCTACGTTATAGGCGAGTGGTGAGATTGACGTTGCACCAAAGACAGTGGAGGAGCCAGTGGTGGAGACCGAGCAGCCCGAAGAATCCGTTGTGACAGAAACACCAGAGGTGGTGACTCCGGAAGAACCTGAAGTCAACGTCGATGTCGAGGAGTAAAAAGGGATGAAACTCACTGTGACTCTCTCTAAAATTAATGTTTGCATTTGGTTTCTATTAAAATAAGTGTGTTTATGTCGGTATGGTATCTTTGGTTTTGGCTTTGAATGATTTGTGATAATAAAACAAAATGTTTGGATATTTTATTTTTCCATGATTGGTGATTGTTCAGTAAAATCTTTAACATTAACAATCAAAATAGGCTCATGATTCTGGAATTTCAATAATCAACTAAGAAGAAGAGTCTTGGTTCAATTTCAGTTTGGCGAATTCGCGGTACACTTCTTCAATGAGTCGATCATCGTCCCATTGATCGCGATAACTGTCTCCACCAAAGAAAACTTTCTTGATGGCGACCTTGTATAGTCGCTCTCTCCAAGGTTCTATGGATGCACAACCACACTGCTCCGCTATCCAGTTGAAGTAGTCGCTTTGAGATATCGCAACTGCATCCTCCGGGTTAAACGTCCCGAACAATGGATTCCCTCGAGGATCGGTCAGAAAATGTGTATATCTCTTAGGAATCCCCAAATCTTCAAGCTTCGCGTAGAAAGCTATAGCTTCTTCCATCATCTTATCCTCTGAGGGAAGCTTAGCCCGTCCCGACAGAACCGAAGCAACCCACTTGCTCTGGATTTCAAACATAAAGAACTGAAGTCCCTGTATTGAACAAAGATCAAACCATGTAATGAGTCCAAAATAATATTAAAGTTACCGCTTTATGAACAAACACTTGATCCTAAATCTATGTATATAGGAGATTCCAAGATTATCCTAACATTCTGAATCTCTTAAATTACATTTTCAATCAAACATGTAGTAATACTAACCATGAAAGGTATACCGATAAAGGAGATCCCAGGCGCAAGTGCGGGTGGGAAAACATGTTTGTAGAGCGGTCCAACACGGTTATCCTCAACAGTCACATAACCGTTAGTTTTAAGAAACGGGAAATGATACTTGTAACCAGTGCAATGAACTATAACATCAGCAAATAGCACTTTCCCGTTTCGGAATACCACAGAACCATCCTCGCGGGCTTGGTATATCTACAACATACATAAAAGGAAATTTAAGAAATCATATGACCACCATATTCATATTCTCAATGCTCAAATGTCATTTTTCCAATATTTATCTACCATAGGATGAATCCGTAGGTTGTTGTAACCACTGTATGAATCGGACGCAACCGCATTAGACGAGAGATGGACTTCTTTTGCCATAGTAGCTATGTCGCTACTAATGTCGTTTCCACTTGATTGACTTCCTATAACTATCACCACCTACAAACATGTCAAACCACTATCAATGTTGATGTCTTAACCAAATCCATATGATTAATTAGGAAAGTAAACGAATTTGCAAAGACCTGATCTTTGAATGGATCTGGAATCCGATAATTGTGGCTATGGATCTGCTTTCCTGGCCATGAATCTATCCCTAAAAGACTAAAAACGAGATAATTAAGAAACTAATCAACCATTTAATCACAAACTAATCACACTTTTTTTAAGTAACCAAAATATTTACTTACCAGGGATATGAGCAAGACGAGGCTCAGTGAAGTGACCATTACAAACAACGACCGCGTCGAAGATTTCTTCGCCGGAGACACCACTTGAGCTCTTAAATTGAACTCTCCATTTACGGTTATCCTCCGCCGCCGGCTCCACACACAAAACCTCCGTCTCAAATCGGACCATCTTTTCGATCTTGAACTCCTTGGCGAAATCTTGAAGGTACGTCAAGACTTCCTTGTGGTCCGGGTACCGTCTCGGATCGCCGCCGTCACCGGATCGGGTTGCGAATGGGAAGTCACTGTAACCCATACACTCCCGTGGTAGATTCGTGCGGAGGGATTGGTAGACGCTCGAGTGGACGATAGTTCGATCCGGGTCAACGCTAAGTGCGTCAGCTTCGACTCGATCGGTGTACATCCAAAGTCCTCCAACGTGTTTCTCACGCTCGAAAGCGACGACGGTGTGACCTTCACGGCGAAGCTCTCGAGCCGCCACGAGCCCGGCGGCTCCGAGTCCGATCACGGCCACGTGACGACCACGTGAGGTGATTGAACTGGTCATAGCGTGTGTAAGTCAATTTGGACAGTCACTATCAGATTCACATTCCTTAAAAGTGGTGTGTTGCAATTTTCCTTATAATAATCAAACGAGTCCCTGTATTATGGAATATGTCTAATTCCACCACTAATTTTGGTTTACAACATTATGAACCAAAAATTCTCTACATTATGTTTTCTTCTGTGTAACCAGAATTTGTTTTATCTTAGTTGTTTGTTCTTGTAACATCTTGAATGAACTGAAATTTTGATGAGTTCTCGTAAAAGTCATAATGAAAATAAATTAAAGAAGGATATTGAAGACAGAGAGACGTGGGAGCAGACAGAAGAAGGAAAGGTGTCGTGCCATCAACTAAATTTCTATAAATAGATCGAAGAGACAAAATGGATTAATAACCAATCAAAAATCCCGTTATTGTAGAGGAAGAAAGAGATTATATATAAGAAGAATACGATAAGAAAAAAATAGCCAAACGAAGAACACGAAGACAGAGAGAAACTCAAGGTACGTACATTGTGTCTTCTTTTGATTCATCTAATTTCTTCCAATCACGCTATTCGTTGTATGCATGTCTTCACGGTTTTGCTATGTAAATGTTGTTATTGTGGTTGTTAGTTTTATTGACTTATGATACAAAAATAGATATACTTGTGATATGACGATCATGTGAGGATTATATGATATTTTTTTCATCAATGATATTCATGTTTGTGTAGGTAAAAAGATAGTAGATAATGGTGAACATTAGAGTACAAAAAGGTCCTGAATCTCCGAGGACGATGGAGGTGGGAGAGATAGACACAAGAGCACCGTTCCAATCGGTGAAAGCTGCGGTGAGCTTGTTCGGAGAAGTTGCAGTCTCTAGGCAAAGAAGTACTCCAAGGAGGTCTCGCCTTTCCTCTGAGGTAACTAATCTAATTAAGTCTGATCACGAACGGGTTGTATCATGGTTAAATGACAATAATACATGTTTCTAGATATTTGTTTAGGTAATGGATTTGTATGTAGGAAAAATTATATTAAACCCTTTCAATATTTGTTATGTTTCAGAGCGTTTGCGATAAAGAAACAGAGCTGATGCTGGTCCATAAGGAATTCATCAAAATCAAGCAAAAGCTAGACAAGGCTGAGAGCACTAGATCTCGTGCTCTTGCCGATCTTTCAACGGCAAAGAAGACAATGGAGGAACTTAGCAACAAGCTTGAGACTGTCAACAAGTCTAAGCAATCCGCTATTGATACCAAAGAAACCGTGCAACAGCGCGAAGAACAGCTTGAGCATGACAAGTCTCATGGCTCTCCTCCTCACCACCATGAACTTGACGTTGCTAGAGAACAATATCTCTCCACCACCGTTGAACTCGATGCTGCAAAACAGCAGCTCAACAAAATTAGACAGAGCTTTGACTCCGCTATGGATATCAAAACCACGTCTTTAAACCAGACAGCAGAAGCCCAACGTGCACTCCAAGTTAACTCCGCAAAGGTTAACGAGCTTTCTAAGGAGATTTCGGATATGAAAGATGCGATTCATCAGCTCAAGCTAGCAGCTGCTCAGAATCTGCAGGAACACGCTAATATTGTGAAGGAGAAAGATGATTTACGAGAATGTTACAGAACTGCTGTTGAGGAGGCAGAGAAGAAACTTCTAGTGTTGAGGAAAGAATATGAGCCTGAACTCTCAAGAACTCTTGAGGCCAAGCTGGTAGAAACGACCTCAGAGATTGAGATTTTAAGGGAGGAGATGAAGAAAGCTCATGAATCTGAGATGAACACGGTTAAAATCATTACAAACGAGCTTAATGATGCTACGATGAGGCTACAAGAAGCTGCTGATGACGAATCCTCTCTCCGAAGCTTGGTGAATTCTCTCAGGATGGAGCTAGAAGACTTGAGAAGAGAACGCGAAGATCTGCAGCAGAAAGAAGCAGAGAGGTTAGAGATTGAGGAAACTAAAAAGTTGGAAGCTCTCAAGGAAGAGAGCTTGAAACTGGAGCAGATGAAATCAGAAGCTATGGAAGCAAGAAACGAAGCTGAAAAGATGAACAAGAAGATAGAGAGCCTGAAGAAAGAAACCGAGGCTGCAATGATAGCTGCAGAGGAAGCTGAAAAGAGATTAGAGCTTGTTATAAGAGAAGTGGAGGAGGCGAAATCAGCTGAAGAGAAAGTCCGGGAAGAGATGAAGATGATATCTCAGAAGCAAGAGAGCAAGAAACAAGACGAATCATCTGGTTCAAAGATAAAAATTACGATCCAAGAGTTTGAATCTTTGAAACGTGGAGCAGGGGAAACAGAGACTGCAATCGAAAAGAAGTTGGCAGCTATAGCAGCTGAACTCAAAGAGATCAACGAGAGAAGAAATGAAGCAGATAATAAGTTAGCAGCGAACCTTAAAGCGATAGAAGAGATGAAGCACGCAACGGATTTGGCTCAGAAGTCGGCAGAATCTGCAGAAGCTGCAAAGAGAGTGGTGGAAAGTGAATTGAGGAGATGGCGTAAACAAGAAAATGTACAACATGCTTAGGAATGATTCCATCTGTATAAAACCTTGTTTTATTCCAACAATCAAAGATAAAAATACAATGAAAATGTTTAAGAATTAATCTCAAGTGTTTATCATTGATAAACATTTGAAAGCTTTTATTCTCACACAACAACAGAGAACAACATTTGTCCAAGGAATCGATCATCATTTTCCGGATTTTAATAACTCAGAAGGAAGACTAGTGATCAGCTTCTGTCTCAAGAAATCCTCATAAGCCTCAAGAATGAGATGATCATCGTCCCACTTATCGCGGAAAGTGTCTGATTGTGTGGCAAGTCTGACATAGCCACCTTCAATTTCCTGATATCTCCACTCCTCACCAGGCGGTGCACCAACTTGCTCGGCTATCCAGTTGAGGTATTGAACATGACCCGCACCAAGTCTATGTGTGTACCTCTTAGGAAACCCGTGACTATCACGCACTGCATAATCAGCAGTAACGTCTTCCATCATTTTCTCTTCTGAAGGAAGCGTGACCCGACCGGACAGAACTGCAGCCACCCATTTGCTTTGGAGCTCAAACATAAAGAATAGCAATGTCTGATTTCATATTAGAAAACACAATCTGATTAGAGTATAAATAAAAATCTGAAAAAAGCCAACAAAAGTAGATTGAGTGAGAGACTTAACCATCCATGGTACACCAACGAAGGACAGCCCGGGAGCAAGTGCAGGCGGGAACACGTGCTTGTAAAGCGGTCCAACACAGTTATCATCAACGGTAATATAGCCATTGGTGTTGAGAAACGGGAAGTAATATTTGTAACCAGTGCAATGCACAATGGTATCAGCTTGTACAATTTTACCATTCTCAAAAACAATCGAACCATCCTTGTTTGCACTTTTGATCTATAAAAAAAAAACTGTATCAGCGACCCTTCTAGCCTGATCATAGTTCTCTCTCTGAACGATCTACACATATTATTTGTCATGTACCATAGGGTGAAGCCACAGATTGTCGGACCCAGGCAGTTGTTTGTATGTCTTAGACGGATTAGCTCTAGCAGCGATATGGACTTCTTTAGCCACTGCCATTATGTCCCTGCTGATATCAGATCCACTCGCAAAGTTTCCTATCACTACCACCACCTTTTCATAGATTTCAGACCACCATTGTCAAATAATTGAATCTATACATTTGAAACTCAACACCAATATACTTGAATTACTTATACCAAATATTCCTACTAACCTTTACCTCCTATGTATCCACTAGAACTCAAATGCCACATGTCTTGTTATAATTTGTTATTTTACTTATCATAAATTTACTTACATAACAATCAAAGAAACTGGTGTTCAAAAAAAAAAAAAAAAACAATCAAAGAAACTAAAAATAATATTTTGTTTTTGTCAAATTCATTAAAAATAATATTACATGGTCATCATTTTTAATAGTATCTAACCATTGGAAGTGCGGTAGCCTGTAGGCATCCGGCATCACATACCTTAATAAAAATATTCACTATATAAAAAAGGGATTCGAATATTACCAAAGCCAATAACTCTACTAATATAAAATGAGAAAAAAAAATATTTCCGATTGAAAAGTCAAAAGGTGTCGACATACTGTTGGCTAGGAAAAAAGGTGCGACAAAAAATAAAATATTTAAAAAATCTGTTAAGAACCTGATCTTTGAATGGATCGGGAAGACGGTAATTGTGGCTATGAATCTGCTTCCCTGGCCATGAATCAATACCTAAATAGTAACAGATTTCTCATCAATCAAAACATAAATCACATCAAACTCATCAGAATCTATTGAAAAAACATATTAAAAGTACCAGGAACGTGAGCAACTCTAGGTTCTGTATAATGGCCATTACAAACAACGACAGCATCAAAGATCTCATCACTCGAGATCCCATCTGAGTTTTTGGATTTGACCCTCCATTTAGAACCATCAGGCTCGACAAGAACCACTTCAGTGTTGAATCGAACCATCTCCTCGAGTTTGAATTCTCTAGCAAAGTCTTCAAGGTAAGCTAAGACTTCTTTGTGACTAGGGTACCTTCTCGAGTCTCTAGATTCGTCGTGTTCACGTCGAGGCACGAAAGGGAAGTCACTGTAACCCATGCACTCTCTTGGGAGATTGGTCCGGAGTGAATCGTAGACGCTCGAGTGGACTATGTTTCGATTTGGATCGAGGCTAAGTGGGTCGTCCTCGCTTTCAGGTGTGTATACCCAGAGACCTCCCACTTTTGAGATACGTTCGAAGACGACGACTGAGTGGTTCTCGCGGCGTAGCTCTCTTGCAGCCACGAGCCCGGCGGCTCCGGCTCCGATCACTGCCACGTGGAGTGAGTTGATTGTGCTTTGTGCAGGAGCCATTTTTTAGTTCTTTTTTTTTTTTGTTCTGATGCGACGCTATGCGTACTCTATACAAATATACGGTACTCCACCAATTAGTTATCTTTCCAGACTGGGACAACCAAAAGAGAAAACGTTTATTTTGTGGATCACCACAAATAGTATATAATTTAACTTTTTGTCCTTTTTTGTATTCATATCACCAACATAGAAAATTTCAACTCTTACTTTGGAACTAGTTACAGTGGGTAGAACAAACTTTGGCTGGTTACGATTCAAGAGTTTGAATTATTGAAACGTGGAGCAGGGGAAACAGAGACTGCAATCGAAAAGAAGTTGAGAACTCCAAGAAATAAACATAAACGTGAGAAAAGCTGAAGCGGATACTAAGTTAGCAGCAAACCTTAAAGCGATAGAGGAGATGAAGCACGCAACGGATTTGGCTCAGAAGTCAGCAGAAGCGGCAAAGAGCGTGGTGGAAACAAGAAGATATACAACATGCTTAGGGCTGATTCCATATGTATAAAACCTTGTTTCATTTCGACATTCAAAGATTTAAAAAAAAAAAAGACAATGAAAATGGTTAAGAATTAATCTTAGATTATCATGTGTTTGTCAATGGGAAACTTTTGACGGCTTTTATTCTACACAACAAGAAAGAACAACACAACATTACAACAACACTCAGACAGGTTAATCATTTGTCCAAGGAATCAATCAATCATCATTTTCCGGATTCCAATAACTCGGAAGGAAGACTAGTTATCAGCTTCTGTCTCAAGAAATCCTCGTAAGCCTCAACCATGAGATGATCATCGTCCCACTTATCGCGGAAAGTGTCTGATTGTGTGGCAAGTCTAAAATAGCCGCCTTCAATTTCCTGATATCTCCATTCTTCACCAGGTGGTGCACCAACTTGCTCGGCTATCCAGTCGAGGTATTGAATCTGATTCGCACCAAGTTTATGTGTGTATCTCTTAGGAAGCCCGTAAGTATCACGCATTGCATAATAGGCAGTAACTTCTTCCATCATTTTTTCTTCTGAAGGAAGCGTGACCCGACCAGTCAAAACTGCAGCCACCCACTTGCTTTGGAGCTCAAACATAAAGAATTGCAGTGTCTGATTTCAGATTAAAAAAAAAAAAAGAAGTAATCTGATTAGAGGATGAAAAAAACTATAAAAACGACAACAAAAGTAGATTGAATGAGAGCCTTCACCATCCAGGGTAAACCAATGAAGGAAAGCCCGGGAGCAAGCGCAGGCGGAAACACGTGCTTGTAAAGCGGTCCAACACAGTTATCCTCGACGGTAATGTAGCCATTGGTGTTGAGAAACGGGAAGTAATATTTGTAACCGCTGCAATGCACAATGGTATCAGCTTGGACAACCTTACCATTCTCAAAAACAATCGAACCATCTTCGCGTGCATTTTCTATCTACGTAAAAAAAGGCAAAAACCGAATCAGCGACCCGTCTAGTATGAATATAGTTCTCTCTGGTCGATATAACATATATTCTTTTTTGTTTACCATAGGGTGAAGCCAAAGATTGTCAGACCCGGGAAGTTGTTTGTATGTCTTAGACGGATTCGATCTAGACGCAATATGAACTTCTTTAGCTACTGCCATTATGTCCCTGCTGATATCAGCTCCACTCGCAAAGTTTCCTATCACTACCACCACCTTTCATATGATTTCAGACCAACATTGTAACTTGTAAGATAATTGAATCATATACACTGTCTAAAAGATTTCAAAGTCAACACCAACACACTGAATCCTACACCCAATATTCTGACTAACCTAAGCTACCTTACCATCCAATACCCTACCTACCTAAACTGGAATACCAAGAACAGAATAACTGCTAATATAAAATGAGAGCTAAAGAAACAAAATATGTCCCATGTGTCTAATGGAAATGAAAAATCACTTTTTCGTAGTGGTCGAATCAGAAGAAGCAAAAAAGCACTTTTTAAAAGGTGTCGACAAAAACAAAAAGATTTAAAAAATCTGTAAGAACCTGATCCTTGAATTGATCAGGAACACGGTAATTGTGGCTATGAATCTGCTTCCCTGGCCATGAATCGATACCTAAAAAGAAACAAATTTCTCATCAATCAAAACATAAATCACTTCAAATTCATCGAATCTTTAGAAAGGAAAAAAACCAAAACTTTTGGATCGGGACATAAAAGAAAAAGTACCAGGAACATGAGCAACTCGAGGTTCTGTATAATGTCCGTTACAAACAACGACAGCATCAAAGATCTCATCTTTGGAGGTCCCCTCTGAATTTTTGGATTGAACCCTCCATTTAGAACCATCAGGCTCGGCAAGAACCACTTCAGTATTGAATCGAACCATCTCCACGAGTTTGAATTCTCTAGCGAAGTCTTCAAGGTAAGCCAGGACTTCTCTGTGGCTAGGGTACCTTCTCGAGTCTCTAGATTCGTCGTGTTCAGGTCGAGTCACGAAAGGGTAGTCTCTGTAACCCATGCACTCTCGTGGGAGATTGGTTCGGAGAGAATCGTAGACGCTTGAGTGGACTACGGTTCGATTTGGATCGAGGCTAAGTGGGTCGAGCTCGCTTTCAGGTGTGTATACCCAGAGACCTCCTACTTTTGAGTCGCGTTCGAAGACGACGACTGAGTGATTCTCGCGGCGTAACTCTCTTGCAGCTACGAGCCCTGCGGCTCCGGCTCCGATCACTGCCACGTGGAGTGAGTTGATTTTGCTTTGTGCGGGAGCCATTTTTTTCTCCTTTTATGTGTGAATGTGACGCTCTGTTCTTATAATTGGGTTTTTATAGAAGCCTCTTCAGTTCCGGTTAAACGGTTCGGTTGAACTACTAAACCAAACTCTAGTGCCGCTGAATTAAGAAATTGATATTAAAACCCACGTACTAGCAATTAAATTACATGTACACATGACCAGAGAATACAAAAGTAGATAAATAGCATTAACTTTTTGCAACGATTACGCTGTAATCGACCACTAAATCAAGATTCTTATAAATTAGTGTTCCATGTTCATATACTTTATTCTCAAAATACTTAAAATATGTTGTAAAAGTCAAACTTTGTAATATTCTCATCCCAATCAATAATCACCTTCCAGACTGGAACAAGCAAAAGAGAAAACGTTTATTTTGTGGATTACCAAAAAGTTTATATAATTATAATTTAACATTTTTTTGGTCGTTTTGTTTATTCATTTTACAAACATCGAACTTTCAACTCTCTTTCTCGAAGCGCACTGACTTAGGATGACCTAGTACCGGTGGGTAGATAACAAACACTGGTCGGTTTGAATTTTAGCAAAATCACGGTACGCTTTTTGGAGAAGTTGATCATGCTCATCCCATACATCATCACGATAACTGTCATCATCTTTCTTGATAGCGATGTTGTATTGTTCTTCTCTCCAAGGATCGATGGACGAGCAGCCACACTGTTTAGCGATTCAGTTAAAGTACTCATACTGTGAGATCAAAACTGCTTCATGCGGCTTAAGCTTTTCGAACATCGGAGAAAATTGAGGATCAGTTAGAAAATGCGTAAATCTCTTGGGGATGCCCAAAGTTTTGAGTTTTTGCATAGAAAGATGTGACATCTTCTATCATTTCGTCCTCCGAAGGAAGCTGAACCCGACCAGATAAAACCGAAGCTACCCACTTGCTTTGGATTTCAAACCAAGTAATGAGGCCACGGAAATAAGATTTAGTTATATATATAGCATTTACTTAGTACCAACCATCGAAGGTAAACCAATAAAGGAGAGGCCAGGGGCAAGCGCAGGCGGGAAGACATGCTTGTATAACGGTCCAACACGGTTATCTTCGATGGTCAAATAATCGTTAGTTTCAAGAAACGGGAAGCGATACTTGTAATCGGTGCAATGTACTATGGCATCTGCAAATACGGCTTCCCCCGTCTTGAAAAACAACCGAACCATCCTCGTATGCTCGGTCTATCTATAACATATATACATCAAGCTAGTTACAAGTACATATAAAATGGATGTTCTGTTATTTTCCTTTTCTTTTCTTTTTTTTTTTCTTACCGTCTGATGAATATGTATATTGCTTTAACGGGAACTTTTCTTGTCGTATGCGTCGAACTTGGTTGCAATATGGACTTCTTTAGCTAGGGTTGCTATGTCCTTGCTAACGTCTCTTCCGCTGGATTGATTTCCTATCACTATCACCACCTACACACATGTTAAACAACAACATCGTTATCATCTTAATCTAATCAATAACAAAAGATTTAAGAAATGGAAAGTGTACTAAATATAGTCAAAAGTGACTCATAGAGTTTTGTAATTGATTACCTGATCTTTGAATGGATCCGGAACAGCTATGAGCCTGGCTGCTCCGGCTCCGATCACGGCAACGTGACGTGAGCAGATTGAGTTAGGCGGCGTTGGCGTCATAGTATGAGACAATGATAAGTATTTGTTTCCTTGAAGAGTATGTACGGCGGATACGGTACTACTGTAATATAGATATAAGTAAACGTTATCGAATCTAACCAAACGTTATGAAACTTTTCCAAATTTAAATACGTAATTCATGTAATAGTATTAAAATTAAACAAGTTCGATAGCGCAACCTATTTCTGACACGCGTAAGTAAATTTGACACGTGCCATGAGTGTAATTTTCTAAGCGTTGTGTTTTTTGTACGAGTCAAAGAAAACAAAATCAAGGTGATAAACATTTAGAGGATTAATTGACTACTAAAACAGAAAATTTTATAAATTAATGTATAATCACGAAAAATTCTAATTTATTTTAGCAAGCATAAGTGTAACGTTCTGTATACATAATTTGCATCTATTCTTAACAACTAATGTGAAAGTCATTATATAATGCTCTATTTGATTAAGAAATAGTTCCAATACTCTATTGTAGTATTTTGGTTTAGTTCAATACTTCAAGAGGAGGATTACTAGTAGTATTTACGAATAACAGTTAAAGAGAACAAAAATGTAGAAAAACAAGACAAGTAGTACAAATTTTTTTTATTTTTTTTTCGTACAACATTTGTGTAATACTTTTGAGGAAAAAGATGCGAAAACCAAGACAGTAATGTTTCGTTTCCAGAAAGATAAATTCCAATTCCATCCCCGTACGTACGCCGAACGCTTTGAACGACTGAATCGAGAAGGACCTCAACCCCAAAAGCAACTACACAAAATACTATACTACTGTTATAAACATTAACTACAACTAATAGTATTTGTAAGAGAAGATTAAAAAAGACTACAAAATATTGGTATTGTAGTACTAGATTGTAGGAGATATAATCATAATAAAAATAATAAAAATGACTTTGGGAATAGAGAGATATCAATAAATTAAAGATATAAATATATGTAGATGGGAAAAAGCTGGAAACTGGGGGCAACAAAGGCTCTACTGTCCCAACACTATGTTTGGTCCTCTTCGCTTCTTCTTTCCTCAACTCAACACCCACACAGATCTGACCATAATCTCCACTACACGACAGCTGCAACAATATACCCTTTTTTCCCCTCAATTTAATTCTAAATTTCCTTATTTTTTAATAGTCAGTTGTCACTAAATGACTAAACAACCCCATTATTCGATCATAAAAAAAGGAAAACTAAAAAAAAAAAAGTGAGGAATCCTAAAAAAATCTTTTGTTTTCCTTATAAAAAAGAGGAAAAAAAAGTTAATATAAATTTCAGAAAAAGATAGCTGATGTTGCACACTAACCACTACGACACCCTTTTCTCTCTCTACCTCTGAGATTTTGAGAGAGTAGTCTCCTCTCTCTCTCTCTCTCTCTCTCTTTTGCTCCTCATGATCCGATTTTTATATATTTAATTTTTCTCGAAATTTATATGTGATAATTACAGATACACGTTATATGTGTGTATATTGATGGAGACAACAACCATTGGAATCTGACCCATGGATCTCCTCATTTCTTCTTGAGATATTTTTCTCCTTATTTTTTATCTCCTGTGCGTTCTCGTCTCCGTCCCAGATCTGTTCCTCAATCTCTCCATTGGTAAAGATTCAAGCTTTATCTGTTTTTTCTCTCTCTCTGGGTAATTCTTCAATTCTTTTAAATATTTAATTCTTTATTTTACTTATTAGTTTTTTTTTAATTTGTTTTTTCCTTATCTAGAGTTGAAGTATTGTTATGTTTTTGGTCTTCATGAAGTTGATGCTTTTACTTTTCCGCTTATAGCTTCAACTGTTGAATTTGGATTTAGGAAAAATATATATTTATATATCATCTACGTGAATGTGAATATAACGTTTATGGAATCTCCCATTATAAAAGCATCACTTATTTGCATGCTCTGCATAATCATAAGTTTGAAAGGTTTATGTCTGTTGATCATCATCATTATACAGTAGGGTTTAGTTCAATACAAGATTCGGAAGGGCTTAGCAGATGTTTGTGTGTGTTTCGTTTGATAATTGGTCTAAGAATTGAGCATTGATGTTGTTGATTTACTTTCATGGGACTTTGTTCTTGTTCTTTATTCAATTTTTTTAAGCTATAGAATGAGCTTCCATGGATGTTCTGTATATGCCCTCGTAGCCAAATTCCTTGTTTGATTAACTATAGAATTTCATATTTAAACTTGTGTAAGCTCCTATTTATGAACTGATGGTTGTTTTGTTTCTCTCTGTGTTCGAATGTTTATGTTGATCCATTTATGCAGTTTGGTTTTTAGGTATTGATCATCTCATTTTTTTCGATTTTTCTGTTTGCATTTTATAGGGACGGGACGTAGCAATTTGAATAAAAGAGTTAGACCAGACGAAACTGCCATGTATTTCTTCGGGTTGTCCAAAGAAGAAGTGCTGTCACAGACGCATGTTGGATCATATAAAGAGACTAGCAAGCAGAATCCAATCAGCATGGTCACTCTATTTGGGAGACAGGTAAATATTTTCTAGCTTACTTAGAGTCTACTTTATTCCAAGTTTTGACCTTTTTGATGTTTGTTGTTAAGAAAAACAGTAGAATAGATTGTTCACAAAGATTTTCATTTCAGGTGTATCAAGTGAAAAGTGACAGCTCCATGTCCAGTGATGGATATAAGAGATTAAATTCCCCTAAGCTGTTAACGAAAGATATCGATCTCCGGCTTCCTGCAGATCACTATGCGTATAGTAACTTTCATGAGACACTTGGTTCCGGGAAATTTGACGGCATTGGTGGTTCCCGAAATACAGTAGAATTGGGATATCGTTCGGGTTTAGAAGCAAGCATTGTGAAGGAAGCATCAGCCACAAACTGGAGTAGCAAGAGAAATCCAAGAATTGTTATTGATCTTGAAGAACCACCTCCCTCATGGGTCTCTCATACAGAGAAAACAGAGCATGCTGCAGCTTCTGTTAGCTATGTTACTATGAGAAATCCTGAAACAAAACCGTCCTTCTTTGATAGGATCAGCTCAAACATTCTGAAGGCAGTGGATCAGTCTCTCACTGAGGATGTTAGTGATAAGATAACTAATGAGGAGCCAAGTTTACTGGATCTTAATAATGCTCCGGCTGATGAGTCGGCTTCCGAGCCTCATTATTGTTTCTTACAAGATTTGAACTGTCCATACATCGAAGAAGAGACAGAAACGAGCTGCGAGAAAAGTGGAATAGATGATGGTCCTACCCCGCTTTCCTCTCCTCAATGCCAAAATGTCCATGAAAAAGACGGCACAGCATCTCCAGCTTCATATACTTCTTGCTGCACTACTGAAAACAACTTGAGGACTGAGTCAAGAAGAAGTTCTTCCCCTCGAGCATTGGAGCCTTCTTGCCGTACCCGGCTTGAGTTTCCCGATACAGAAGACTTACAGGAAGAGAATGGATGTTGTAACGAGGAGGAGGATTCATCTGAAGTGATTCAAATGGCAGCTGAATCATTAGTCCACATATCGGAGATTTCATACAAAAATCAAGACTTGCAATTAAAGTCTGTGTCAAGAACCAACAGTTCATCTCAAGATCAAGACTTTCAAGATAAACCCGAGATGGGTAAAGCAGAACCAGGATGTTCCTGCGATTCATATGAGCGACACACGTTAGGAATAAGCGAAACCAACACTGAAGAAGACTTCTGTGTGTCATCAATGGCTGTAGATGAGCTTAATAACATCACAAGAGATAACAACAAAGAGATTGGACTCAAGCTGAGAAGAGGGAGAAGAATGAAGAACTTCCAGAAAGAGATACTCCCATGCTTAACGTCGCTCTCTAGACATGAGATCCGCGAAGACATTAATATATTGGAAGCAGTTTTGAGATCAAAAGAGTACAAGAAGATGCAGGGGAAGACGAAAGACATCAAATTCAGAGCAAACCCAAGAAACAAACGTTCAGCGCCGCAGAGGTGCGTTGGTAAAAGAAGGCGAAAAACCGAATGATATCGACACCTTCCAGGTTTCTAATTCTTTTCATACCAATTGCTTCATCCTGTAATCTTATAACAGTGATTTCGATTTATTTGTTTTTAACTTATGACATTGATTTCTGATAAGAGAAGTTCGCTAGTGAGACGATGACATTCAGTTTCTCATTCTCTCTCAAATTGTTGTTGCTTAGCCATCTTTAACTCCAATGTGGACTAGTCTCGTTTAGATAAGTTTTCTAGCCGACCGTGTTGATTCCACCACTTAGAATTGTCTTACGTTATTATCGTCGTTGTATGTTTTGAGTCATACATAGATGGACTATTGTTTACTCCCAAAGGCCCAAACTCAAGACCAACACTCACAATAGCTGATAGAAGTTTCAAATAAGGCTTATATTGTTGAACAACAACAAAAAAAAAAAAAAAGGCTTGTCTTTTTTTACCTACCTCAGCCCACTTTACGAGCTAAGCCTCAGAGTCCAGACCACTCTCCAATGAGAACAACCCAATCAACTTTTTTCTTTTCCCCCTCTAATCAAGTGCATGTGGACAGTTGTCAAATTATAAAAGATGCAAGTCCTTAATAAATAATAATTACATTGATAACACTACCAAAGATGATATTAAAAAACTGTGCAAAAGCATACTAAATTAGTTTCATCAAATATATATTTTTTCTTATTAATTTTATGGAACACTTTTGTTTCGATAACAAATGTCCACTAAATAGTACCACAAATTATTTTTGCACATTAATCATTGATTATAGAACAAATCAATAAACAATAAACAATAAGAAACGCTTAAAAAATTACCCACGGTATTTAAGGGTTGCTGAATCGTCAATGTCAGCAGTGACCCTATGAATCTATACGATGGTTCGATCCGATTGTAAAACGTTGAAAGAAGTTGTGGTCTTTTTGTGACAAGTAGACAAAAAGAGATAAGACAAACCAATGAAAAGAAAGCCTCAGAAAGAAAAAGTTAATTCTCCCCCTCTCCCCTTTTCATGTCTTTTCTGAGTCAAATAAAGACACATTAAACTAAAGTTACTAAATTAGTAGTATTGTTTAAACCAAAAGTTCATACTTATTCGTTGTGATTGGCTCATGTAGTTTCCAGATCCAAAAAAGTCTCACTTCATCATTATTGTTGTTCCACCAATCATCACAGTAAACCATATTCATATGTTACTACTTCTGAAGATATTTCCAGTGTTTTGTTCTTTTTGTAAAACATAGTGGAATATATGCAAATTTATATCTTTCTATTGCTGGCAATATTAGTTTTGATTCAACCAATATTATTAATATTATAACAGAATTGTTGAAAGAAATATCATAAGCTTATTGTTAGACTGGTATGGCTATGAATCATTTGATTATAACGACCATATGCAGAAATGGATTTAATCGCTCTGTAGTATCCATGCCAGAAGTTAACGTATATGTCGAAACTCAGATTTTAGATCTACATGATTGGGTTGGGGATATTTGAGAAAACATTATTTTGTGTATCTGAAAAGCTAAAGTAGATAAGCATCGGGGGAGACAGCAGTTGGACAAAGAAACGTGCACAGAACATTCCTTACTATTTAATATCGTAAGGCATATTAAAGAAAGTGCAAAACAAAACCAATTAAGTTCCCCTGAATTTAGCACATCTTCTATTATAATTTTGGAACAAATGCATGAGGGGTTTATCTCTATCCGGAAATAAATAAAACTTCGATAATAATTCATCATTTATAACCGATAATCATTTGTCTAGTTTCTAACACACACACACATCCATATATATGGGACACCAGTGAGTCTTTATCCAATAAACTTGTATGATTGAATATTATATAAAAGTAATAAAGGTAACAAGTATAGCATAAGGGGATCCTAGTAAGTAAATCATAATATTGATCTTTTCGTATTGAGTTAATCATACAGCTCCCTGATTATTCAAATTAATTATTTGACCAGTAATCATCGAGAGACATTTGATCCAGTAAATTCTCAGAGCTAGCTGGTTCCTTAAAGGAAGGTGTAGTGTAATACAGTACATCTACTAGTTAGTTCAGGTATAAATAATCACAACTTTTAAAAACAATTAAATTTTAAATAGGTGAAAAAAAAAATTGTTGCATCAAATTACTTCAAGTAGTATTAACTATTAATTAAAAACAACGTGAAGTTTGACATATAGAAAAGAAAAAAGAAAAATGGAAAAATAAAAACAAAAGACGTTAATTGCGTCAAATTTTAGGAAATTTTACAATTTCTGCTTTTATACAGAACCCTGGGAAAACTTTTTAACTTTTATCCCTTATCGGTCGGTCCATTATTTGTCGACTCGGAAACAAGAGGTAAATAAGAAAAATCATCATAAAATATACCACAAAACTCAAAATCAAATTTAAACATATCAACATAGACATGCACAATGTTCATCATCATCATCATCAGTTCATCATCATGATCATGATCATGATCAGTGACCCATGGGAATACTTGGCTCATCATCCAACTCAATCCCGGCGTCAGCTAGTCGTTTTTCCTTGTATACGTACCTCTTGGAGAAAACAAGGAAAACTAGGAAGTTCAAGGCAACAAGTACGGCCACAAGCCAGTAGAAATTGTAAAGACGTCCCTTGTTGAGATCATCGGCAATCCACGGATGAGCTTTCCCTGTGAATTTCTCGACGATGGTCACGAGAACCGAGCTGAAGAAAAACCCTAACGCCAATGTGCTCAACAATAGACCAGTGCTCATCCCTTTCATGCCTTTAGGGCACTCTCTCAAGAAGAAATCTAACTGTCCCGTGTAAATCAGCGCCTCGCCAATACCGACAATAAGATACTGTGGGATGAGTAGATAAAACCCTAGAGGAAGCGTTTTGACAGTTGGACCATGGGCATGAGCGGTTCTAAGACGTTTGATCTCTATCAAAGCAGCCACAGCCATACCCATACATGCGAGTATAAGTCCCAAACCGATCCGTTGAAGCGGTCTCAAACCGTGGGGGTAGTTGAATAGCTTTTTGCATAGGGGAATGGCGACACGGTCATAGACGGCGGTGGTTAGAAGAAGGCCCCCGACGTAGAAGACTGCCATCGAGGCTGGAGGGATCTCGAAGCTTCCGATGTGACGGTCCATCGTCTCAGATTGTGCCACTGATAATGTTGTCAACTGTGCGTGAACGGTCCAGAAAAGGATGCATGTTAGCCAAATTGGTAACATCCGCACGATTTGTTTCACTTCTTCAACATCCGTTAGTGTTGAGAGTGTCCATTTGTTGAATACGTTCGAGGTCACTCCCGCTTCTTGGTCCCTTATTGCTGCCTTGTCCAATGAACTGTGGCATCAAAAATAATACAAGAAATAATTAGAATATAACTATAAAGTATGTAGTATTTATGGAAAATTGTTGGATTATGTAAAGACAAGTCTTAAATTAGCCACAAAATATCTATTATATGTGTTTCTTAGCTAGATTTGGCCTGTAATCGTGGCGATAGAAACATACATATATGTGAAATGTCCGTAATTATTGAAATTACATAAATTATTATTTTAACAATAATACACCTTTTTGGAATATAGCCTAAACATTGAATCAAGCAACATGTTGTGGAGTCAGAGATAGTTACGTGGAATCTTTTCAAGATGATAGATACCCTTCACACACATGCATATATATATATATGCACATACGTAAGAGTTTTTGCAGAAAAGAAAAAGTTTAGAATTTGAGACGAAAAAGAAAAGTAAAAAGTTTAAGAAAGACTCGAACAAAAGACAAAATATAATTGAAGCGCTGAGCACGCAAAGCACGTGACGACGCTAGGGTTAATGAATGTTGTTAGTTGTTACTAAATGGTTAAGCCTAACTTTGGGGTCTGTCCCGGTGAAGGTGTAAAGTAGTGGAGGTCTTACAACACCAAACGTGATCGTTTCCACTACAAGACAAAACAACTGTCTCCCTAACTTCTCGTCTCTTCTTCTTTTATTCATTTTATTTTCCCAAAAAAAAAAAGAAGAAATTTAAGAGATGCCAAAGAGATTTTTGTGAATAATTTGTCTTGAATAGAAAAAAAAAGTTTTGATTCCTTTGGATTCTTGTGTTTCTTTCTAGGGATGCATAGGGATTGATGGATAAAAGATACTGTACTTAAGGTTTGCATAAAAAAGATACTGTACTTATATGAAAGAAAGAAAAAAAAAACTCAGTAGTCAGGTGAATATATATAATAATGTTTATAAGTCTTTAAGACAGCAGAATCATTTGATAATTACAAGAATAATCTAATGATAAATTATAACAAATTGATGTATTTAATTAGCCACGATTCTGGAGCTACTCTTTATGTGAAAACCAAATAACCACGAGAGGGTATTGTGAAATTTTCTAAGATAATTAATTCTATAGGTGAAAAAATATAGATTGAGTTTTTAATTATACCCACTTGTTAATTTCATTTTTCAACCACTTGCAATATTTCATTAGTTTCTCTTAATTTAATTATAGATATTTATCTTACGAGAGACTTCTTTTATTATTTTCCTACCTATTTATATGAACCGAACTTGACGTGTTATCTAACGAACATACACATGCATATACACACACTTCTAAGGCGAAAACAAAAAAATCTAGAATATAAATGACAAAGTAGGGCCTTTTAACCCCAAAAACAAAATATCCGAAAAAATATATTGCAATTAGCTGTAAAATTCGTAACCTGGACCAGTTTCGCTGTATGGTCGATTAATAGTATTATGAAATTGATTTTTTTTTTCTTAATTTTCCCCATAGCGAAACACCAAAAATAAAAACAATAAAATTTTGATTTCTAATGCCAACTAGGCATATAATGAGAAATATTTTTGGTCTCACTATAATTAAAGGACACGAGCTTTTCGAGTAATTTCTCACCCACACAACCCCACTTTCACATTTTTCAAGTCTGTTGATACTATCAGATTCAATTAAGGGAACCTACACCTCAATTATTCGAAATTAATTAACCCTTAATGATGGAATAGAAAAAGAAATTTAATCTTCAAATTTTAATCTTATGTTATCAAGAGAATCGTACGTGGGAGTTATTTTCTTTTACTAAAATGTTTAAAAAAATAATACTATTGGAAAACAAATGGTGAGTTAAGTTTAAGGAATCGTACCGGTATTGTTTGGTGTGAGGC